ATGGATTGTTTGGTGGGTAGACTGATCCAACGCATGCTTCGGAACTCTCTGGCGACGAGGAAGGCGTTTCAGTTTTAGGCTGATTCCGGGTCGCATTTTGTTCAGGAGCTTTCGTCTTAAGCTCCTTTCTGGGGAAACTGTTCAGGGTATCCTCGATTGACCGGCTGTTGAGTAAGCGCATTCTTGGTATTATTTGACGCTGGAATGACGAGAGGATTGGAACTTTCGATGACGCTGATACCGATCTCGAGCACTGGCTTTGAGATTTCGATACATTCCCAATCGAAACGCTTGCCGAATCAGTCTATTGAGGAGCTTCCCCCAATCATTCTGTGGAGCATGATCACCTGCTCATAAGACTCCGATCTCATGCGTCAGATCGGTCGAAAAGGTGTCCGAGGCGATTTCCGCCTCGTGCATGAATTGGGGAGACATTTGAGATGAGCCTCTGTATGCGCTCTGTATATCGCTGAGTTTTCCCAGAGCTTAGCAAAGATTTCGAGAACACTGACCCCGCGGCCAGACCACCTGATTCCTTCGTAAATCTGTGAACCGCCAAAGACTGTAGAGCTTGAAGTTCTCCATGTGAACGAAAACCATCGCCCCCCGATCAGGTGGCATTCTCGCATAGAACCCCCATGCACTCGCCCGAGTGAGGTTGCCCTCTCCATTTTTAAACCTTCTCATAAAGATTGGCTCACGATCAGAGGATCGAGTTCATGTCGCGAGAATCCGGGGATAACACGAGGAGCTCCGGAGACGCCAAGGTGATCCGTGAAGATCTCGCTATCGGTAACCCCAGCAGTGAACTTCCCGTGCGGTGCACTTGGCATGCGAGAGCGGATTTCTGCGACAGATACACTCGCACGCATCCGTGTTTTGGTTCAAGGGTGCGAACGGAGGTGCGTGCGCAATTTTTTATCGTTGGGATAGATTTACTGAGGTGAGTAGACCGCCTACGGCGTAACGTGGATTATTATTGTTGATACTCTGCGGCGGCATTCATTGTTGTTGCTGACAGTGTCGTCGTTGTTGTCGACGTCGATTGGTCCTCCAGACACATTCAGTAGTGTAGCAGTAGTTGGAGATCCTCCTCGCCGCAAGCGACCCTTGCTGCTGCAGCAGCCGTTCTATCGGCTGACTGGCTGGCCGACTGACTGCCACCAGCAACACCATCAGCTAGCGAGCTAGCAAGGAGGCAGTCGCCGCAGCAACGAGTGAACAGTGAATCAAGCGAACAGGCAGAAAGACATTCTCGCTCTGTCAAGCTGCAGTTCTTCTTCTTCGAGTGAAGCACAGAGTGGGCCGTTACTTGTGTTGCGACGGCCGTCTTTCGTTCGTATACGAAAGCCAATGCTATCGACGACGACGTCGTCGACGACGGCGACGTTCCTGCTTGTGTCTAAAAGTGAACTCGCTCCCGCTACGGCTGCAGCTCCCGATTGCAGCCAGTTGCAGTTTAAATGACTCGGATCAGTCAAAGACCTGTCAGGATACGTTTGAAATAAGCCTGGCTCCGACCTCGAGTACCCTCGAGCGGCAGCCGCATCTTGCGAGTGCATAACTTGCTTCCGGATCGCTCAGTGAATAGTGGATTAGCCTCTACGTTCGGAATAGTGATCGACAGATGAGGAGATGGCGCGACGGAAACACAGTGAGTTCAGTGAGAAAGCCGGAAAGGGGATGCGCTGCGCAAGGACCTTATGTCAGCTTACGTAGCTCTTCGGTGACTGCTATCGGGAAGTCGATCGACGGTGGATGCGGTACACACCGTTCGCCAAAGGTGCACGCACGCCCGTCGATGATGATAATAATCATGATAATGTTCGGAACATTGCAACACGAGTAATCAGAGTGCTCAACAGAGTCGCGAATGGCGGCGAGAGCGTAGCTCCAAAAAGCTAGCTCGAGTTTGGCTGACAGATGCACATCGGATGCTCGTCGCTCTGTCAAATTCGAGCACCATATATGTGCCTCATGTGCTTCCATGGTCCTAAATCAAGTGATAGGACGCAAAATGAATGAATGAATTGATACATATATCGATTGTTGTTGTTCGGGCGAAGCTCCTTGGTGAGCGAGCGAGACTGCCAGATGTTGCTCCGGAGGTGGAAACGCTCCCGAGATTCGGGAGTGATTTTCGCGCTTATCGCAATTTCGGATTACGAGATCCGCCCCTTGGTGATACAGGGTCCGAGTTCTCAATCTTCCGAGCGGAAGAAAACTTATCGGTCAGTACGTCGGCCGGCCACCGAACCGAAAAATATTCCGCGTTGTCAGGAGCCAGACCGTGATTCCACATCCTCTGTGTGACCTAGAGCAAAACGAGCGAGCGACCTCTCCTGAGCGGAGCCTCCTGAGCGCGAAGCCCCCCTTCTTCATATCGTTGAGCCTACGTGGTCCTTTTACGGTGGTCGGTCCGCTGGCCTCTCCACCTGCCTACCGATCGGACGAGCTATCTCGTTGTTGGTCCGTTAGTCGCCTGATTGTCAGATTCCGAGTCGTTCCGCCCTCGCGAAGTCGATACAAAATAGAGACTCTGCTCTTGACATTAGAAATAGCTCGAGTTTCTAGTCGATCGCCTCACCACCAAAGCTTTTATCTCTGGAATGTGTTCCTCGGAACAAAGAACAGCGGCGCGTGAGACACTCGCTCGTTCGCTACTCGTTTCCTAGATACCTAGCCATTCGTCGACGTGCTACCGCTCTCGGTTTCTCCTCGCTTGTAGGCGACGCCCGGCGAGATTTCTGGCGGATTCGTGAGAGACTCCCGGATTCGATTTCTCTTCTATTCAGTTCCGCTCCGGAGCTATATCGACGTTTATGTGTCGGAGTCATTCGGAAATGGGACCTTGAGATCGAACAGCTGATTCGGGGCCAGTTGAATAGAGGTGGAGAGACTCCATTCCAGCGGCTTAAAGGTCACCGCATATCTCTCCAGGTGCGTTATGTCAGCAGCGCTAACTGATGTAGCACGATCGAGGAACAGAAGCTCCGCTGAGCGTGGAGACTTGGGGTAGGAATTTCAAGAGGCTGCTGCCTCGCCCGGCAAGGTGTGGCTTTTCGGGAAGAGCAAAGAGTCAGCTGATCTGTCACTTGATGCTCATCCAATTGGAGATTTCGATGATATCTGTGCCTGAGAGTCCGGAAAGTCATCGAATCGTATGATCCTTTAAATGAACGATGGCAGTGGCGACGTCGAGTGCCCTCTGCGGAAGGGAGGGTAGGCTGGCTAGCAAGCGAGCCAGCCGACAGCTATCTGGCTGGTTCGTTGCCCAGCTTCCTCCGTGTGGTCCTCGTGCCGTTGTTAACCGCTAGCAATGCCGCCGCTGCCGCCACCACCACCGTCGCACTCCTACACATGACCGAGCTAAGTAAGAAAGGCCAATCTGATGTGCTTGCTGTAACAGAAACAACAAAGCTAACATTGGGGCCCTCGATCGGTCAACTCCAAGCGCTAATCGCCGCCGTCTCTCGGTGAAAGATCGATTCAGCTCAAAAGAGTTCGATAACAACTCCGGATACTGAGAATGACAGTCGAGATAATATTCACTTTCGCACACCGCATTCGGATGAGCGAAGCTCTGCCCGAAGCTAGCACGACAGCGAGCCGTGCAACAGGAAGGATATGAAAAAGAAGGGTTCGCTGTCCTTGGGCGCGGTTGATGCGCAAGGCCACTTGTGTAGATCTTCCTTCGCTGGCCATCGCAAGCGATCGTACACTACCGCCGCTATTGGCGGCCGGCGGTGACAGCGGGAGCACTTCGTTGTCCTCGATCGTTCTTCCTTACGGCTACGACCCAGGAGACTTCGGACCGATGGTCCCGTCGGTGGTGATCGCCGGGCACTGATTTCTAACGATCCGATCGGGACCGGTCACGGAGGCGTCAAAAGGGCGATTCCAAATAAAGGTGGAATGATCTAGCTAACTGCTGGAGTCAGCGATCGCAAGTTCAGCCCCCTCGGGGTCTGTCGGAGGTTCGTGCCATGGCCGATTGGAACTCGGGGCCAGGACCCCGTGAAGGATCAAGTTTCATACTGAATTACTGCATGTTCATTAATTTTTTTCTTAGATTTACTGCTACTGAAATACCTTCTGGCCATGCTGACTTCGGTTCGGTACGCGCGGTCGATTCGACAGACCGGTATGGACTATGGTATCCTTGGAATTCGTTCGCCGGCACGCTTCGTATCAGGAAGAGGGTGAGCACCTGGAAATTCGGAGGTGCTCAGCTCCGGGTAATTTCAAATGACTGGATCCGCATGGTGGAACCATCAGATTATAGCGACATTTCATGTCGGTCGAATAATGCAGCGTTTCCCCTGACGAGGAGCGTATTTTCCGGGGGGCTTCCTCAGCTCGCATTGAACACGATGCCGGTGGACGGAGAGAATCACTGAAGTTGACAGCCAAATTCCTCTTGCGACGGAGCTGTCCCCGCGTTTCACCTGTGAGGAGTGTTTTCGCCGTTGTTGACATCATCGTTGTTACCGTCTCTTGCTGCGACGGCGACCGCCGCGCCATTAGGATTAAGGTTGTTGGAGATGAGTGATCTTAGCGGTGAATAATGAAGCCAGGTCACCTTGCCAGCGAACGCTTTTTCCGGGCCTCTCGAAATCGCGCTCGTAAATGGTCGGGTGGCGTTCAATGGGCGTTTGTTCATATCATGGGGGCTGATATGGAAGTGTCGACGCGGACGTCCGCAGGGGAGGAATTTGAGATTTGCAAGCCGCCGCTGTCGTGCGCTGAAGATACACAGAGTGAGCGTTCCTCGCTTTAGAATTCTCACAAATACGCCTCGATCTATCTATGGACGTTTCGACGTACGCAAGGCCGGACGTATCCGAAGGAAGCGAGTACGAGGCGGCTTCGTGTCGGTTTTCTTCGATCCACGGGACGAAGTCGCTCGAACGAAAACAACAGCGATTCTGAAAATGTTGACAGGATACCCATCGGATTCCGTCTAAATCATTTTTTCTTTCTATTTTTCAGTGAACATGCCTGAACGATACGGAGAGTACGTCGGGATGAACGACTTCGAGCTGCTACGGGTGCTCGGCACTGGAGGTGAGTTATTTCATTTTTTCTCATTTCGGCTTGAGACTCGATCCGTCCCCGTGATAATCGCGCCCGCGTTCCCGATCCTTCCCATGCTGGTCTCAACCCTCGGTCGAGTGGAAAAAACGGAAGTGGCGAAGTTCCGGGGGGAATATTCGAATGAATCTTCGAGGGTCCGGGGAGTGGGTCAGGGAGCTGTAGACTCCAGTCGAAACATAGTTTCGCCGCGAGTTTTCCGTGTCAGAGCTTCGGAAACGTGTATGCTGCGACAGAACGTCAAAAGCGGGCGACCGAGCAAGCCAATGCGCGAAAATCTTCTGGGATCCGAGACATTAGCGGTGACTGAAAGAGGCAACGGAGCCTGTCACTGCAGTTCCGCTCCGGCTTTTCTGGTTGCTCCACGCCGGAGTCGTGGACGTTTGCGTCTTCGTCGTTGTTGCTGGCGGTGGTGGTGGTGCCGCTGCTCCTCCTCGGATGTGGGCCATGGCACTAGGTCAGAACTTCGGCCGGAGATATCATCATCAGCAAGCAAAGCTGCTCCGGCCAGCCACTTCAGAGTCGGCAGCGGCTTCAACGAGTGAACCGCCGCCGCCGTGGCTTACGACGACATCGGCAAAGATAAGCGAGCATCGCAAAGGATGCCGCGTCCCCGCGTCATCTTCGCAGCCGCCGTTCTTCCGTCGACTTTTTTCCGTTCGAGATCCGTTCTAGCCGCTTTTGCGTCAGAATGGATAGAGCCGTCTCAAGTCCGATGATGAAATCGTCGATGGTCGGAGGAAGTTGAGGGAATCCTTTGTCGCCTCCAACTTGTTTATTATTTCGAGTTTCTGGAAGCAGAGCCTATCGGAACATGTCGTAGACGTAGACATGTCTCGCGAGTCATGACAGCCCATTTCGGCTTCTGGTATTGCACGCCTGCAAGCAGGATAGCGCAAGCGATCGACGGTTTCGATGAAACAAGGCTTTCTCGAGCCAGCTGACAGCGACGTCGGTTGCGCCGACGGTGGTGGTGGCGAAGGCGGCGGCGGCAGAAACAACGACGACAACGAAAGACGGGACGGCTGGACGTCGATGCTCGTGCTTTCTTGGATGGCTGGATCGCGATGTATTGCTTCGCGAGCCAAGGCGCTTCAACGCGACGAACAACGTCCTTGAGAGAAAGTCGCTTCCTTCTTATTACCGTCAACAACTGCGCACTGTCAGACAGACAGACGGACGAGCGAACGAACGAATGAATGAACCGAGCGACCAGGTCTCCTTCCTTCGACAATTGCTTTGCGCGCCCTGAAGAGCCGAGCAATTCGGGAAGGGTCCTACCCAGCAGTTCCTTTTTCACCACCCGAGACGTTTGCGTCCGTCGGAAGGAGCGGAGGGGGGACGCTGGAGTCTCCGATCTCCTCCCCACTCCCGACCGCTCCCTTGTCCGGTCACCGCTCTTGTGTTCTTCGACGGTTGCGTGCGTACCATGCCCCGTCATTCGGCCTCATCACTCCCTTCGAACACCTTCGTGGACGTTTGCGGTTTCCGTCGCGCAGCGAGCGAGCGCGATTGTCGAGCCATTTTTTCCCTTCCGGTTGCGCGGTACGATCGCGCAATTGGTAGCCGGCCAAAGTATCCGTACAATAAAACGTCTCTTCCGACCGACTGTAGAACCTCCTCGCGCGGAATGTAGAATAATTAACGGATTCTCGTTTGAATGAATTTTTTCTCTTCATGTCGTGGGCTGGGAATCGCGTTTCCGTCGAGGGGAATAAGTTTCGAAAAAGGTTAAGACCACGGCGGATAGCGCGATCGTCGTTGCCGCCGAGTAAACGGAACGGAGCTGAGAAGAGTGATGATGAAAATGAGGATAAGAAAACGGCGAGAAGGGGAAGAAGAGGAACGAAGAAATCGCAAAATTCTTCCGCCGGTAAAAACAGGGTCAAGTTGGTGTTCGCGCATGCGCAACGCATCCAAAATCTAGCACAGCAGTCGCCTGCTTGCCTGCCGCTAGCCTGCCTCCGAGCCAACCGTCCGAACGAGCGGGCGGACGGACGGCCGACAGACAACGACGCCGGCCGACCGAACGACCAAGAGCTATGAGGGTCCGCAGGACGCCCGGAATCGGCGGTTCCGGTTGTGCGCTTGATTATATTCCGTAACCGAAGGATGCAACGCGCGTTTTGTTTGAGTAACCGCTCCAAGAATTGTACCGGCGACGTCGGCAGCCACCAGAGGAATCTGTGTCCATTCCAAGGGAGAAAGGGGAATACGACGAAAAAATCGTTCACGAGACAAGTGAACAACGATATCAGCACGATTGCGACCGCGCGTGGCCTCCCTGTCGAGCGTCTCGTTCGGGATATGGGAAAGCGCATTTCCGTCGGCCCACCTCCTCGACCGAGGATATGCGCCTCAGAGGTAGCCGTGGCCTCAGTGGAATTTGCGCTTGGTTACGACACTTGACCATCTGACCCAGTTTCGCTAGTGTACTCGTACATATATTCGCCGAGCTGGGTTCACCAGCCACCGATCTGCCAGTCTGAATGGCTGCTCAGATGATGTGATTAGACCGGCTCGATTACCCCTACATTGTAATTCTGCGTAGGACCGCGCGTTCGTTTCCGAAGCACGGCGCACTCGTTCGTGCCCTGAGAATCGCGCTCCTCGAGCACGAGTTTTGGTTTGCCAGAAAACTTCACTGTGCCGATCACCGACGACGAGACATGGCAACAACCGGCCGCCCGAAGGAAAGACGTCGGAAGGGGTTGCGGATCCGCTTGGAATTCCTCTGTCAGACGTATTTCCATCTCGCGATTCCCGAACACCTTCCAGCAGCCCTATAGCCGACCCAGAACGGCCTCTCTATGCGGCCATCCTTCGCTCGTCCCGGCACTCGGGTTCCCGACGCAGCCATTGCTGCGACTCCGGGAAAATCATCGCGACGATCGAGCCGAGCTCAATGACAGTATTTTGCGATCTGCGACAGAAAAGAAATTGACATCAGGCCAACAAATACGTTGGGATTTCTCTCTGTTGCACCACTTCCGGCTTTCATCGGAACAACAAGCGTAGAACGTGTCGCTCTCTCGGGTCATGCTGTATCCGCTGACACGATCCGCGTAATTCCACGAGTTGGAACGAAAATCGGTGGGGTGTCCCGTTCTCCGGATCACCACTCTCCTACCGTGATCGCTCGCCGAAAGCGTTGCTGCGGACCGACGTCTGACCCACTTGCGCTTTGGGTCAGGGTTACAACAGCGGCGGCGGCAGCAGCAGCAGCAACGGCTCCGCTCCCGCGGGCAGCACGCGGGGCTGACTGGCGGCTGCGAGCGGTGCCGCGCAAGCGAGCGAGCGACTAGTCGGCCAGACGCCAGGGGACTTCCTCGCAGTTAATTCCGCTCACGGTTTGGAAAAGTCCCGAGTGGAACTTCACGTTGAGCGAAAAAAGAAGAGTGATATGAAAGATCCGCGCTTGTTGTTTACGGATTATACAATTCGAGCTTCTAGCGGTTCCAAGGCCAAAAAGAAGAAGTCCCGGCGCGTAGGGTACTCACAGTCAGGGCCATGAGCGCCGGAACCGCTCCTTCTAGCAATCTCGATCGAAGTGGTATGAAAAATAGTGGAAAGTCCTTGGAAGAGGTAAGCCCTCATCCGATGGACTTCTGTCGACCTCTCGAGCGCTTCTCGCATGCCTACCTGTGAACGTGCGTCGAGAACGCGCTTCTGCGCGTCAGCCGCATATTGTATATGGCCACCGTTACGTCACGTAGCATATGTTCAGATCTCGAGAACATAACGCTCTTCTCGAGTTGGCGGTGGCGGCTCGAAATATTCTCTTCGCCGAACATACAAGGAGCCCCGCACAAAAGACTCGTAGGCGTGCATGGGGTTACATATGCTGTTTTCGGGAGGCCGCGAAGTCGTTTTTCCGCGACGGTCGGACGAAGAAGTCGGTAATTCTCGAAGTAGTGCGAAGTCGATCGATGTTCGGCGAGGAGAGGACGCTCCGTTCTGGTTCCGCCCAGAATAAGGAATCTCTCCTGCGTTATCCAGTTTCGACTGCTCGACGAGAAATGTTATCAAAATCATCCATGGCCCACGATGAGTCTAACCCGACTGATTTCGTGCTAACGAACAACAATGCTTCATTCCAGCATACGGCAAGGTGTACTTGGTGCGGAAGATCGGAGGTCTCGACAAGAACAAGTTGTACGCCATGAAGATCCTCAAGAAAGCTTCGATCATTCAGAAGCAGAAGACCCTCGAACACACCCGTACGGAGCGGCAGGTGCTCGAAGCGATCCGTGATTCCCCATTCCTTGCCACGCTACACTATGCCTTCCAATCGAAAGCCAAGTTACATCTCGTTCTCGGTGAGTACTGATCCTCCCTCCTTGGAATGCTTGAACCGGAGCCGATGCGGAGAAAAGCGAGGGGGAGAGGGGGGAAATGCATATCTCTCCCGCTTTTCCATCGATCCCTAGATTCCATCGATCCCCCCCCCCTTGTTGCACCTGACGGAATCGGAGAATCGACTCGCTGTTCTGACATCTGTTTGAATTCTTCGTCCCCAGATTTTGTCCGCGGCGGAGAACTCTTCACACATCTCTACCAGCGAGAGCACTTCACCGAAAATCAAGTGAGGTTCTTCATCGGCGAATTAATTCTCGCCCTTGAACAGCTGCACAAGCTGGGTATCATCTACCGCGACATCAAGCTCGAGAACATTCTGCTCGACGCCGACGGTCACATCGTGCTGACCGATTTCGGCTTGAGCAAAGAATTTGTTTGCGATCACAATCAGAGGACTTTCTCGTTTTGTGGAACTATTGAATATATGGCGCCAGAAGTTGTGAAGGCAGGAACCAACGGCCACGACTACTGCGCGGACTGGTGGTCGGTAGGAGTTCTGACGTATGAATTGCTCACTGGAGCGTCGCCGTTCACCGTCGAAGGCGAACGAAACAATCAAGCTGAGATCTCGAAACGCATCCTCAAAAATCAACCACCGATACCGGCCTCAGTGTCACCCGACGCGAGGGACTTCATCGAGAAGTTGCTCATCAAGGATCCCACGAAGCGGCTCGGTGGAGGTTGCCGAGGCTCCGACGAGCTGAAAAATCATCGGTTCTTCCGCGGGATGGATTGGATCGCCCTGAGCAAGAAAGAGCTCAAGGCTCCGTTTGTTCCAAAGATAAGCAGTGAGTAAACTAGAAATATTTTTCCTCCTTCGGTGCCGGCGATCGTCTTCTCGTATCGATTTTCTTGAGGCGGACTAGCCGTCTGCTCGGGTCCGGATTTTCTGAGCTACTCGCACTCTGTTTGATCGTCTATCGAGTCGCTTATCTCGTTCGGGATCGGGATCCCCCCAACGGCGTCAGTTTTAGCTGCGCCGTGGCTGAAGATGAGCTCTTGAGATAAGATGATCAGCTGGCCGTCACACGTCTTCTCTTCGCTGGAGAATCGAAAAGCTCATGTGAAATTTCTCTTCCAGATGAGATGGATTTGAGTAACTTCTCCGAGGAATTCACTTCAATGGTTCCGGTGATTGACTCGCCAGCCGGCGTGCCCAATTGCTCGGAAACCGACCTGCACGACCTGTTCAAAGGTTATTCGTACATCGCTCCATCGGTGTTATTCTCCAACAACACCCTCTCGAAAGATCTCATGGTCAGCGAAGCTCAGACCGCTACGAAACCGAAAATCAACGAACTCGTCGCTGCGAAATTTGCGAATTCGACGTTTTTCCGCGAGTACGAACTCCAGGTCGAAGAGTCGAGTTTCCTCGGAGATGGCTCATTCTCAGTTTGTAGGAAATGTGTGCACAAAAAGACGAAAGCCGTTCGAGCCGTGAAGATTGTGTCCAGACGTATCGATACCTCTCGCGAGGTTCAAATACTTCGAGTGTGTCAGGGCCATCCGAACGTCGTTGATTTGGTGGACGTGTTCCAGGACGAGTATCACACGTACATAGTCACAGAACTCCTGAGTGGAGGCGAGCTCTTCAAAATGATCAGCCAGAAGTCTCGCTTCACTGAGAACGAGGCCCGGAAAATATTCAAGCGATTGGTGTCCGCCGTAAACTTTATGCACAAGAAAAACATAGTCCACCGAGATCTGAAGCCGGAGAACCTCCTATTCACTGCCGACAAGTCCGCCATCAAAGTCGTAGATTTCGGCTTTGCACGATACAAACCAGACGAGGAGCTCATGAAGACTCCTTGCTTCACCGTGAGCTACGCGGCTCCCGAAGTTCTGAACCAAGCGCACGACAAGACCGCGCAGGGCTACAACGAGCAATGCGACCTCTGGAGTCTGGGCGTGATCCTCGTGAGTAATTTTCTCATTTCCTCTCGCCGAAGTGATATTTATTCGACATACATATGAAATACCGGGATTCATGAAAATCATACGAATAGGGGGTTTATTCATCGAGCGATTTTTGGAACCGATTTTCGGGAAAAACTAAAGGAAGCATTAACTTTCAGTACGCCATGCTCTCCGGACGGAGTCCCTTCCACAGTCCGAGCAGAGATACTTCGTCGGCGGCGATCATGAAACGCATCACAGCTGGTGACTTCAACTTGAGTTCAACTCAATGGGACGTCGTGTCGAAGGACGCGAAGGAGATCGTCCAGGGTCTTCTCACCGTCAACCCATCGGATCGTCTTACCATGTCCGAGGTTCGAAGTCATTGCTGGCTCAACAGCGCCAACAAAAAGAATCTCCGAACGCCATTGGCAACGCCTGAAGTTCTGCACGGAGATCTATGCATGCCACCGACTGTCAAGGAGAAGGAAGGAGGCTTCCGAGCCACGTTCGATGCCTTCCATTTGGCCACCCGCGGCGGATTCCGCCTCGCAGAGGTCAATTCGGCGTCGTTGGCCCAACGGCGTATGTTGAAGAAATCGTCGGACTCGACGTCGACTTCGACGTCGTCGTCGAGTTGTGCGTCGAGTCGGAACTCGAACCCTAGTTCTGCCGCCCGAAACGTCTCGTCGTCGTCGACGGGGATGCCCCTCTCGAGTTCCTCGGCGTCTTCAGCGGCGCCGTCCGTATTTACGTTTCCCGAGACGAAAGTGTCCGCTTACCTGGAAACCTTGTCGTCTTCGATGTCTCCTCAGCCACAGAAGAAACGCCAGCCGGAGCCGATCCGGAATCCGCGTTCGAACAGTCTCATCAGAGCCGAATTCACGGTCATTCAAGTGGAACCTCTCAAATTCAAGTTCGAGCTGTGCAACAACAACAAAAATAGCGGCAGCTGCAGCAGCAGCAGTAGCAGCAGCAGCGGTGTGAGCAGCAGCAGTTGCGGCAGCAAATCTGTTTCTGTGGCTTCGGCCAGGATCAATAGTGAGCCTTTGGAAGGTCTCGCCGTCGCGGCCTCGAGTAAAGAGCACAGCATGATGACCCGCGGACGTAAACGCCAGGCGAATGGTGATAACATGGTGCAGAAGCGAGTGCGGGTCTAGTGGTCGCCCGATCTACAATGTATATATAAGTTGTTTAGGGTTATTTTAGGCATCTTCCAATTGTAGACGGAGTGGGGCCGCGCGGAGCGTCACGAGCCGTCGCCGTCGTTGTCGTGTCTGTTACTGACGACGACTGCCCCGGCACCCGTCGAAACCTAATGTAAACTCGTGTACATTGGAGAGCATCGATCTGAGATTCCTCTGCAATCGGTGAAACGGGAAGAGAATACCCCACGCATGAACTTCAAGCTTTGGGAACTGCCGTCAAATCAGATGAAACACTGACGAGGAGACCTGATGACAGGATTCGAGGACTGCCACGGTGCGGAAGAGGCCTCCTGGGACGGTTGGCCGAAGTTCCTACAAATCACTGAGGCGAGGAGTTGAAGACAGTGAGGCGAGGAGTTGGAGACATCGAGCTGAGGACGGAGACAGGGCCGATTAGGCAACCAGAGGAGCGAACAGGATAGACGCGCAGTGACACTTGAGGGAGAAGTATTTTGATACATTGACCAGAAGACCTGTGAGAGGAAACGCTGATCACCGACGAGCGCCGACATTATTTGTCGAGCCAATAATGTTCCGGAAGTCACTGTGATAACGATTATTGGTGAAGCGTAAGCGACGACTGGGTAGCGAGCATAGCTCTCGGATTACGACAACGAGAAGCCGCGACGTGATAAAGGTTCAGTGAAGACGATGGCGTGACTCGACGATGGACTATCGCATATGTGCGTTATACGTAGCTGCTGGTTTCGAGTCGCCAAGGGACAATGTTTGCGTTAAGGGGGGGGGGACGAAGGAGGTAGGCAAAAGGAGATTAGTTGTTAAATAATAATATTGCAGACGACGTGCTCCGTTGTTTTAGTTCAATTTCTTCTCTTAGAGTCGAGCTAGTTTTGGTAGGAGACGGAGCACGCATAAGATATCTCGATATCTGTGAGCCAAGCGGTTCCTCGAAAGACTACTGCTTGAAGCCGCGGATCGACGTCCTTCTACGGACGAGTACATGTGTTCTGCCTTAAAGGTCCTAGGTTTCCGGCTTCAGTGGGCTTGAGTCGGCCAAGAGACACGAACGGCAGCCGTAGCAATATTTACATCCGTTTACAGACTCCCTATATGAATATATATATACTTACATATATGTATTTTGCCCCTCATCTCCCGAGTAGTTAAGTCAGAAGAGGGTTCGCTTGATGCGTTGAGTTTATAGACTACCGCTGTCGTTAGATACCAATTTAATATGCATTCATATCGAGTGAGAATAACGTGCATCCAATCGCTGCGGCGCGATATTAAGTGAGCAAGCCCACCAAAAATTTGAGTGAATCATGCAGCGACGTGAGAGGAAATTTCGAATCATTCTAGTTTCTCGCAGAGCCGCTCAGGGAATGTTTGTGCAATATTCTTTAGCGCCAAAGAGCTCTTGGTCGCGCCTCAAATTGTTAACCGGCATTAAAACTACACTACTGTCCCTTCATCTAGCGTTGTAACAAGCACACGGCGTTCCTTGTACTGTTCCCGCGGCATTTATACAACAACGAGCGATCCACACAGCAGCCAGCTGAGTGGACTCGCACCACATCATCGAAGGTTCCGAGAAGAAGTTTATTGAAAATGACCACGGTCGAGTCGGAATGAAGCAGGAAGAAGAGAGCATCGAACGATTCTTCGGAAGCCAGCACTTCCATTCATGAAATTGCATATTTTGGCGACGCCGAGCCCACGGCGAAAAACGATTAGGCTTCCGTTTGAGGGATCCATCTATGTATCGTACCAGCGTGCCCTGCCGCGCTGCGCTGCGGCCCATAGCATAAGTGCAACGCTGAAGCAGTGAGTTCGAGCGAAAAAATTCAGGAATATCGAAATAATCGGTGGATCAGCACATTTCTTCCCTTTTGGAATGACTTCGAAATCAGAGATGGATTCGACTTGTGACAGCTCCGAACCGGTGCAATTCTTCCGGTAACGCTCAATCGTGTGAATCAATCTCGATCGAGGTGTCGGAACCATTTTCTACCACGTACATTCAACGTTCCTCCACTTTGGCAAACCGAGAATGTCTTATCAATGCGAACTACGATAATCGTGATAAAAGGAAGACGCTTCCGCGGATATGGTGCACGAGATCAAGAGTCTGAAGATTTGATGATTGTTTGTATATAATCATGAGATGAGATGATTAACATCAAAGAGATGTTGTTGGAAGCTACCATGTGAATGCCATTACCGCCTATCTACTGTTGGTTCTGGTTGAACAATGTTTATTACAACGATGATGATGATAGGAACTATTTCGCGGATGGAGATGGAGAAAAGTTTATTAACCACCCGTTGTTCTTACGTTGTGCATAATCGTTCCAAAGGGGAGTACTCTTCAGGAATGGAGGCAGTGAAAACGAATCGGGTACCCTCTCCCGAGTCCTACAGCTTTGAAACCAAACACGTGCTCTCGCGCTGAAGATCTTGGAACATTGTTAAGTTAACCGATGATGGGGTCGGCTCCCATCTAACCTATTCCATAGAATTTATGAAGATCATGTTGTGAAACCGCAGTTTGACCAAGAGGGGACGGAGTGGGACGAACACTTAGAGGTGAAATATATACCGAGAATGCATGAAACAACATCTGAAAGCGTCAATAAAACACATCCGAGTATTTTGTTATTTATTGTACCAGAATCTTCTGTGTTTTCAATGCGGATAATGCGGGTTCGGGGAAAAGTCTGCGAGAGATCAAGGGGGCGGATCAGGAGAGGGAGAAGACCCGAGGAACACCCCGATGATGATGATCGGGGTGAGCGATGAACTACAAGCCATCGAGAGCGGGTCGTCATTACAGCCTAATTGTGGATCGTATGTCCTAGGTATCAAGAGCCGCTCGGTTCCCAGCAGCGGTGTAGAATGCAATGACCAGGCGATGAGTACAGCCCGTCGCCGACGGGACAAGACAGGAGGCCTACCAATGAATGGCGCAAGGATGGATCTCGAATTTTATCAATTCACCTAGTCTTTCAGTTTTCTGATTCCGGTGTGAGTTTTCGAGCTATTGCGGGTAGAGCCCTCTCGTCATCGTATTCATCCTCTCTCATCATTGCTCTCAGACATCCGCCTTTATCCATCCAAAGGCTCGACTCTGTGAATTTGATCGAAAATTAGCTCTCCTGGCGTTCATAGATGCTTTCCAGGACACAATGAGCAGTCGAAAATCGAGACAATCGTGTTTGTAGACGAAGAGCTAGACTGCGAATAGGCGCCGCGTTTCAGAGGTTGTTTTTTTTTGCAATGTCCGTCCTGACCTCGATTTTGGATAATGAGCGACTTGCACGTGGATAGAGCTCGGCGAACTAGGTATGTCTCCTCCTCCCGGAAGGAAACTTCAGAGATGGAGATGGTGGACTCGGGCACCCATAATCGAGCTCCGTAGCGTCGGAGGTGGCGTCCAGCTCCCCTGTCTGAGCATGTGGGATCTTGCCGATAAGAAGGATGATCGTTCCGGCTTTCATTGGAGCCCATCCTTCGAATTCATGAAAATCAGTCCGCGAAAGGTCACCCTGAGCGAGGTACGTCGGGCCCCGGAAAATAATCCAAGCTCGAGGCAACCAATTAGAATACATGACCTCGATCATCTACGAGCCCCAATGGATCACGAACTATGACTTTCTCCTTTATTGTATTCGCAAGTGTCTCAATATTGAGGGGGAAGTTTAGGAATAGACTGACTGAGAGGATCAAGAGTCTTCTGCTCCTTCTCGCTGAGATGAAACAAGGTTCGGGACATCCCGACGGAGCTCCGACCAAGCTTCCTCCGCATGGAGGAGCGGTAGCCCAGAAGTTGCTTGGTCCTCGCTGACTTCGCGAGCGTTAGATTCGTAGACTTCGGGAACCAGTCGATTCAGCGATTATCTGGGGAATGCTCCGGGCCTCCTATTCCTTCTTATGCCCGAAGTGCTTCTCGTGCTCGATCGCATCGCGCACGCATTTCTGCCGGAGAAAAAGTTGTTAGGTATCGTGGGCCTAATGATTCTCTTCTACCGCCCAAATTGGCGTGGAAGAATCGAATCGAGGCCCACCTTATAACGCAGATTCGCGTACTCGTCACCGATGCCGTACTCGCGCTGGAAATGATCGCTTATTTCTTGAAGGACAGGCTTATAGCCGAAAACGCTCGTCGGTGAATCGACAATTCATGGTCGGGATTTGGGTAATCCCACGTAAAGAGATACTCACCAATTTCTCGATCTGTCGATGTGCGAAACAAGCGAACATCTTCTTCTTGAAATCCGCATCATCTATCGCTTTCAGAATGTACTCTTGAGCTGTCATCTGAGGTATCAGTTCTGTAGTGCAGTTCTCGACAGCGAAATGCACTGATTTATCTACCTGCCGGGAGAGACAGAAGAGCATAGACATCGATCAGAACCGGCAGGGCGAACTTCTTGAACCCGCGCGCTCCGATCGATGTGGGAAAACAGTGAAAGATTGTCTCGTTTTTCCGAGTCAAGAAAGTCTACCGAGTATCCTCACCCTAATTTGGGTTCCGTGGTTTGGCATGTGGTTTGGCGTCAAATCTCCATAGAAATCGTGGAAGATTGCATCTTATCTTCGATCAGCCCCAGAAAGTCTGATGGAACTCACCCCCTTCCACGGCACATCTTCTGCCGCCGACAAATATTTCCGAGCTCTGAGCCAACCGACGCCGCGCCCGTGCCGATGCCGCAGGCGAGTCAACCTCCTGGGCATCTTAGCGGACGCGCGACTCGATCAAGAGGTGCGGAGACGAGCACAAAAAACGTAACGACCTTGGGCTAGCTCGGAATCTTGGAAGTCATCGACTTGCTACCCTGAGTCGGTATGTCGTCGGCGGGGAGCTCGACGGCTCTCCTAATGGAGGAGCCCGGATTCCTGAGTCCCGACCCGTTTGGATAGGGTGAAGCGTTTCTGATATTGTTTAATATCGTTTTCTCGTGGGAAATTCAGGAATCCTCGAGTGAAATTGATCGCTTCGCCTTCCGTCGCTTGGATTCCCTTGGTTCGGGTTTTTCCTTTGTGCTTCCTCAATAATTTACGACGGTTGAGGAAGTCGAGGCAACTGAATACGATTATGTCTAGAGCCTGCGAACCGGAACATCCAGTCAATCGGGAGTTTGAAGAATAAAAATGCCTGAAGAGACGCAAGTCAATGAAGGAGCCGTCGGCCTCTACTCCACCTGATATATTATGTAGAACGAAAGTCCCAAGTACATTCCATTGATTGCCCCAACAGTGCCAAGAGCCCGAATGGCCGTATATTTCGGGATTGCGCGAACATGCTCGTATGTGAATGATTGATGATAAATATAGATACGGGCTGGAAGGAAAGCCATCGGCTAACCGACTTGACTTGACCGAATCTAGAATCCGTTCTCTCTCGCTCACCTATCCCATCGCTAATGGAAAATCAGGAAGATCCGGAGTGAAAACTCACCTTCAGACATCGAAGATTCGAGGCTGTCATTCGTCGATGAGTTGTGCGGCGTGAAATTGGCTATCGAAACTCGGCTCCTATAGGAATCGATGCGACACTCTTGCAAACAGCCGCACGTTTCCTGAACGCAGAATGATTTCTGTTGACACTCATTCGGACTCCGGAGGATATCTTATCCCGCCAAAGATCTTTCAGAAATACATCAGCCTTCCGCCCCCTCCCCCCCAGCAGCAGGAATTCCGCGCGACGCACCTCGAGACCATGTCGACCATACTTATGTTTGACATTTTCGTAACAGGTCCTCTTATTGGACTGCCAGCAGTATTTGTAGTCCTCGACCGTGATACGATCCAACTTCACTGACGTATCAGTCGGTATGCATGCGCAGTGTGCGATCGTGAGATCCACAAGGCAATAAGATAGACAATCCTCTCTGGGGTTATGGCAGAAGAGAAGGAAAACTCCGGTATTGCTTCGCACACGATGGATGAGGGCACAATGAGAATATTAATCGAAACTTATTTGATTCGGTTATCACCTCATGTAGGAACGTTTCTTGACGTCTTCTCCCAGCACCGAGTCGTCTTTCATGAACACGGCCGGCCATTCGCGGATGCAAGGGTTCTGATACGGTTTCTGCAAGTGTGAACTCTGCGTCATCACCAGGCCCATAAAAGTGGCGTAACCTGGCGAAACGAACACGGCGTCCGAACTCATCGAGTATTTCTTCCCGTGCTGATGGATGAGGACAGCAAAGCCGATTTCATGAGAATTCTCGAAGTATTCCTGCGAGTAGCGGTCCAGGTGGGTTTAGGCAATTGGTCAGTCAAATTACATCAAGATGATTCGACCTTAGCTCATCGCAAGAATCCTTGAGCTACCTCCAATTCGGTGTTCAGGGTCATGACGAGCCCACTGAGCGGACTCGATAGGGTCCCGTAGTGGTAGTACTCTTCGGGCTGTTTCCCAGTGCAATGGAAACAGAAACAGGTTCCGTAGATGTCATTTATTTCCTCATTGAAATAGTTTTCCACTTGGCCTCTTTCGCCACATGAGCTGTTGCTGGAGTAACTGCGAACGAGAACTGGAAAATTTATCCCAAGCGTTGTATAAAGAAAATCGAGTTAAGGAATCCGGATTGGACGGAAGACCCACTCGCCTGCAAGCTTCGACGGTCTTCGACACGTTGTGTCCCATGGATAAGAGGAGTTTCTGAGAAGCTTTTCCGAGGGCCGCCATCTTCTTCACCCAATACGAAAGTTTTGTTTGTGCGTCCGAATTAGTGATCTTGGCCGACTCATTGGTCGTATTCGAAGTTCCGCAAAACCACTCGCATCTGAAAAACTCAGATGCCAGATTCAGCTCGATGCCTGCGGTGTTCAGATCCCCCGGCTCGGGGACGTATCTACGAGGAGTATATAGGAGGAAAACTATATTCTCGGAGATCCCACCCACATCGCTGTATTCATTGGATTCTCGCGACAGAATGGCTTCCACAGGCTTCCTGTCTCTGCATCGGGTGCATCTACATCTTCGTGCTCCTCGTTCCCCTTATTCTCGGACACGTCTCGATCCGTCCATGCAGGCCCCTCTTGATCACAAAACTTGCTTCTTGCGAAGGGATTGACGTTGCAAATCGTCACATCCGGGAACAGTAGGGTGTCGTTGGTTATGTACTCGTAAGTATAGATGACCTATGAGGTCGAAAATTATGACTTAAAGATGTCCTATGAGGTCGAAAATTATGAAGTATAGATGACCTATGAGGTATTCATCCACCGCATGATTTGCCCCCGCTTCGAATGCGTCGGTATTCGTAGGTTGACACCGTAAGCCTTCTCTCGGGAATGGAAAGTCTGCTCACGGGGTACTTGGTGAACTCAGTCACGACCAGCTTGAGATCGCTGAGTGTCAACAGCACGAGAGGGATGCAGAGGAGCAGCCAGATGGCCTTCCGGAACCGCTCGCGTTGAGGACACGCGAGAACGTCGGCGGCGGGAACTGTGGACCTGTAGAAAGGATTTCTCAAAGTTCGAAAAAACTTGAGGCCGCGCGTCAGCAAGCTCAGGGGCACAGGAGTCAAACCTCACACGAAAAACCTGTATGCGCAGTCCCGGAACAACGGTCGAAACGTTTTCTTGGTTTTCCACCAATAGAGGCTCAGAGCTCGTCTATGAGTGGTCCACCAACTCTCTCTGAGCAAGGAAGAATGAAACGACGGGTCGACTTTCACCATCTCGGAAGTCGGATGGACGCTCTCCTCGAATGTTCAGGCTGAGGCTTCGACTTTGGACTATCGCGAAACCCTCATCGACCCCTCACAGACGAGCTGATGGAATAAACTAGTGCTGATCACGAGAAGGGCGAACCCCTCATCGATCCTCGAAGCGATTTCTTGCGACCATTCCGTTTCGATATCGATAGATTTCGAGGCTTTACATCCGATCTGGAGCATGATTTCTCTGACCCTAAACAGCGGTAAGCACGATGCGTTTCGGTCACGCATCCTCCCTCGATCCAACGACCCAGGAGAGAACCGATTTCTGCAGAGAGAGAGAGGAAGTGGCCGAAATTCTGATAAGGTCAAGTCTCGGTCTGTGCCCCTCAGGCGGCTCCCAGTGTTTACGAAATCAAATACTAGCGCCGCGTCATCGTCCTCTCCGGCGTCTGCTCTGCCATATTCAAATTTGTAAACAGAGCGGAGTAGAGTCAGTTGTTCCGCCCGACTCGAATATTGGAATATTGAGCGAAAATATTGTGATTGTGTGAAACCATTCTCTAATACCCATGACATCATGTTGTCTTCTTTGTGCAAGGCGACTTTGAGCAAACAGTTGGAGCAGAAGGTTAAAGATGAGCCGGATCCGTACGCGAAAGGCCCTAGGTGACTATCGCTGTCGCTTATCCGGGGTTGCTCGGGATTTCCCCTCTTAAAGTGATAGATTCGGATGCTTGGTGTATGCTGAATCCAGGGTGCGACTATGTACGGCTCGAAAGGGCATTGTGAGGCAGCTCGCACAGAAAAGAGCGCGCTCTTGATTCTTGATTGAATACGGCTGACAGCTGGTCGCTTGAAACGAAGCATTCCGTTGGAGGACAGTTGTTCACACGAATGAGAATGTCACCCATGAATTTGTTCGGAATCGGGGAGTCACTGGTTGTTGGGATAGAGAGGGGAATCCCCGGCGGACATAGCGTTGTGGAGATATTCACATGAAACTTAGCGACCTCTTTCTTCTCTTCCATCAGTAATGCCGAAATTCTGACTTTCGAGAATCTAAAAACCTCCATCGAGAAATTCGATGCACCCATGCTTCGCAGGATCATATCAGCGGGTCGCGACATCGAATACCTAACAGAAGAAGGTAGTCTACTTTACGCAGCTGTCAAATTCAACGCTCCACTCTGGGTGAGTAACGAGCACGGATGCGATCAGTTCCGTAGTAATGAGCCGCCGTAGATCCTCTAGATTGAGGATTCGGTGAGCTGCAGATTGACTAACTCTTCTCCATCTAGTTCCTGGAGGAATTGCTGGAACTTGAGGCAAACCCCAACTACTTTTCCTACCAAGACCATCAAACCGCCCTGCATTTCGCTGCTCGCGAGGGCCTTTCCGATGTGCTGGAGGTTCTCCTGGACTACGGTGGAAATCCCATGGAGTTGGATATAGCTGGAAAATCAGTTATTGAGGTGGCCCGTGAAGCCGGAAACAGGAACTGCGTCGAAGTCTGTATAAGCTCTGAACTGTAAACAGTCTCCGTTTCCATCATTATGATGCATCACTTCTGGCTCGATTCCCTCAATGTCCCCGACCAGGAGTTGAGCAGGTACTTACGATCATTTTCCCTCAATCAGCAATTGCAGCACGTTATGAATCTGCAGAGAGAACTACAGATGCGAGAGCTCGGCGCGAAACGGCTTTGTGAGAGACATCGTCTGTCCACTATATGTGAGCGAAGCGAGAAGAGTTCGCTCTCGAACACCAGTTACAACGCCGGATCTACATCAATTTCACGCCGTCTATCAGCTGGTAATCCTTGATCCGGGAGCGAAATACCCCAAACGTGTGACTTCATCCTATTAACCGTTAACTCTCTTCCAGATCCCTTGAACTGCGCCTTCTGCCAGGAAAAGTCCTCGACGGATCTATCGGTGTCCAATCTGGTCGAGACCACACCACCATCGACTCTTTACGTCTCTCGCTATCCGCTCAAATCCACAGAGAACTCTCCCGAGGAACAAACCCCGTTGAGAACGAGTCGGGCGAGGCGAAGACTCGCGGACAGTTTCAATGAGGACCCCGACGATGAGAATGAAGATGTGCAAGCGCCTTCCGATAAAGGGGTGGTGCGAAATCTCCGTGACGGTCTCGGGAAAGTCGCTGCCGGAATCCTCGGTGTGTATACGGAGCTCACATGCGTTCGTAGTGGGTACTTCTCGAATTTGGAGTATTGCCGGATTCTGCCGTCCCGAGCAATCAGTCACGATGGCTGTTTCGATTTTAGCTTATCTCAGTTCGGATGAATCTCCAAGCGGTGATCCCAAAAAAAACGAAAGCGATGATTCTGGCGAATCTAGTTTCGAATCCGCCAAAACCACAACTTCGGACGATTCTAGAACTTCAGCTGAGCTCGACAACCTCAACTGGACTAGGGAAAATAGCGTCGCGGCTCTGAACGACTTTCTCCTGCGGGCGACTCTGCAGGAACGTCAGAAATCGTTCTCGTCCACCCTTTTCACCGAAGATTACACTCTGGGTACTCTTCAGTAGGAAGCTATAGATCACTAATCTGATCATCGCGTCACGCTCTAGCGATAGGCAGACGTCAGGATAGACATTTTATAAGCGGTTGCGTCGGGTTGAAGATCCAGTTTCCCGCAGACAACTCCACGATGTGATCTCGGGCTAAAATTGCGTTTTCCTCCGCAGACCGCGACGCAGGAGACCGGGCTACCTTCCACTCGATTCGTTCAGTTAAAACTCCTCTTCCTGAGAACATCCAGGTGAAATAACTAGTAATTCGAACATTTTCATGAGATAGCGTTTCCCGAACTGAGCGACACTCGACCAGAGTACGTGCTTGCTCTAATTTTAAAAGGTTTTGGTCCTCACCCAGGCTTGCTACGAAAGATACATTAAGGTATTGTATTCCGCTGGAACGGAGCAGCGGCGAAATATTCCTGAAAGATTATTCATGTTTTGAAAAACAAATTCTCTGATTCGGACGCGAGATCCTGTGGTGAAATCTGAGATCGGGATTCCCGATTATACCTCAGAGTTCGATACGGGGCTTGGTTCTTCGAGTGTTCGATTAGAATGAAATCGAAGGTGGAAATGCATTGAAGAGTTGTAGTTCTCCATCTGAATTCTTAGCGCGTGTCTCCTCCGTGTACGTATATAACGGGGCAAAGTAAAATATTATTCTATGAGAATTTTATCTTCAAGTGCCTCAGCGACGAGGAGCTCTACGAACAATTGAAACAACTCGGCATGAACCCCGCGCCTGTGAACGATGCCACAAGGCCCATCTACCTCCACCAACTTGCACATCTCCGTCTGGGGAACGAAGTCCGGTTGACGATAGGCGACGAAGTGAGCTTCGTCTCCGCAGTTGACGGAAACTGCGTCAGTAAGTTCCGTATGCGAGCAGGATGCGAAAGTCCAGGGGAGCTCAGACTCCCCTCAATTTCAAATTAATAAATCGAAAATGATTGGGCTCCGATCCATGATTCAGGCCACGCCGAGGCTGACTGCTGCCAAGTCGTTCACCGCGACACTGACTCGGGGCTGATGCTACTTGAAGACCACTACGGCACGAGACGCTCGATATTACCCGCGAACGTCGTACAAGCGTCGATCTCGCAAGCTATCCCTCCGGATCTTGTAAAACTTTCCAATGATGAACTCAGGCATAAGCTCACTGAATATGGGGAAATGCCCGGACCCGTCAATCGACAAACTAGAGCGGTGAGAATCTCGAGCTCAACGATCAGAAGTGACGAACGGTCACCGATGATTATTTTGCAAGATTTCTAATCTCATCTCGAGGTTCCTAAGTTGCTAATCCTCCCCCCGTGCAGGTCTACCTCCGGCTCTTACACCGTCTCAAGCAGCAAGCGATGCACACTCCATCACCCTCCCAGCTCCGCTCGGTTCTTCCATCGGAACTTCATCAGCTCTGCATGCGTTTCGAGCAGGTTTTCGAAACGTATTCAAATCTGGAACGTCAGATGGAAGAATCTTTCCAGAACCCTAACAAGCGGTGGCGAGAAGGCTCGGCCAAAACCGCATTCACCTACCTTCTCCTAGACTCTGGCGTCACCCAGAACCTCCCGCTCAGAGCAGCGAACTTGAGTTTGCCCGAAATGGTAATATTGTCGTGTCTTCCCGGTTATTCCGGAATCCTCGCTAATTTCCCCCCTTCGTCTCCCCATTGCTCGTTCAGTGGATTTGGCCCAAAGATAGAAATTATTCGATTACAGATGGAAGTGTTCGTCAAGGGAATATTCTACGTTGGCAAAGGCAAACGATCCCGTCCATTCGCTCACCTCTACGAAGCTCTCGAAATCCGGAACGGGAATGGCACGACGAAAGGATCGAAGACCACCCCGAAATACGGCCAGACTCCCAGAACGGGAGACAAAATCAAACGTATTCTCAGGATATGGGAACAAGGTCACGGGGTCATATCTCTGCACGTCTTCCAGAATGTGCTCCCGGTCGAAGCTTACACGAGGGAGGGTGCCATGATCGAGGCTCTGGGCATCAATAGGTGGGTCTGCGATTTCTTACGAGGCAGGATGCCCACGATGAGTGGACTTCTAATTCTGATTGATCTCGAAATGCAGGCTCTTAACTAACGAGAAGCGAGGAGAGTTCTACGGCGTGTCGGAGACGTGGACAGCGCGGCAGCGTAAACAGTTAGGAGCCTACTTGGTGTACCGAGCAATGCAAGTTTTTCTCGCCGAAGGAGAGCGCCGCCTTGGACCCCTAGATCTCTGAAGAGAGGAGAAAACCTCTCATCTCCCTCATCCATTCGCCCCCATGGGGGTCAAACGCGGACACGATTGAAAATGTAAACATCAACAATAAAACGGAATGGCCTCTCAAGTGAAATTCAGCATCGCGTCTTCTGGTTCCCAACCCCTCCGAACAGAAGAGAACGAAAGAGACCCTGGATGGGGGGTAACGATTTTATTCTATGCCTTCTCATGATCGTATCCCTAGTGCAGTTCCCCTGCACTAGACTCTATTCGATCATCGATTGAATACTCGTTGCCGAGGCGCATCGGAATCATTGCTCAGTAATTCAGAATCTACAACAAATGAGCACTCGATACGAGCTACGTCTGGATACCACAGTTAGTTGTTGAAATATATTGGAGGTATAATGGAATGTTCAACAACGTCAACAGACGGGACAACGAATAATTAAAGATTGCCTTTGGTATCGTTCAGAGGACTGAAAACGTCTGAGCTTGCCATGATCGATTCCGGAAGACCGTCCTTAACACTCCGCACAGGGTGCGCCACGAAAAGTCTTGATTAGTTGCTATGCAGGTATGTGTACATTTCTCGATCTGTGTTCAGCGCAATAATAAATGATCACCGACACAAAGTTAAATTACAGAATTGTCCTAGTATTCATCCGGCTTCCCCCGAAGAACGTTACAACAAAGTTCGCGCGGAACATTAAGGCATTTCAGGAACCGAGTAAATTGTCCGTTTGAAAAAAGGCATGGTCAGGAGGTCGGTATATTGTTTCAAGCTCCGCACATCGCTTTCTACGACTAGGCATCGGACCCGGGACCAGCTTAGTCCAGGACCGAAATTAAGGCGACCTCTGATTCTCTCCGCGAAAGACTTCCCGTCGACTCCGGGACAGTCGCTATTACTGACGGACTACGACCCGGAATCACCGCTGATCCGTGCGCTCTTACGGGTCTACTTAGATATATTCCTTTCATGTGACGATTTTCAGATCTCCGAAATTTTGTCTCATCTGCTCTAGGAAGATCCACATCAATATCGTGTGAGGACCCAGTCGCACGAAAGCCGGTATATATCCTTTGTAGAATGTCATCGGACCCTGTTTCGCTGTTTGTAGGATGCAGTCCATGAGGCCTTTGTATTCGCCCGGAGCGGCATTCATCATCCGAGTCTTCAGGACATCGAGGGGCTGAGTCAGAGTTGTTGCGATAGCACCCTGAAACACGAGAGCCTTCCGTGAAGCAATCGGAGAGCATGGGAGCGCGATTTTCGACGATATTTGAGCGAGACAAGATCGGCGAAATCAGGCTGGTGGTGGCCGGCTTACCGCGGCGAAGCTCGAAACGAAGTGAGCGTATATTCCGTCGTCGAAATAGGGAGTTGACAGCAGCATTTCTTTTACTTGTTCGTAAAAAGAGATCTGCCCGACTGAGACGACCGATGCCCGCATCGTCGCGGTTGAGGCTCCATTAAAGAGATGTAGGACTCCTTCCCTACGCAAGACCTGGTAGAGTCCGTCCACGGCGTTCTTGTAACTGGAAGGCGGAAAAAAACACTCAGCTCCAAAAGGTACTTAGAAGGGTCAGCTTCGAAATTCGTTCCGTTTCGAAAAACTTGATATGTTGGCGCGGTATCAGTAGCGTACTTTCTTCTCTGTTCCGGAGGCAGTTTCATATCGTTTTGCATTCGCACATTTATCATATCAGCCGGAGTTCCTACGAAGCCCCCGGCCGCGCCGCATAAGAAACCGGCACCGAATTTCTCATAGAAAACCATATTCTGCCCAGGTTTCGATATTTTTTGTCGAACAACTTCGTAAAGGCCGAACCTTGTGGTGGAATAAGTCAGCTGGAATGAAAGAGTGAAAATCACTTCCAACCGAGACGTAGCAAGCATTTTCGGGGGTATTGAATCTCCATCGATTACTATTTTCGGAATCGGGTAGAGCGCTCGCTCTGCTCTTCAATATATCAGGAGGGGTCTGCCAGGTCGATCCCGAGGAGGGACGGAATCGATGCTCGGAATCACGGAAGTCGCGGATCATGCGTAGGGTCATAGGCAGCAGGAAGGCGGAAAAACGCTTGGCTTATCGTTGGACTCACTTGACGTAACAGTGAAGCCGAGAGCCCGTTATAAAATCCGATTATTCCGTTGGCTTTGTATATGCTTCTTGTGCTCGCTAATATTCCGACCTTCTGACCGGGAGCACCCTGGTTCTTGGTTTGTAGGACGACCTGCAGAGGAAAAGCAAATCAAGAGTTCAGAGCTACCCCGAACGTTCTTCGGAAGATGGCCAGAGCCCGGAATTGCGGAAGTATCAGAAGTGTCGGACTCACCTTCAAAAGGTCCAGAGGATGGGTACAGCAGGCTGCCATCGCCCCAGCGCATCCGCCGAAATACCATTTGGCCACTCGAACTGTCTTTACAGCCTCTGTTCCGGGCTCGACTCTGTTGGCCATGGCTGTAACAGTCAAGGGTTTAGATTCATCTCATATCAGAATTTCCCGACCTCAGCTCACGTTCAGTAGAATGAGCGGAAAAATTCAGACAGCTCGGACGTTCCCTAGTTTGAGAAGGCTATCCCGAATGACGTCGCTCTAAGCTCGTTCGGAGGGAATATATTCAGAGGAAATGGTGATCCTAGGCGATCTCAGAACGGTAGAAGCGGACTCATTCGAGCGGGGAGAATTATTAATTATCGACTCATCTCACCAGCTATGAATCGCTTGCTCTGGATCAGGCCATATAATGCGGCAGTCTTTCCACAAACTCCGTACAGACTCGAGGTGTCTGACGAGCTGGCTATCAATGGGTTCAAGGACTTTCGACGTATCGGGTCGCTGAAAGACCGCTGAACTCTATTCCGGAAACGAGGATTGCCGCTCTAGACGTCAGGGATAAAATCGACCCGCGACTCAAACGCGAGCTCGGAAAAGCCACGTCAGTCATTGAGCATGATATGAGAGATTTCAGAGACAGCAGGAAACTTGAATCGATATTCTCCCATCACACGCTTCTATCGCTCGAGCACTGAGGTCGCTCACAAGCACCCTGGCACGATTTCCACGCCGCTCTCGATACAGGAAGATCACGAGATACGGCCCTCGCGCCTGGCTGCCACCGAATCGCCGACGAGCAGCCAGTCAGCGTGACCTTAAGCGTGCTTCCCGCTTGACAAAACGTCGCCGGACTCTCCATCGAGGGAATGAACAAATTATTCGAGCCTCCAAGGGAGATTTCAGGGTGAATACTTCCGTCGGTATTGCTTCTCGAAGCTCCCGAACGGAATGAAATCGATGGAGGGATCACTGCATCTAGATACGGAAGTTCCGAATTCCCGATGTCTAGCCATATCGACATGCTTAGCATTGACCTCTAAATTGCTCCTTCTCCCAAAAAACTCTCAGGAAACATCATTCCCGAAGAAACGTCGAACGAACCCCACTGCCGGTGTGGGAGTCGTAAATTAATGAGCGTTAGTCTCGAGGTGCGACGTGGTTCGACTCGGAAACTTGAATGTATTCGGGCGGGTTCTATCGCAGGGATCGCTCCAGAAGAGCATTCCGGTGGAATCGTGTATCGCTAGGACCAGACTCCAGGAGAAAGCGAGACTTCCCTCGAACAAATCTTTCCGAAGAAAGCGACCTGAACTATTCTCGGACCCGCGTTTTCGTGCCTTTTCCAATGGGTGACGCATCGACTTCGCGCGGCTTCGTAACAGCTGATTCTCCGAGCTAATAAGTCAAATGACGAATTCGGAGAAAGGAGTGATACTCTGCGGAATTTCCACCATAGTTCGAACTATCCTTTGATTCCATCGCGGCTTCGCCAGCCGAATGAGAACACAAGCAGAATTATAGCGTAGCAATATGACAGGTCATCGATTGTGGCCTGAATTTCTGAGCCCGGCTCTATGCGCGATCCGATTCAACCGTGCTGCACGCTCAACCCTTGTCCTTTATATGTAGTAAAGGAACCAATCTGTTTAACAGCTGAAAACGCGTGACATCTCAGGAGACACAATACCTGATTATAGATGGCGATGGACAGCGCTCTGTCCGGATGGATAGAAAGCTGCTGTACAACCGCGTGTCAAACAGCGAAGCGATTCACGTAGCTTGAGGCGAGGGTAAGCTGCAAGCAAGCGACACAGTGACACAGCTGAGAGCGAACCGAACGAAGACTCCGCGAAGTTCGCCTTGAAGATCCACGGAGGGCGCCACATTCCATCTCTCTGTTCGGCCCGATTATCACGATCATCGACGGTCGGCTCGTCTAAGGATCATCTTCCTCCAATCCGGGCTCGAACGATCACAAGCAAGCCATCGTGACCGAAACGGACCTCTCAATCCACGAGGTCTTTGGGAACGAGGAGCAGGAGAGCCAGGGATCGAATTCGCATCAGGACTAGCGGAACTCCGACTGATAATTTAATTGATAGCAGAAAAAACGGTCCCTTCCAGAGATGGGTTTTCAAAGGTCCTCACGCTACCTTTCAAGGGTCAATCTGCGAGGGAGATAGGAAACGGCTCAAAAGACGACATGGCTTTTCTACGGTCGACTGATATACGATCTCGGTGGCCCCGATTGGAGGGTCGAAGGAGAACCATGCCGAAATGAGATCGAGACTTCTCGAGAGCCAGCTTGCGGATGGGGGTTACTTCTGAACAGGGATGTTCTCGAGCACATAGGATGAGCTTTGTGAAAGAAGACGCGCGGATCAAGGATGCTTCCTCAATTTATCAATAAGTTACTCTCTTGGTTTTGGGTTGGTTCGTTGTACATTATATACAATTCCGGTTTGTGTACAGCGCTTATTTACACAACGATTCGTGGGAGGTGCTTTCGGTGAAACTCAATGGACTTGACTCACTGAACGAAATTATTCCGAAGCTATCTAGTTGGATGATCGCCGACCGGGTACAGTTTTTTTTGGTTTTCCTGCAGATAAAAATTTTCCTAAACCTTGACGTTCTCCAAAGTCGCTAAGTCGATATCGTTCACGTCAATTTCCTCGAGATTGTCGAGGTTGAGGTCATTCCACGCGAACACCGGATCGGGAACGTCAACATCGAGCACCACATTGTTGCCGGTCGACAATCCCACCGAGCCCATCGCTGAAGAAGGTCTCACGGATTTCTGATTATTTGTCTTGTTCAGAGGATGTTTGTTTTTTTCCGATTTCTTCTTCTTCTTGGGCGTCGATCCTTTCGGAGATCGAGTTTTGGTCTTCGCAGTAGAACTCCTAGAGCTAGGGGTCAATTTTTGTTGCTGCAGCGGCGGTACCGGTTGTTGGTAATCCTCGTCCACAACCAGCACCGACTCCCGGTCGTCGTCGACAGCCGTGGCAGGGGCGGCAGCCGTCGAATTCAGACTTAACTCACTAGTCGGAGATGCGGGAACGCTGTCCCCGACGGAATCCTCCACCGTCCGCGCTCTCTTCGGTCGGCCAACAGGACGGCCCGTCGATCGATTGTTCCTCTTACGTTTAGGCGCAAGATTCATCAATGAGTCGGCTGTGAGCGGGGCCTGCTCGGTGGGCACGCTTTCGCTCATCGGCGCCAGAGCTTGAGCCTGAGCCAACAGTCGTCGTTCCTCCTGTTTTTGGCGGACTGAAAAAAAAGCGTGTGGTCAACCGCTACGTCCTGAATTCCCGATAATAACGTTTACGGCCTCGACGCTCGGCTTTCAATCGATGGGCATAGCTACAGCACTTACATTTACGCTCCAGCTCCTCGTCGTCGAGCAGCAACGAAACAACCTCTTTCGGTTTGAGGGCGTCGTGAGGCCTCATGTGGGTTCCGCTCATGACCATACGTTGTATTTCGCTTTTCTCCTTAGCGCGTTCCAGGATGCGTTCTTCTATGGAACCCTGGCAGATCAAGCGGTACACCGTCACCTGCTTTGTTTGCCCGAGCCGATGCGCTCGATCCATTGCTTGTTGATCCACCGTCGGATTCCAGTCACTATCGTAGAATATCACAGTATCGGCAGCGGTCAGGTTGATTCCCAAACCTCCCGCTCTAGTCGACAAGAGGAACACAAATATATCGGCTCGCTCCTGGAAATCGTTCACCATGTCTCGCCGGTCGGAGATGCGCGAGCTACCGTCGAGTCGGATGTAGATGTACTTCCGGTGTATCATAAACTCCTCGAGGAGGTCGATCATACGCGTCATTTGTGAATATATTAGTACTCTATGCCCTCCGGATTTCAGCTGTTTGAGCAAGTCGTCCAGCGCGTGTAGTTTCCCACTCTGAGTGACCAGTCGTTCCTTGCTAGGGATCACGATGTGCGACCAGCCTCGGCTCGGTCGACAAGCTGAAATACCGAAGCTCTCGATGCGTCTGCCCGCCCTTATGAAAGAAGACGACGACGGTGATTTGAGATCCTCGATTGACATCTTCGTGAAGCCAGTTTGAAGCCAGTTGTGCGCTTCGCGGCTTCCACCCATGCTGACCCGTTGTAACCAGCGGAAGCCTCGGTTGTGGCTGGTGCACAAGTCGGGGCTAGCCGCCAGACAGACGCTCATGAGACAGTTCGTCATGAAAGCGGGAGGAGGCAGCAGGGTGCTGAATTCAAGAGCCGGTCTCGGTCTGTGTCGGACTCTCTCAACTTTGATGCGGATCGGTATCTCGTCCTCGTCGTCCTGATGCTCGTTGGCTTTCCGAACACGGTGCTCGTAATGGGCGGGGGTCTCTGGTATGGGAGTGATGGTCACCCGCGAACCAAAGCAGTACATCTCGTCGTAAACGGCGAATAGCAAACTCTTCAGAGCACTGTGTCCTACGAGGTTCCGTGATGGGAGTTTCGTTGGTAAGGTGTACCATTTGGTGGAGTGTCCCATCAGGGAACGGTAGTGCTCGATATCGACTTCGGAGTTCTTCTCCGATGCCAGTTGGAGTTTATCGAGCCTACTGCCGAGAAAACACAGGGAAACCTCGGCAGGGCTCAAGCCAGTGAGAGAGATGAATTCGAACGCGTTATTAAACGAATTTTCCCAACGCTTCGATGATTGCTTGTCGTTCGCTTGGCTCTGGCACTGAATTTCGCCGGGATGCCAAATGTTCGGTAGACGCTTGTTTGGCAATGATCGTATGAAGAGGTCCGAGTCGAAAAACGTCTTTGGTATACGACACGGATTCAGTTTCATGAAGAACGGACTGCGTACATCCTCACGCTCGAATAGATCCGGATGGTTGCAAACTTTACGGAATTGCATGACGATATTCATGAGGCAAGTCGTTGCCGATGTTGCTGCTTGCGAAGATCCGTCCAACCCGGTGCTTTGCATCAAGTCCTCGATGCGAATTTTCTTCTTTAAAGCGTGACACATGACTTTTTGACGTTGCGTCAGGTGACAATCGACGCGAATCTCGATCTTGTCCGAGAGCTCGTTCTCGACGTCCTTCTTTATCCTGAAAACGAGGGACACGGCGTCAGTGGGTACGGGAAAGGGAAAATCGGGAAATCGGTGAAGCATTCGAGAAATGCGCGCGCGGTGACCTTGAAGAGATCGCTTTCGGCAGACTCACCTCCTTAGCATGAATGGCTTGAGGATCATGTGGAGTCGGGATAGATGTTTTTCGTCGATGGCCGTTTTGTTCTCGGCGTGACTCTCGATATCTTTCGAGAACCACTCGTTGAACTCCTGGTGAGAATCGAAGAGGTATGGCATGATGAAATGAAGTAAGCCCCACAGCTCCTGCATGGCGTTCTGAATCGGAGTTCCGGTCAGGAGCAGACGGTTTCTACAAGTGAAACCCAGAAGAACTTTCCAGCGCTGACTGGAAGTGCTTTTTATGGCCTGTGCCTCGTCCAAAACCATGTATTGCCACTTGATGCGCTGGAAATACTTCACGTCCTGAATGACTAATTGGTAACTAGTAACCACAACGTGGAATGAACTGTGCTCCGTGTGAAGATCTTGGTTGCGAGCCGACCAGAACTTCCGTAGCACTTTTCTATCGGAGGCGTTACCCCAATATGGGACAACTTTGAACTGGGGGACGAATTTGCTCAATTCCTGCTGCCAATTGTGCAGTGTGGAGGCTGGCGCTATCACAAGAAATGGACCCCAGACCGATTGGCGCTCGACGAGGGCAGAAAAGAACGCGATCGTTTGAACTGTTTTGCCGAGGCCCATTTCGTCCGCCAGGATTCCGTTGATTCCTCGGTCGTACAAGCCGTATAGCCAGCTCATCCCTTTGAGTTGGTAGCATTTTAATTTTCCTTGGAACATGCGTGGCTGTGGCAGATCTTCGTGGTCGTCGAAGTTGTTCTCTGACTTGACGGGCAGTCCGAGATCAGCATCGAAGTCGTCTTTTTCGTGTTTGTGAGCCAAGAAGGCATCCCTGGCGTTTCCAAGAGCCTCTGATTTTAATCTGCGGGAATCGTGGCCACGGTTACTTATTGCGAAAATCGGGAGAGCATTCTAACGGCAGTATTCGTCTCTCATCAGGGAGCTACAGGGAATCATAAACCGCCGAAGGATTCGCAAATGAACAAATGAGTGAGGGAACGAACCTTTCAGAATCGACTTCGTCCTCGTTGTTGGCGTCGGGGCCCTGATCGAGTTTCCCCAAGATGTCCTGGGTGGCCTTATCCTGCAGAATTTGGTCGCCAGCTTTCTTCCGGCTCATGAAATGCGCATACAGCTCGGTCTGGGTGATCAGGAAGTTGAGCTTTCTCTGTTGACGTTTCGCCTCCCGAAGTTCTGCGTCGACCTTCAATTGTTCTAAGGCTTCTTTCTCCGCTCGTTTTCGCTGATCCTTCTCTGCGCGATCGTAGCGTTTCCAATATGCCTGCATCTCGCGACACAATCTGCGGAGGAAGTCGTAAGTTGATCAGCGCTTGGCTCTCCGAGAATCCCGGCAAAATGAGGAACGGGAAAAATCCGCAAGTATCGCGACAATGAGGAGATAGGGTTCGGGTGCGTACCTCCGAGATCGCGAAGCATTCTCCCGCGAAACTTTTTGCGAGATCAGTGCTTTTTTGCGAACTTCTCGCATGCATCCGACAGCGAGTTTCTTGCGCAACTGCATGGTATCTTTCCTAGAGTTTTGATTGGATTTGAACGCCCTATGAACATCTTTTTTCGAGATTTCGACCCAGAGTTTCCGACGTTTCGCGGCTGCTTCGAGAGCTAACTGCTGTGGGGTTTTCTCTTTTTTCCGTCTCACGTTCTTCTTGCTAACTTCGTGGACTGCAGGCGTTCCGGCCGGCGCAGCCGGGAAACGATTGACCTCGTCCTCGCTATCGGAATTATCCGAATTGTTGTTATCGGAATTCTCGGCCAGACTGGAATCGTCATCATCGCTGCTGCTGCTGCTCAAGAGACCCCACTGATGCGCCGAGCTGCCCCGACTGACGTGAGCGCCCGCGAAGCGTTTTTTGATCTTCTTCTCGGCGTTCAGCATGGCCTCGACCTCGTCAGGACGGATGTTGAGACGGAGCTGATCCTTCACCTCGTCGAAATCCGCTTCCAGGATGAGGGGTTCGCATCGGTTCAGAACCCCCCACGACCTGTACTTGTATTTGTTGCTCTTGTTGGCGCCGTTGTCCGGGTCGTGAGCGGATTTCTGAAGTTTTTCAATGAGACGTTTCCGCTTCTTATGAACTTTCAACCATTGTCGCAGATCTGCCTCGGTCGGCTCGTAATCCGAATCGGTGGAGTCCTCTTCGAGTAGCCGCTGCAATACGAGGAATGAAAGAAACTAAGTGATCCGTCCGTCGTTCGTGAGGAGCTGTGGTGAGGGAACGTCGGGGCGCGGACGCCGTCCGCTCCTGCGATACGCCCTAATGCCCGGGCAATGACTAACTGAAACACGCACGACATTCAACGGCGGAAGGACTCACTTTGTAGATGACGCTGTCCGGATTCTGGAAGATGCCACCTTCCAGCCATTTCTTCTTGACCGAGTCATCCCGGGTTTTCCTGCCGCTAGCGGCGTACGAATGTAGTAGCGATACGAAGTGAGCCGCCTTTTGATCGGACGCATCTTCGCTAGGAACTCGCGCCGTCACAAGGTAGTCGCTATCGTAGTCAGGGCATGAGTAACAGCGCACGGAATCCTCCACCGGCTGACTTGGTGTGGGCGGAGGACCCACGGACGTCGGACCTATCCGGTTCCCCCTGGACGGGTATATGAGAGGCATCCTGGAAGCGAGGAACTCATCTGTAATTCCGTGTAGAATTCTAGAGTGAAATAGGAATTTCTAGAATATCGAGGTGACCAGTCGGCTCAGTCATCGATCGGAGACGCCATGCGCTCCTGTCTATCCAGAACAAAATATGCGGGTATTGAAAGGCATACACTGCAACGACAAGGGGAAAACTCGACTTCAGGTAGGAATGCATTCACCGAGGGAGCATTCATGTATAGGGATGGTAGAGGTTTGGATGTAAGAGGAGATTCCGGAATTCGTGGTAACGACTGGCGCATACGCCGGAGCCCAGCCCCAGGCACGGTCAAGCCGAGGATCTTTTCATGAGTGAAGCAGAATAGATGATTTTTCTCGGTGGACGACTGATCTGGTCTTGGGAACGCATCCAGCCAGCAACATTCGTTGGGCACATTCTTCACAGGGCTTTTTGTCGTTAGTCGTGAGAAGTCAACATCGTCTCACAGGCACGCGTACTGAGCTTCTGGGGAAATGTTCTCATTCGCGTTCGAACGGCTCCTGGCCTTTGATTTGTCTTTTAGCCATAGCATACTAGTCGCATTGCAGGTTGAAAGTGGAAGCTAGACATTATCTAATCCGCATGAGGGTCAAAACATCGTCGCCGGAAAACAAGGAGCATTCACCGAAAGAACATCCAGTGTTGATTTCTCTGAGCGGGCGGCGGCTTCGTCCACGAGACGTTCGATTCCGTTCGGACTTAGAGACTTATTGACCGGCTACAAAAATACGCATCAGACCCTATAAAGCCGCCGCAGCCGCCGACGACGACAACACGACCGCAGCATCGCTGCGGACACCAATTCACGTGAGAGAGATCGCTCTCTGACAGCTAAACTGATCGTCCGACATTCGGAGACATAACCTACGTAAATTTGACATCGACTGATTATTCGAAAGACGTCGATCACGAGTCGACTTCGGCCACGCCGTACAGACCGCCGGTCCGAGCATCGAACGAGGAAAAAAGCGACCAGGGAAGCAAGCGAGTCCCTGGGTAATCCACCTCTTCATTACATATCTCTGCGAAGAGCAATGAGGAGATATCGTGGATTCCTCTCTGAAACTCTCCGGAGACACTCCCGGAGGCCAGTTCCTCGATCGGCCGGGTATGCAGCACCTCGAGAGAGACTTCAGCCGATTCGGACTTTTCCCGTGAGCGAAAGCTTGGCTCTTCCTGTTGCTGTGAGCTGAGGTTCGGTCTCTATCGGACGAACCGACGACTAGGGCGCGAATCAATCCCACTCCATGGACTATTACCTGGTTACCTTCAGGATCGGCGCTCAGTGGAGGTTCACTATCGGTTTGTTGGACGCTGGGCACATTTCCGTCGGGCTTCCTTGAGTTGTTGTTCAGGGCGAACCCGTTGGCTTCGTGGGCTTTCGACCGCTAAGAGTCGCACAGCCCATACTCTCCCCTCCACTATAGCCAACAATAACACAGGGACGCCATTACTACAGCAGCAGGCAGCGGCAGCCGCAGAAACTCAGCATCAACAACTAACCAGAGCAGCGGCGCCGCCGCTGTCGCTCTTCGCTGTTCTGCAACGGCACGAGAATCGGCTCGTGCGCGCGAGCGAGCTCGCGAGGAGAACAGAGCCCCTTGCAAGACCACCGATGCTCACAATTGGGAAATATTCCGAGTCGGTACTCCTCAGAAAAAGAGCGCGGAAGAAGGATCATAGGATAGAATCTTTTTAAATGGAATCCGTCGAGACGAGAGAGTGAAGACGCTGATGTCGATGATTTTTGCTGGGACTTTGAAGAATTGCGGGCTGCACGCTGGTGAATTTTTAGTAGAAGCAACCTCTTCCGCGACATTCTGATTCTCGGGAAGGTCGTCGTGGATGAATCTTGACCGACGCTGAAAAGAGCCCCCGGAATCGAGAATCTGTGCACCAGAGTGCACAAAGAAGGAGATATCCCCGGCAGGAGGGTGGTCAGAGGGTCTCAGGCCGCACAGACGGGCCCGGCAGAGCGTCATTCCCAACCAGGTGGTTCATCGTGATGCAAAAAAACGCTGTGAAAACTCGCCATGAAGCTGATGTAACGCTTGATGCGGAGTCTCTTATATTTCTACTCTTGCCGGCTGATCCGGAAGCTCTGCTCCTTCGCTTCGACGATAGGTTTCCAAAGCATACTAGAATCAGGCACCTTCCCTTACTCCGAAACTACCTCGTCCTGCAAGGCAAGACGCCGACCCGATCAGTTCGGAATCTTAGAATGCGGAATTCTCACTCAAGTCAGGAGTCCTGTCCCTCAGGAGAGATTTTTTCTCTCATGAGAGAACACATTCCTTCACATTTTCAGGTGAAGATAGGGGAAGTCTCAGTTCCACTCGACTGAAGGCCGCGATCCAGCGGGTCGAATGCTGACTCTGGCACCGATCCTGGACTCCTGCATGCTTCGTTCAAAACTAGCCCCGTGGTCCTTCCGTCAGGGTGTCATATACGCTCGACTGACGATGAGGAGCGGTGGTCTTCTTGACAAAACTACCACGGGATGCTCAGGACGTACTCCCGATGCGCGTCCCGAGTCGGGAGTTACTTTTTTGAGGACACTCGTCTGGGGATCATCATCGTCGTGCTTTTCGACCGACAGCTCCTCCCCACATCACATCCCGCCTGACATTGGTGTTACCTCCACGGGATTCGACCAGCGCTCCATCCATTAACATTCAGAACATCGAGATATGCTAGCCTCATACATGGAAGCCGTGTCTCCATGTGCATGACTTTCTGTGTGGCGAATGTGGCGACAATGATGATAGGGGGAGACAGACATGCTCCATGAAAGACCAAAAAAACTTTTTCGGGCTGATCCACACAGCCAAGGTTTAACGTCCCGGGTACTGTCATTCACATTTCTTCCGAGGACGGATCCATAGAGCAAATGTACCCGTGAAAGACCAAGAGGTTTGGGAACATGTGGGGAAATCGTTTTATTCAATATGATGATAATTGCCAGCCTCGGTAGTTTCGCATGAATACCTCTCCGGTCAGACCAATTAGTAGCAGAAAATGATCGGCTGTATCAAAGCAAATTATTTGATATCCTAACAGCCGCGTTGAGATCGCTCAAAAGCGAGATTCTTATAAAACATCCACGGCCTCTCTATCCGCAAGACACTTCCGCAGCAGAGTTAGTCGCCTCCACTGATAGCGCCGATGCTGAAAAGACCGCGGACAAGCGTCATCGCGTTGAGAGCATCGCCGTTTTTGACGTCTTTCAGCAGATCCTCGACCGTAATCGGCTCCTCGGACTTGTAAAGCTTCTCCAACAGCTCCTCGTATTCAAGGGAGATCGTGAAAGCGCCGCTGTCGTCCTCGGATCCCATGAAGGTGGCATCGATCATCATGTGACGGCTTCTATCATTGTTCATCGAGCTCATGACGACTAATTCGCTTCGGGAGGTCAGATCTTGGCTTTCCGCCACATTCTCCTCGTCGACACCATCGCCCTCATCCATTTCGGCATCTTCAGCCTTTCTCACGAACCAAGTTATGTGCTCCTTGTTCCTGAAGGAGATTTTTGAGGAGGACGTGATGCTCCCCGATTCCAGCTCGAATTTTGGCTGGCCGTAGGGCGGCAGACGGTTAGTCATGAATTCCTGGATCATTCCTGGAACAAGGGCGGGAGCCACGATTAGAGCGAGAAGAATTGGAGCAAGTGATTCGACCGATATCGATCGCTTGGAAAAAAAAGTCTCACCGTCTGCGGGTGGCAGGGGCTTCGAACGGCTTCGCACGCTTTCCGCCAACTTGACCAGGGTATCGGCGTAATCCGCATTCGAGATTGAATTCGCTCTTGGGAGGTAGTGGAACGGAAGACCTTTGCGAAGTTCCTCGCAGACCGGAACCTGCTCCTCGATTGTCGCGATGATTGTCTGAAGTAGAAGATTGGCCCGATGCATGCCTTGGAACGTGCTGAAAACGATGTGTGCTCCATCCGTCACGCCCTCGGACTCGAAAATCGTGGTTTTCGGGAAGTAGAGCACATCTCCGGCTTTGAGATTTGCGGCCATGATTTGATCACCGACGTTTTCTTCCTTGAGCGCATCGTCAAATTCGCACACCATTTCTCCTTTCAGCTCGTGCAGTTTCCAGCTGCTGCTACCGCTCAGTTGCAGTACGAATTTTTCGGTGTCATCGTAACGACGCTGTTGATTTTTTGTATCTCCCGGTACGAGGAACACTTGAGATGACACCAGAGAACCCAAATGACACTCGAGTTTCTCAATGAATGACCAGAGACAATCTTGGAAACGCTGTGGCTGATTGATCTGGATCGCGTACTTTTCTTTGTAGTGGTTTTTCACAAGATCTTTCGTCAATGTTTCGATTTCCAAGTCTTGGCGGTCTCCATCGACGATTTTCGAGAAAGTAAAATCTCGGTCTGCAATAAGGTTGAGATCACCCTTCTCGCTCCGGGAAACGATCTCCTCGAACACCTCGAGACTGAAGATTTTCGACAACTCCTCGGAGGCTTCAGGTGCTTCGATGTGGAGCGGCTTGCTGCCCCAATGATTCTTGAAAAAGTCGTCGATGGCTGTTTTCGAGTTCTGAAGCAGGAACTGCAGAGAGTCTTCCGGGTTCTTGAACCTCTCGCAAAGACTCTTCAGGTAGGGATCCATGCTCCTGGGGGAAGGACGGCCAGTCAATTCACGCGAGTTGCCAGCATGCGCGCGAGATTGAGCGTATCATTTCGCCATACATATCTGTTTCTCATAAAAATTGACGCATACGGGTCCGACACTCACTCTTCGCGATCGACCTTCTTCGGTGCGATCTTCTTTTTATCGGTCTTGCGCTTCTTTGTAGCCGAACCGGAAGTCGGCGAATCATCGGAGACCTGCTTGCTCCGCTTTGCGCCAGCTCGTCCCATTTCAACCTAATAGACAATTTGAATGACATGGACGATATACCAAGACGACCGATCACAAAATAACGTGGGTTTCATTCGCACGAAATGGGCATTCATTTCGACCGCGCGGCGATCTCGCCAGGCGGCGTGAATCGCTGAAAAGCCATCGGAGCTCCGGAACGAATCTCAATAGCCTCAATCATTCTCGTGGCGTCAATCTCAATCCTCGAAGGTCTTTAGATGGATCATGTCGAAGGAAATCGATGGGACACTCGGAATAGAGAACACTCCTAACCAACCTGATTTTTATGAGCGGTACGCTAAGAAACGCGCGCGAATCCCTGCACGTGTGGAATGAGGATAGTGGCGAAGACGGCTGTCGTTCTTGGCCGCTCACGTACCGTGGCGCTGTGGCCCTTCGTAGACGCGCGCGGAGTTTGATTATAATCCAACGAGGTCAGCCCCAGAGAAATTTTCGGCGACTCCTGACATTTTCTCAAGAGTTCGCATTCTCGGCTATCTCGAAGATCTCTCGTCAAGACAGAATGCCTCGCCTCCCCGCCTGAATACGGTCATCCGTATCATGTTGCAGTCTCGGCTCCCATCTCATTGCCTCCACGCTGTACCCGATTCCGTGGACACGAGTACCGATCGTTCAATTCTCCCGACATAAGGCAACCGATATCCGCAATGTTTCCTGCCGGAGTCTTCTCGATGAGCGGCTGGGGAGCGGACCCTGGGAGGGTGGGACTCGCCCAGTAAATGACGTCGATTGATCGGCAAGATCCTACGTACCACCATCAGGGTCGGTCCCATTCCGGTAAATCGAGAGCGTTCACGACTTCAGGATCGATTCCGATGGAGCGATCTTCCGTGCGAGGAGAAACTCGTGCGGGTCGGGACCGATTAGCGGATTCGGGAGGCTGCGGGCGAACGAATCTGAAGGGGTCTGAACGGTCGCATAAGACCAATTCTCCACTCGATCCCAGAGCTCCGTCAGGGCTCAGCTTGGGCCCATCAGAGGTGGGCATCTTTGTCATCCGGAAGACTGGATTTTGATGGAGAAACAAATACCAGCGCGATCAGCGGAGAAACCTGAACTCCGAACATGCCGCAGGATTCGGCAGCGAGGGTGGGCTCAATTATGCTTCACTCTTTGAAGTCGTTCGACGTGACTTCGGAGTTGTATGCGCGGAGGAGCTCTGGAACTTCGACCTCATGTTCCTCACCCTATATCGGTACCGGGTGAAAACTGCGCCGCGCCGCCGGGAGATGTGCTCATCGCAGCTCCCAGCGGAGATACGTAGTTGAGATCCTCCCTGGTCAAGCTCTGGGGAACGGGAGGAAGGGAAAATATTTTTCGGATCTGTGAAGCTTGATGGAGGCAAGATTTTCTTTCCTATTTTTGACGTAGCTCGCACGAGGGCCAGGTGTGGGTCAAGAGCTAGGAAGACGAAGGTTTAGAGGAAACTCTCGGCGGGAATAGGGTAACTGCGCTCACATCCCCTCTTTCGAGAGTCCAGGTGGCTTCTCTCTGATCAACGTGATCCTCAACTCCTACAGACGGACTTCTCGACCGGCTCAATGCGTGCGGGGAGATATGACGAAGACTGAGCGAGTGAAAAATGATAATCTTTGTTGAGCTAACTTCAGCTCACTCAGGCACTACTTCGGTATTCCGTCGGTTCGTCCGCAGTCGATCGCATCTCCCGAATTCTGTTGAGCACTGACAGAATACAATGCAGGGGCTCATTCTCATATGTCTGATGGACGTGGAGCAACTATGCATTGTCTCTCCTGCGCGGGGAGAAAAGCAGTGGCCGTAGGATATCCATAATGAAAAGAGGAAAAGAGACCGGTACTTTGGAAAGATAATAACAGATTTAATAACAGATTTTCCTACTCAAACAGTGTCATATGAAGATTGCACCATTCCGAGCAGACTCTCCATGAGGTCAAACCTGATCAGAGCTCGCTCCAAAACTTCCGTCTCCATTTCTTCTGGCACGTTCGGCATCAAGGATCTGATCTCATCAGTTTTCTCACTCTTCAATTTCAACTCGTAGTGGGCTCGCGAAATTTGTAGACCCTTCTTGAAACTTGCCAGGTACGTTCCGAGCGTGGGCAATTTTTTCAACATCCGATTCAAGAATAAATGCCTGAGCAAATTCAAGCTCGCCAAGAGATATTCACTGTGCTCTAGCAAATCAGTGGTCTCTCCCTCCGGTAAGAAGACGAGTTTCTGCACGATTTCCGATGCATTGACTTGATCATTACCAATCAAGAGCTTTCTCCACGTGTCCAAGAGGAAACCGCGCACTGAGGGATTATCGCAATTCCTGAACAAAGAGTCAAGCAATTTCGATTGAATGTCGGGATGGCACTTCTTATAAAGCTGGTTCCATAATAGCAGAGCCCTCCTTCGGGCTTCATCCAGAGGGCAGGCCGTCATGTTCTGGAAGAGCTGGCTCAAGACCCTCAAAGAGACAGAATACAAGGGGTGGGATCTGCCGATGCAGTCAACATAAACGAGAGCCTCTTCCATCAGATCCAGACCCTTCAACACGAGCAGCGACCTCGGTGAACTCAGTAATTCCAGCACTAGCGGCAAGAGCAAGTCGGCTAAGTATCCTGGCGAATAAACCCGGGGAAAACTTTTTTCAAAGAAAAATCATGTAAGCCAGCACTCCGGCGCTCGATGAGCTCAGACTGAGCTCTGCGCCGGAGGAGGCGGGTCGTCGGCAGTGAGCGAGCTCGAGTACGAAGACGGGGTCGTTGAATTTTTCTATGAATCCAAGCAGCTTCATTGCATGTACGTGTTGCTCACTATCCGATTTCCCCCTATCACAAGGTGTGAGATCCAGAAGGCCGAGAGTAGTTCCCAAGGCGCGCGCCAGGTGAGATGCCATCTGAAGTCGCTCTTTCGCATTGAAGTGGAGCTGATCTCTTTCGCTCATGAATGAGAATTGTCTCTTCAAGAAACTCAGGACAGTCCTGTACCGATCGGTGATCGCGCGAACGTCCTCGTCAACGTCCATAAGCTTCCGCTCCTCCGCGTTTGCGAAGTTCGTATCGTTTGGCGCTTGCAAGGAATCGAAAGTTCCACTCGCGACATCCAATACCCAAAGCAGAGAGGCTCTCGAGTACGGGCTTCGTTTCTCGAGGCAGTCCGCGATGTTTTCCATTACGACATCGAATACGTATGCCGTTCCCACGGAATGTAAACTCTCCATGTACATCAACAACAATTCCTTGGGCGTCGATGCTCCGTGCAAAACCGAAATGATCTCGTCTATCAACTTATCGAAAGACTCCTCATCTGGACACCTGTCATCCTCGCTATGGATTCGATCGCTAGTGGAGATCACCAGGGGCAGAATGACCCAGCCTAGGAGCGGGATTTCTTCAGACGGCAGTGATCGTAGCTGATCTAGGACCATCGCGAACTTGCGGTCGCTGACCAGCTGGATCAATTCCGCTTCGCGATCTTCGGCCGCCATTGGGGCTGTAAGCAAACGGATAATCTCATGAAGTCGTCGAGCCTAGCTGGAGGCAGGTGGATCGATAGCGGAAGGAACCTAAAATCGCTCGATGCAGGAATTGGCACTTTCAGTGAAGATGAGCCTCAATCTCGGTACACACCTGCAATTTGACCTGATTCGTCCATCATGCTGACGCCGGTCGAAACAACCGAAAACGTTAATCTGAGTCGATAGTAGGCGTTTGTTCCATCAGAATTTCTCCTGGAATTCGTCCATGCGCTGTTCCAGTGTCATTATCGCCCGGGCCGGCGCGAGCGAATCGAACGAGCCCCAACCAACAACACACTGACATCCAAACAAAGAGCAGACGACACCCGAGTACTCGCTTCGCTGAAAGTCACCCTCACTGCGGTTTCCCAACATCGAAAGTCGCGGAGCAGGACACCGTGTTTCTTATCTAGAGACCGGATTCGTGCATTCATCGAAAATGACGTACTGGAGGCAAGCCGGGATCACGTAAGTTCCTGGAAATCGGTGTGAGAACCTTCGGGGCGGCTTTCTATTGGGTCTGTGGGATCCATCCCAGATCTTCCGTCTCGGAGTTCTATCTGTGAGGAGCGTGACGACCGCTCAGATGCCCGTATCTTCGCTCTATTCATCTGACGAAGCTTTCAACTCCGCTTATCTCTTCCAAGGTTCATGCGATTCTCCGAAATCGCGAGTAAAGCCACGAAGGCATGCGTGAAAAAGGATGCCAAAGCGGCTATGGAGTTCTCGTCGACTATAAAGAAGACCGATTGGAAAGACGGGAAAGCAATTCGTGAGTTCACTGAAGCATGTTTATCCTATTTTTGCCCGCTCAGAATGTTTCCTCATCTTGGTTTTTTTCTGCTCATCGAATGAAACCATGCAGTGAATCTAATTGAGAGGATTTAATGTTTGTTTTGCTGTGATTCCTAAGTTGCCTGCTTTTTTTCATTCTAGGTCTCCCAAAGCCTGGTAATGTATCAAAGAGTGGCGCTTTTTCTATTTCCCTTCGCGTAGTTCCGTTCGACCAAGCTCATTCATGGCATGAGCCCATCTAGGCTGTGGATATCCTTTTTGACCGTGAATTTCGATTCACTGAGAAAAACGTTCCATTGAGAAATTGCCTGACTGCTCTCGAATGAATTTTTATAGAGTACTCGAAGGCACCGTGTCTGCGAACTTCCGTCGAAATCCGCCCATTCACGACGATTCATATTTTGCAGGTGCTGAGAACTAGTTGGCTCGCGAATTCAAAATGGTCGATGGATGTGTAAATTTTCGCTGCGTGCAAGTCGGGAATGGAATATAGGCGTCTGTTAAAGTACGAGGCGGTGTTTTCTCTTTTGACTTTCGAAGTGATCTATTATACGTGCCGAATCCCCCATGTTACGGCAAACCATTCGGGAGATGAACGAAATTTCATAAGACCCCGATGCAGTAATGCCGTATCTGAACTCCAATCTCTCCGTCGGCAGCTCAACTGTGTCAGAACGGGAATGAGTCGAGTCTCTTGGGAGTGGAGTCGAGTCGTTCCCAGGAAGCTCATCCTTATACCTAGGAGGTAGTCGTATTTTTTCCGGTGGATAGGGCGAAGTTTTCCACAGAAGTGTGATCCTGGCGGAGGCCAATTGGACCGATCTGCTCCCCAGTCGCTCGGGATTCCAGCTATCGCGTCGGCTAAAGAGAAGAGCCCACAACTCAGTCGTTTTGTGGCGACGTAGAGGAGATCCTCTCCGCTGCCGTCACGCTCGGATTCTTAGGAGCCCGAACTCCACGAGCAAGCATCTCGAATCTTTGAAGTCCTCCTTGATGAGGAGAGGGTTACAATAATCGACTAGAGCTCCAACCCCCCCCCCCCCGGACCGATTGACACTCCGACGGATCGCTCCATGGTCGGCCAAATCTCGGCTTTTTGTATTCGCCTGCGCTAGTCGGTCTGGAATCTCCTCCGTGGCGTGGAAAGCGAATTAGCGGACGTGTCCGCCGTCTTGAAGTGTTTCGCTCGATAGATACTGGCGCTAAAAATATGCGAGGTCAGGTTCAGCGAACATTTGCTCCCTTCTCGTAGTCGAGGAGCCTCAGTAATTTCGATGCAGTATCGGTTTCTTCTGGGAATGGAGCTCCCTCAAATGCCAGAATTTCATTTGGAATACTCTAGCCGGGTGATCCTAGCCCTGGTTGCGCCCCACGCATGTCGACGGAAACGCGCCACGACTCGTGTCACCCCTCGAATTTTCCTCCTTTTCGCTCATTCAATGGGAAACCGATGAATTAGTGACCGATACTCCGAGTCATGTCCTCCTTTTCTGTTTTATTAGGATGACGAACCGGAATCTCAACTCTATGACCTCTGATCCATTCTCGAACTGTGCCGCCGTGGGCACGAACCCCTCAACCCCCCACTGAGGATGAGAGTCCCGCTTCGATTGAGTCCCAGAGCTCAAAACTCGATATATCTTTACCCTGCCGGGATCATGCCGGAAGAATCGGAACGATCAGTGTCTCTGGCGGTCTCCGGTCTGATATGCGCATTTCGCCCACTAAATGATATCGAAACGATGATCTTTACAATGATATCTCTACAGCTCGAATATGATGGTATGACAACAGCTCGAGACAGGTTCATTCGGGGGAGAACGAATGCAGACCGCGAATACTCTCTTGGTCGTTCTCCCCTGGCTCTCGACTGAATAAATAACAATTATCGCGAATCCTCTTCAGGCTTCGCTGTTGGGACCACGAACAGCATGCATTGCAAGAACCGAGTGATGCCATCTGGAAAAAGAATTGACGGAGAGTTGAAACATTGAAGGAAATAACTGCCGCTTGTCGAACATACATACATACTACGCCGGGGTGCATTCCCGAACTTACGAGTGCAACGGAGTCTCCATCCGAGCGCTACGAACGGCACGTAGAATATTAAGCCAGATGCTACGAAAGCGCAAGCATACAAATACTCGGGTCGCGGCTTTTGGACGATCGGGCCGACCACCAGATACGAAGCTACTAGACACGTCACAATCGGAATTATGATATTGACCTGGAAGGGAGAAGAGTCAGAATTCTGATTCGGAACCTTGGTTTCGATCGATTTGGATATTCTTGGAATAGATTCATATGCTCCCCCCTTGAGAAAGTCGCACCTTGCAGGGTCTTGGCACATCGGGCCGAGTGAAGCGGAAGACGATGAGGGTGAAAGTAGCCAAACCGTAGAAGAACCAAGCCGCAAAACCGAAGAGATCGATGAGCTTATCGATGTCACTAACCAAGACCAACACTGCCGCAAGAATACCCTGAACAAAATATTAGTCGATCGTAATGAGTCGGAAAATCGAGACTTCTTTGATTGCTCGAGTGAATCATCCGAATTTCGTTGAGTCTCACGTTGGTCAGTAGAGCCGGCATCGGAGTGACACGGGTCGCGTGGGCGAACGACAGGATCGAGGGTAGGTGCCCTTCTCGGGCTGCCGTGAATGAAATTCGAGCCGCGGTGAACGTCGAACCGTTTGAAGAGCCGAACGTCGACGCGGCCACGAATAAAGTGATCAGCCCGGCTGCCGGTCCGAATACATAGTTGCCAAATCGCTGAAAGAAAAACAGACGCTTAGTGCTAAGCGGAACCCTCCATCGACGACGCGACGCCTCTCGGTGCTCATCTCTTGGAGCCTCGCTGGGCGTTGCAACTCACCACGGCCACGGCTTCGGAGGCGAGGAATTCGGAGCTCGATAACACTGTGAGATACGCTACGTTTACGAGAACGTAACTGACGGTGACTAGTGGTATAGCAATCCAGATGGCTCGAGGCAAATTGCTGTAATCACAAGGAAATAAGATCGACGCGAAGCCGAGAAAATGATCCTGATGAGCGATTCGCAAAATCTCCTCTCTAATAATTGAGATCTTACACATATGGGTTGACCAGTTCTTCGGTTACGTAATTCAGGTTGTTCCATCCATCGTAAGCCCACAGGCCGGAGTAGAAGGCCGTGGCGACGTCACCGAGAGACGTGGTCGATCCTTCAAATCCCGTTTCCAGATATTCTGTGTGGCCCATCGCTATCCAACAGAAACCGCCGATTACGATTGCGACGATCGCTCCGAGCTTGGCGATTGTGAACACTGTCTGAATTCGCGAGGCGAGATGAACGCTGGCGCAATTGATGTACGTCACCAGAGCTGGAAGAAGCGACAAAGAAAATCGGTAGTTGGAAATCGATGCTCAGCTTAAGAGACAGCTCAGCTCGGTCTCTACACCGAGTTCACTCACCGATGCACACGAGGGAGAGCAGTTTCACGGGCTGGGACGGAATTTCGTCGCACGAGAGGAAAAACGGCACCACCATGTATTTCGCGAAGGATAGAGCCATGATTCCCAGAGAGGCCGGCTTCAATAATAGCACCGTAGTCCAAGAGTGGAGGAAAGCCGGAACGGATCCGCATCGGTATCCTCGGAAACACTCGTAAATGTAAATGTAGTCGCCCCCTGATTTGTTGATTATAGTTCCTAGTTCAGCGAAGCTCAGAGCACCGAAGAGAGACAGCATCCCGCAACCGGCCCAAACAATCAGCGTCAACCCCACGGATCCTGTGTTCTGCAGTACTCCCTTGGGCGATACGAAAATGCCAGATCCTGGAATGTTATCAGAAGGTCGAATGAACAAGGAGCTCCGAGCTGTTCCCTGTGTCGTCTTGAAAACGCTCCAGAACTAGCGAGACACTCGCCGATCATTGTTCCCACGATGAGGGTCACTCCACTCATTAGGCCTAGGTTCCGCTTCAAGCGGGTCGAATCCTCCCCGGAGGTGTCCCTGATTGTCCCAGTGGGTGGGTCCGTCCCCGACATCCTGATCCCGTTTGAGTCCGAGGAGGGTCCGTAAACTGGAAACGAGAACGTTCAGCATGATTATTCAATCTCGAAGAAGCTTCCCTCTACGGAAAATCGATCCTGCCTTCGATACACTTCCACCGACGATTCATGGCTGGAAAACTCCGCGACGCCAGGAGCGACTGAACTGGAGTCATTTGTCGCCTGTGATCAGCTTGATCAAGCGGAATACATGGGACGATCTATTCTCTGTTGAGACCAATCACTCGATCCGCGTCTAATCAGTTTTCGATCAGCGGAGTTTTCGCGTGATTGGAGGTCGGTACAGAAGGAGAAATTTCGTTTCGGCTCAGAGAGGATTCTGGGTTCTCATTTGGGATGGTAGAGCCCTTCTGGATGAGCCAAGGTTCTCGTGTAAGGATCATCCTCCCGGCAACTATGGCTGGGAGCTTTTGCAGGTTTATAGATTCACGGAAGCTTCAGTTGGGGCTCGGGGACGAGCTGACCTAGTGCTTTGAGCCGGGAAACATCGAGCTCCTACCTGAAGGATTTATCGGAGGACAGGAATCACTGTGGAGGGAACCGGTTGTGGGTCAGATATATGCGAAACAAAAAAAGAGGGAAGATCAATGTCCACGGCGTCGAGACATGCGCCCTGGTACACGGAAGAGAGGAAAACTGTGGAAACGCATTCAGTACACGAATTGGAGGAGGGGGGAGATTTCTGAGGCTTGCGACAGTTTCGGAGCACTTCTGCTCGATGTGAGACTTTTCCGCTTCCTGAAGATTTTGTGTCTGCCAGTATCCGGAGCTCTCGGTGCGTTTTCCGGCGCTGAACTCAGTAGTTCACGTAGATCAGAGTCCATACCGATTCGGATCACTCGGGGGAGGCACAATTACGCTTCCATTTGGAGTCGGAGACCCCGCACAATTGAATCAGAAACGAGAAGTTCTCTCGGAATCGAAAAGCTTCAAGAGTGAAGCATTGTGACATCCACAAGACGCGGTACAGCGGCAAATCGCCAGCAATGAAGTGAGAGACAGTTGTTCCGTGTACAAGAGGAAAAAAAATGGAAAGATTAATACGAAACTCGAAACTCTGATGATAGCAATCAAGGGCAAGGTCTAAACTCATTTCGTGACGGTCTAGTCTTTGTGCCGCCTGCGGATGCAGGGGCTCATCCTTTCGGCAACATGTGTATCAAAGTCCGCTGGTCAGCTACCGAAATTCGACTTGGACACTCCTCTAGCTCCCACCACTGGACTCGAGCTGTTCGTCCCTTTTGCATCCGGAGCATCCCGTCCGTTCGGAATCATTGGGATAGCGGATCACCGGGCTCAGAGCAGCATCTTCTACGACAGACCTCCATGGTTGATCGTCTTGGAAGACACGATTGATGCGAATGATAGGTGCAAAGGTCGAAGCGCGAGTGATTCGTTACTCCAAACTAGATAGGTTCCGAGACTGGACCCGATCGCATTCCAATTCTCAGACGGAACAGAAGGCTTGAGAGCTCGTCGCGATAACATTGCATGGACAATTGACGTTAGACAAACTCTTGTCGTGACCCGGTCACCGTCCCCAGGCGAGAGTTTCCACTGACCTTTAAAATGGCCCAGAAGAAGATCCCATGAGAGCCTCGCGCGAGGAATCCACTTCCCACTGGGAATCCACGGGACAGGTCGCAGTCCAAATTATTCAGATGCCGGACCCGCTTAAGGGACAGTGACCTGCGCTAGATCTCGTTATGAGACTCCGAATCGTAAAAGAAAACAAGAACAAGGTGCGAGAGTAAAATTACTCGACTAGACGTGGGAGGTGTCCTTTCATTGAGAGCTCGTACCCAAGGTTTCAATTGTAGAAAAAGAAAACCTAAAGGGCTAAGAGCCTCTTGACGCGGAGAGTGGTTTGAACCGGTTTGCCATTCCGGACGGGCGGTAGGGAGTCGAAAGTAGGCAAGGCTCGCTGGGCATTGGAGTTTAGCGGACTGTAAGCGGGTGGACAGCTCCAAACAGTGTCCTTTCGCATGTGGTCGCGCACTTGTGGCATCAGAATGAGGCTGACAAGAATGTATCAGAAACCGCGCATCCACCTTTGAGCATGGAAAATGATGCAAGGCTCACCTCTCGGATGATGAGTAGCAATTAATTCCCGATGAGGGAATCGCAGGCGATGCGGGAATCGTCCTGGGGCGAACGAGGTAAGAGCCGCAGCTGAAGGGAGCCGCTGTCCAGAGTTTCAAGAGTTCTTATTCGGGATCGAGAAAAACGTGCGATCTCGGCTGAATGTGCCCCTGCCGGATGATTTGCTAGTTTTCCTCAGTCCCGCACCGTCCATGAATTCCCAGCTCTCGGAGACGGTCGAGCTGGACTCCTCTTCCGCTAACGTACAGACCATGGACGTGTGCTATCGTATTCTGGATATCCACGCGTTGGGAGGGACTCATGAACGCTTCCACAAACACACTCGCGCACACGCTCGTCACTTATTCGGGAATGACAAATGAACTGGCATCGACAGCGAACTGAGCTCCACTGAGCTCATCGTCGACACCTAGTAGCAGCCGGCTGTTTTGCGAGTGTTCTTAGTGCAAGGGAATGATCCGGTGGGACTCCGCTGCTGAGAGTCCCAAGCAGATCAAGAATCGCTAATGAAAAGTCCCGACTTTGACAAGTATCGAGACGCCGAGCACGACACTGGCTCTGGAGCCTCGAAATAGAATCAATTCGAAGGTCCACTGCTCATGAAAGAATCCGAAGCGGTGAGCGCAGCTCTCGGAATCTCCGATCAAAGGTGTAAGTCGTTATGGAGCACCGTGACTTCTTACCACAACCTCCTGTCTGGTCTATCCGAGATCCTACGGCCACTCTCGAGAAATGTCTATCTGTGAGATCACTGCGGTGAATCTTTTCAGGCATTGACGACCTTTTCGGAATCATCGAGCTCCGATGCACCCTCTGTACTCGGAGAGAGAAGTAGAAAAGACCGCTGAACTGTCGACTCACCCGGTGAATATTTGTAGTCGCCCTGAGTCGTCATGTCTGGATCGGGACCAGAGCGAGGAACCTGCGGGGGAGGACAGTGGCTTTCAGAGAGTTGATTCAATCGCAGAAAATTTTTCGACCGCCCTGACACGAGACACGACTCATTCATGAGGGTTCGGCTCCGGAGCACTCCCCGGACGGTACCGGTGTTTCCGCTTGCCGATTGAGCTCCGCTGAATAAACTGAACGCAAATGAGTGCGGGACGAAGTCGGCGCGAGATACATAAGTCGCCCAAGAGATTTCAACAATTCGCGGAGGAAAAGCTGCGCGAATAGAAAGTTCTATTTGTATTCGAACAGTTCAATACGTTGAACGTTCAGGAACGCAAATGACCCGTCCAATGAGCTGCTAAGCGCACATCTGTGCGAGCACCATGCTGTCTCAGCTCCATCTGCCCAGGCTAATTTTTGACGTTCTTCACCACTTGTCAGGCTAATCTCTGGTAAGGGTTATCTTCACGGCCCCGGGATTGGAAAGCGGAAAAAGCCCGAAGAGAAAATCCGTCAAAGCATACGAAACGAGCATCGCTTCGAAAAGGAGCACGCGCAGAGTGCAGCAGCCTCCTCCGAGCGTCATAAGGACCCGATGGCGGCGTGCCGCCGAGGAGAGGGCGCACTTCATCGGCACATGGAATGGCCCGGGCTTTCTCCAGGACGATCAGCCTCGATTCGCACGTGAAAGTTCCGTCATGTACAAGACGATCAACTCACCGGGCGCCGTCGGAAGAAGCCGGGTTCAGCTTGGACTCTCCGCTGGTGGTGTTGAGGGTATCTTGGCCTTTCTCCTCAGTCTGCTCACTCGCGGTGGCCACCACGAGAGCTCAGGGAGGCCTAAGGCCCTTTCTCGGCGTGGAAAGGGATTCGGTGCTGGGAAGGGTGGGGTGGTTGTTCTCGAAGTCGTGCTACGCTTATGAATCCCAGTGGGACTTCCTTCCCAAGCAACATGAGCGCTCCCGCTCATTGAGGGATCGCATCTAAAAATAGCGGCGCATTCCGGTGATTCGGCAATCGCCCGTCATTGACGGGGATGCTCTTCTTCGATGTCCTCCGCGCTGTTGTGGGAGAAGATGGAGATTTCTGGGCATGGGATTTCTCACGGTAGAACTCCGGAATACGAAATGACGGAAAGTCGATATCGTAATTGCATCTTCGAAGACATGCGGTCACATCTCGCGCAGAATTCTGTTAGAGGATAGCCGCTGAATGAACTCTTCATATCCCCCGGGAGTTCGGTCCGGCTCGTTGTATTCCGCTGCGGACTACGTGAATTTCATTTTGGGAAGGAGACTGAGGGAATTCTCCCCCCTTCCGATCTACATGAATTTTTGATTCTTCTCGGGGATTCGATCGTTCCTGTAGGATCTAGGAAGTAGGTCAGAAGTGATTCATCCAGCGACCGATTCCAGATCGCTGTGATTGGTAGGTCGAGGGAAGAGTTTCCGGGTAGATCTTGACGGAGGGCGCCCCGGGCACCAAAAAGAATTTCCTTTGGAAGGGAGCATTTCCGCAGGACACGATGACGATATCCACAAAAATAGTCCAAGAAGATATATTGAAACACAGGATGTCAATACCTTTCTTGGACGTCGGTACCGATGTTTCCCGTACCAGAATAATCAACTTCTTCTGAGTGCGACGAGCTCATCATCAATCGGATTCAAAAATGTCATCGAGCTCTTGTCCGTGAGATGAAGAGTCGGTCCATTTTGATCACTCGGATAAAGCATTGTCAGGATTCCGCTGCTCGGTTTTATATGTACATGTGCGCGACGATTCTCTCCACCGGTCGAAATGAAGCTCTGCTCACAAACGTCACGGAGAGAGCGAGGAAGGGAATATGGGCTCTGGAGAGCGGTGACGACTAATCGAAGGTACTCGTATCAGCCTCAATCCCGAAGAGCTCAATCGAGCGACGATACTCCCTACGGTCCCAACAGCATGTGCCTCGATTTCGCACTATGGGAATGGAGCTGTGGGCGTAAACAAGTCTGACGTCATGCACCTGATGAACTCTCTATTCCAGCGCGTCTTCTTCGTGCATGAGTAGCGACTTTTGGCTCGAGGTTCGACTCTGTAGTTATTGACGCCCTCCCGAGCCTTCATTTCGCTGAATGATATTTCGTATTTCTTGCTTCCCTGTGAATACATACAGAGAAGCAAGTGGTGGTGAACGGAACTCGAGGGGAGGCAGGAACCCGGATCCCTTCTACGACACAAATATTGCCAGAAGAGAAGAATGATAATCACAAGCCCATGCAATGGAGGGGCTTATCGAAATTTCAGCACGCTGATCCGTGTCCGCGCGTCCTGCGCGCGCGTTCTCATTCATCGATACACGACATCGGTGATCATTCAGCCACGCTGCGTTCAGACAGAGGGAGAATCTGTCGTCTGGCAAAAGTTTCAATGCCGAGAACTGGCTCTCTCCCCTCTCAATGGACAGCTTCCTGATATGGGACAGCTTACGGGAACCGAGCACGGAACAATCGTGCGACCACCAGAATTACCGAGACTCTGAAAGAAGATCTTCTTGAGGGGAAATTTGATTTCTCAGCCGATCAGGTCCCCAATGTCAATGATAACGATGACCGATCCGTGCAGGACACATAATTTCGTCGGAGCGGATGCTTTCCTATCCGATCCTGCATCGTCGATCTCTGCTCGAGATCCCATCAGATCTCATCGAATCAGATCGCGCTTCCGGAACGATGAGCGATTTGGAGCAAGACCTCAGCTTCCGAAACCCGCGCGCGCGGCCACTCGGAGAATCTCCGACTTCCGGCGATATCAAACATTTGCCAGTTTCGCCGGATCAGCCCCGATGTCTTCCCCCAGGGAGACCACTTTGATTTGGCACTTTCAGCAAAGCTGTCCGTGAGTCGAGCCCTCCGACTGTCCTCCACCCTCCACCCATCAACGAAAATCCCCCTTCGCCTAAAAGTCTGAAGCTAAGCGACGGAAAAATATTTACTTTGGACTGAGCGGATATTGCCGCTCTAGTGTTTGACAGTTCTCGCTTCCACCACTTTCGATCAAGAACGCTGAGAGCTACACTGAGCCGGAGCTCGGATGGGAGTCGTAGGCCGAGAGCTTCCATCACCAGAGTGCAAGCTCTCCGGCTGAAAGCCTCCGGGAGGAACCCGGCCGGGACTTTCAACTTCCGTACGCCCTGAGATGAGAACATGGTATGAGAAGAACATCGTTCGCTAGTTATATACGAGAAGATTCTGATACGCTTCGGCCGCCTCACGTAGATTGTCCCCTCGTTCAATTGTGCCTCACATCGCCTTTATTGAATCCGTCGACAGAGTGTGAGCAGGTCAACCGATGTCGTCGAAGGAACACTCTGCAAGTGGACGAACTTGTGGAACGGGTGGCAGCCCCGCTGGTTCGTCCTCGAGAAAGGAGTTCTCACCTACTATAAAAGTCGAGAAGAAGTCTGTCAGGGTGAGTATCTGCATAGGTGTGGACGGAATATACGGGAAGCCTTGACAATCGCTGAATGAAGATGATCATTCCCTCAGGCTGCAAGGGGAGCGTCAAGGTGTCTGCTTGTGAAATTGTTCCTCATCACGTGAACTCAAAGAGACTCGACATCATAATTCCGTCGGAGCAGCATTATTATCTTATGGTAAGTGCGGGGTTGCGGGAGCGTTAGGCCACCGCATGCACAGACGATGCTTCAGAAACACCGGGAACGTTTCTTCTGTGTACAATGGTCTGTGCGGGAAGTGGCTTACTTTTCCGCGCTGTCTCATCGGGGGGATAAATTTTCAGGCCCAATCCGAAACAGAGCGGCAGATTTGGCTCGTTGCTCTGGGAAGTGTAAAACAAGCGGCCTTCTCGGCTGAAACCGCCACTGCAGTCTCGACGAACACGGTCCCTGAACTCGTGCATTCGATCAAGAAGAAGAAAACTAAGCTGCGTTGGTATTGTGATCAGCTCATGCAACAGGTCAGTTCGGGCATCCTTAACATTTCTGGTCTATTTCATCGACACATCGAGCGGGAACTCCGGACACGAGGCCCTGGGAAACGCCCCTCGGGAAGATCATACGAAACCCGCTTTTCCGATTCTTTCGAAGTAGTTCATCCCTCAGAATCGACTCCATAGTCAATGAGCGACCCTCACCTGAGGGAGATGGCGATCGCCTTTTCCCAAGAGATGACGAGAAGACTCATCCGTTCAGGAGTTCAGGCGGAAGAGAGGCACTTCGTCGGCCTTGCTTGGGATTTCTTTTTCCATCAGGATAATTGAGTCTGACTGCATTCTAGGTGCACACAATAAAAAACAGCGAGGACGCGGATGAGAGAGTAGAAGCGGCGGGACGCTTGAACGCAACATGTGATATGTTCATCCGCTGTCTTGAAGATTGCGTGGACTACACTGAGTCCACGGCAGCCGATGATGGCGAAGCCAAGGAAATTCGCTCCACGATACCCGCTTTCAATGGAGCGCAGAGTGAGTGATCGACAATGATGATTCGAGACTTGTTTTTCCCAGTTTTCATGCGCGAGCGCCAAATTTGATGTAACTGCATTCAAAACGACTCACTCGAACTTGATCTCACTGCTAGGCGCGATAACAGGAATGGTCGGCGCTCTGGAGAAGCAGAAGAAATCTCAAAGGCCGTCATCAACTTCGTCTCAGCACAGCGGCCGGGATCGTAGCACTCGGACCGACTCCCTCAATATTAAGGTCTCACATCCTCATCTCCTCTCGACGACGTTCTTTCCCTTTCGGGCTCCTATGGATTAGGGAGACATTGAAACCTCGGGGTGGGACCGATTCCAACTTGGAGATAGTCAAAGCCGATCATTTTTCAGGACAATGATGAGTCAGAATCACGAGGGGACGAAGTGTTCCTCGACCTGAACGGAAACAACGACGACTCAGACAGTCGACGAATCTCTACTGAGTCCCTGATCCAGAGAGAAAGCTCCGGAGCTGTTGCGCTCGTCGGTGGCTCAAGTGCGGAGGATCAGGTGCGACGAAGCGTGCAAAGCCCCTGAATCCAGTTCAGACATGAATCCCGTGCCTTCTCGACGAGATTTGGTTTATTCTCTAGGCTAGTCCAAATAGCCCGCTCTAATCTCATTTATCCAGGTTCCCACGTTTTTCACCTTGATGGAGCATTCCTTCACGAAGCTCAAGCTCGAGAGCAACGATATCCCTCTGGGGGAGTTTCTCCTCTGCTGCGAGGGAATAGTACCAGTTTTCGACGTCCTCGGCTCTACGGCGTTTGCTCCTGTGAAAATGGACATACAAGGCAATATCAGCAAGCTACAGAAGCACGGAACGGTAAGTTTCGAGTCAGCACGCGAGGTTACGCGATGGATCGTTCCCGATGTTCTCGCCACCTTTGGGAATGAGTCAGAAGATGAAAACCACATTGCATATGCTGTGAACGGGTCGGATGAACGAGGAGCTCCTCGCAAATCCCGAGACTCGCGAACAATCGAATCTCCATGCGTTGACGACCCTGTCCCGAATTTCAGGAAACGGGATGTACCTTCCTCCTCGCCCTAATCCAACGCGAGCTGGACATGAAAACGACGACACAGGCAGGTTCAGCGACGGACGCACTACTATGGCTGAAACGAGCCCTCGCATTCATTCGTATCTTCCTCCACGAGGCCTGTCAGTCGGCAGATGTCGACTTGGCGCTGTGTGCGACGAAAGCCTACGGAGAAACCCTGAGAAAGTAAGTTGGAACTGCAGGTTTTCGGGAAAATCGTGTCGTTTCCTCCACCTCATCGCAGGGGCCCATTTCCCCCCTCGAATGAACGATATTCTTACAGACATCACAATTTCGTCGTGAGGGGCGTATTCTCCGTGGCGATCCGAGCTCTGCCTTACTACTCGACGTTCGTCAAAAGTCTTGCCCCGTCGCCCGCCGTGGCAAATAATCCCGCCTACGAGACCACGCTGAAAAGCGATGGAATCGAGTACACCAAGCATCTCCAGATAGTCGTAACCACGATCGACACCTTCTACGTGAGGAACGACATCGTCTCCCCGCAGAATCTCTGATTCGGAGCGCACGACTCCGGAAGAGATCAAGAACGATTACGGACATCGAAGTGATTTCCTGCGACTTTCTCCGGGCGTTTTGTGAAGCCGAGATACCGTCGATAGCGATATCGAAGTTTCCCTGCTCAGTCGCGATTTCCAAGCTAGTCAGAGTTACTCTCAAGACATGCGGCACTAGTCTCTATCGGCTATCAGAGTCAATCGAAGATTTATTGTAAGGTTCGGTTAATTCATTTTTCGAGGAAGTATGTCAATAAAGTTGTTACCGGATTCTCATTTTATCATTATTCTGCTTGATGACAATCGGACCCCACGATAATCCATAGCTACCAGAACCAGAGGAATACTACCGAGGGTAGCCCATGCCATCGCCGGGAATATAGCCACGAGATTTCTCAGCATGTCCGGAACGATAAGAAGGAATAGTAGCGAGGAATAATCAGAGCGCGTTTTTTCTTTCGATTCTCTCCTTTGTGGAGATATGTCTCATCGATCGTTTCGGAACAAGCTGACCCCGAAAACCGAGCTTGGTAGAGATCCGCAAATCCCGTTTTCGGCTGACGTGGGGAATCCTCCCATGAGAGCCCTTATCGGAGCTGTCCTGATGAGCGCAGTTCCACTCCTCGGTCATCTGATATAGCCCTTTTATGTAAAGCTTTTATGCTAAGCGCCTGCTTAGCGAGAACCGTTGTAATTGATTCCTCTGAATAATCTCAATGAGCTCGCTGGTTCTCCCGAGAGGGGAGAGCTGAGCGAATTCTATCGACAGATAGATATCGAGCGGGGAGGCACATAGGTAAACATTGCGAGTGCTTGAGTGTGTCTGTTTTCCAATTCCCACAACTTGTGCCTTCCCTTCGCTGCCTGCACATGCGCAGTTCGACGGCTTTCGGCCTGCTGACACTTTCGAGCGGACAAACGGATGGATAACACATTTCGATCGGAAGGCCGTCGGCAGGAATATCTCTCGGGCAGGAATCTCAAGTTTCCGACATTTTCATTGAGAGACTCGTCACGTTATGAGGGACGTGGAAGTGACTTCTTCGCCGCACTGTCAAGACCACTGTGAATGTGAGTGATCAACCAAGGTTTCTCTCCAGGAACGCTCCCGAAAGTCAGAATCCATCCTATCAATATGTCCCGCGGGAAGTCTCGTACTGCTCCGAATGGGGGAGTTCCCCCTCTGCGGTCATGCTTAAGAGCAGTAATCGTTGTCATAGGAGCATTCGAAAGAGAAGAGACGGCTCAAAACAACCGATAGAAACAGGTGATCAGCTGTACTCTTCCTGAGTGAATTCGCGCTCCTCAACGCGCAATTCCTCGACGAAGAAGCTGCTTTGCATGTCAGCCGAGGAATCCCGCGCTCGAGCGCGCTCTTTCCTAGCCCTCGACAGAGTTCTGCACAACTTCGTATCAGCGCTCAGAACCCGGATCACGAATCCTAAATATTTTTTTATATCTTAATCCCGGGTATTAAGTATTGTGTATCACTAGAACGAATGCCGACCCTCGACGAGGTGTAGACAGGCAGCATGAGAGCGGGTTCGATTATATTACATCCCGCTCAATGGTCTCGAATCCGAGCGAGTTCGGGCGCTTCGGATCGCGGTTGTAGAATCGACTATTGTGATGTCACTCCACACGGAACATAAAAGATTCTTCCGGGCAAGTGGTAGGTATATTTTGTCTCGCTGTCGGCTGAATTTTTAACTGGAATCTCTACGGGTTGCTCTACATCAGCCTTTGCTGCGGCGCGAGGCTAATGGAATTTGTAACGGATTACGTTAGGACGACTCCCGAGAAGGCATTTCCGTTGGAGTTTCATCGCGTTAGATGGTATCAAGTGCTCGAGAACCTCAATTTTAGCACTCTTTATTCACCATCAAAAATTCTGCTCTCCCCAAAGCCGGACAGGTTTATTCAATCGATCTTTAGCCGATCTCTGATAGGTTTATTCAACGGAGGCTGAAAACACCTGTCCCACATCCACCCGGTCTCCGTCTGAAGCGAATAGGCGTCGTATCGTGATACATACAAGCCAAGAGGAGCCCAATTTCGCCCTACTCGCTGACTCTCCTTTTTTTCCGAGCCCGTGAGTTTCTCGAGCACATCTATGCTTCTGGGCCGATTCTCATCCAGCTCTGTTGCTGAAGGGATGACTTATCGAGCTACCATTGTGAGCCCACGATGCCCACGAGGATCTCCGTCGAGCAATGAGTTCCTCCCGCTTAAGCGAGTACTCGACGAAATATCACTCTCAATCACTCGTCTCCCATAATCACTTGGAGCCCAAATCTGCGATCCTGACTGGTTGCATCGGCAGTTCGTATTACATCGACTATCGGTCTTTGATTCTCGAGATTAAGTAGATGACCGGCTTTTCTTTTCGGGGTGATTTTCCACGCTCCACACGTCATCACCCTTTGCGCGGCATCTAAATTCATTCTTTGGAGTAGGTGAGCTGCCCAACTCCGAGATGAGTTTCGGAGTTGCTCAGATCAAGCTGTTGATACGGTCATGGAATTCAGAACAACGTCAGACGCCACGGAACCTACAGAATTCTTTCGTTTCGAGCAATAAGCACTGATGTGCGCTGGCGTATAGAGGATTAGACTGAATCGAGACGGAGGATATGCGATTCATATACTGTGTGCGGCGCGGCGTTGCTCAGTTGATCTTCTCCTACAGCGAGCCTACTCGTAATTTCTGATACGATCACCCGTTCCAAGTCAAAGCAAGCGGTCTAGGCACGTCGGAACCAGCTGCATTCGCAGGACCACCGGAGATTTCGCGAAACGGCCCTCGTCGCCGGGAGCGATGGCGCTTCCGTCATGAATTTCAGGCGCAGAGAGTCGATAGAATTTTCATCCTCTGATTCTCTTTCGTATCTCCTTCGCGAGATGAATGGTACTCTTTAGCGAGGGAGTACCATTGGGGATGACGATCCGAGGAGAACGTGGCTCGTTTTCGCCGTCGAGGCTCCAAGGGGAAGCTCCGCTGCCTGAGAGGAGAACCTAGAGCTCTCGTCTGCCTCTGTAGTGCAGGCTATCACTACGTCTAGATGAGCTCTAGTTACGCATCGATTCATCGTCGTAAAGCCCGCGGAAGCGTGACCCTTTCATTCAATCGGCGTCGGAATAATCCCCGCATCATCTCTCGTTTTCTCGGAAACTTAAGTTCGATATCATTCCGTCTGGACGCTGTCCGCTCGAGGCGTGAATCAGCATCACGAAGCTCACCCTTTGGGCATCTAAATCGTCCCTCGATGACCTTCTGTGGAGATGCGGACGCTGGTGTCGGCTTCTCCGTTGAGCCGGCTACTGTCACAGATTACTTCTCCTCGACCTAGTAGGTGATAGGTTTACTTTTCTACGAGGGAAGCAGCGAATTTCCACTCACAATCAGTTACAAGGGAGAGATCAATAGTGACGGAATAATTTTTAATCTATCCTTGACGATCTGCGAAAGATTTGACTGCGTTATTGAGCCAGTTGCTTTGTTCGGTAGATACACCAAGCAGCGCCGCTCGCCGATTCCACTCGCTTCCCGAGGGGACCTTTGAACTTCTGTGACTTCTGGGAGAGCTGAGCGGAAAGAATGGCTCCTCAATCACTTCAAGGATCGATTTCGATCTCCGTGACCTGTAAGTTTCGACTTGTGATCCGTGGATTCGTCCAGGCGTATGTCCAATGGTCGTGTCCCATTCCATGGAAAGGATCCTCTCGTAGGTGAGAGTTCGTGGACCGAACGTCATGAAATGCTGTTATCTATTCGTCGCATGGCCTATAGACATCTCATTCGTAGTCCACTTGAACTCGACCAACGTTGACGCATGTAGCGGATCCGCTGAGATCACGCCCGTTCGCTTTTCGACTTACGATCCGGATCGTTTGTGAGACTCTTGATGGATGTGACGTCATGATGAGATCTAGTTTGGAAGGTAAAATTCCGAAACTCGCGGTCGTTCTCTGATGGGTCGAAGCTGAGCAATTGAGACCGTGATTCAGGTCTCGGATGATCGGCCGGCGGCGCGGCGTGACTATGTTCGCGCCTTCTGGAACGTGAGTCTCCACGCCTAATCGCCCGCGCACTCAAGGGCGGCATTGTTCCCACCCTCCTCGAGTTCTGTGGAGGAGAATTCCCTGAAAAGCTATCCGGTGTCGGATTTGATCCGGGGACTATCGGACCTCGATCGCGCGCGACGCACGATCGACATGCGAGCCCTTGTTCACGGCGATGCAGCTCATTCCGATCCCATTTCTCGCTGCCATCTCCAGCGCATACGATAGCGTACCGACGGCGGATATGACGCGTCCTTAATCTGAATGAGGTTTTTTTCTAACGAAACCGGAAGTCTCAAAATCGTCCTGTGATAATGCGATCGAGCGCGAGCTTCCTTTGATCGCGGCGACCGGCGAGCCAGGCTGAGCGGTTCTCGAGATAATTCCTGACAAACAAACGTCCTATAATCAGCGAGACAAGAGCCAGCCTCGAATCGAAATGTAATGGCGGTCTATCTGTTCCCCGGAGTGCCCCTATAGGTACTCTCAGAACGGAAGCTGCCGTTCCGCCGATGATTTTGCAAAGGCTTTCCTCCTATCGTCTTCACTCTCGTTTTGACTGCTCTCGTTTGCTCATAATCCACGTGCTGTTCGATTCCAAGCCAAAGTCCCAAGCGTACAGGACTCGCGTGTCGTGTTTATTGAGATGTTACTCCGAGCGGTGTCTGAGATGCCTTCGGGCCGATGCTGTGGTACGTCGCTTCGATAGTGCGTCGTTTGCGAACTTAATTCAGACTTCTGGTCATTTTTGTCCGAAGAAAGTGTGGCCTGCCTCTTTGTGACTCACTCAGTACCTTGATCCCGATATATGTAGATGGATCGTGCATGCTCGAGATGCTTCAATAGCGCGGAAATGAGGATTATCATCGAAGATCATTTCGATACTCTGTTCGGCTAAAAAACTCTCGATATAGATTCTGACGAAGCCGTTGTTCCAGCAAGTGGCAGACTGCCGAAGAAACGTCTCTTCGAAACCTCGGTGAACACCCCCAACTCTCAACATGCTTTCGAAAATCACGACTTCACTCTTTCGACCCGGAGCCGAAAATCCTGCTGCTCCGAACATGACCCCCCACCGCACTGGTTCACCGTGGAAATACCTCCGATCGTCTTGTGAGTAGGATTAAAATCTGCCCGGAACCATATCCAAAGGAAGGAGACGAGCAAGCAGCTCTAAGTTCTGTACGTGATTGTAATCTGACTTCTGTCGACCGCAGACACTTGTTGGGCACATTCCTCGCTCTCCTGGCGGGCTTCTTCCTCAGCGTCGGGGGACTCGCGATTGGAAAAATCCGAACTCTGAAACCGCTCGAAATCAGCGGTTTGAGGAGTTTGCTCGCATGCGTCTACCTCACCCCTCTTCTGCTCTACTTCAGACCTAAACACGAGTAAGATAAGAGTATGATTTGAGTATTAAGTGATTGAGAGTAGGGATAATTTCACTCCTACCTAATCCGTCTGCTTCGCGATGACTTCGGAAAATTCGTGAATCTGAAATGCCGAAAGCGGAAGGATCGTTTGGGCGGTCGAGATGACCTCTCGGTACAATGTTCTGATTTTCTGCAGCTTCGGGAAGAAGATGATGCTGGAAACGTTGGGAGTTTCCTTCGTTTTCTGCGTGAAATTCGTGACGTTCAGCGTCGGCAGCACCCTCTTACCGCTGTCGGAGTTCTCCCTGCTTTGCAATACCGTCCCAGTGTTCACAGCATTCCTCGGCTGTCTCCTCCTTTCGGAAAAGTGCGGCTTCAGAGAATGGATGAGCTGCCTGATCGTGATGCTGGGAGTCGCAACAACTTTCTTGCCCAGAATGATAGGAGGTTCGTAAAACGTGAAAGGAACGAGTCCGGAGGAAATCGCATACACAAGGAGCACCGGCTCGCGATCCTCTTACTAGACCGAGGACTCCGGAGACCAAGTTGAGCGGAAAAGCGGGATCAGATCGCGTCTGGATTAGGTTTTCCGAGGAATGTCCCTGGATAAATCAATTCCCATCTTTAGGACCCCCGATGACCGAAGCTGAGGCAGCCCTGAAGACCGAGGCCACCGAAGGTTACATTGTCACAGCCGTTTCCGCTCTGAGCAACGCAATGGCGCTCTGCTGGCTGAGGAGGCTAAAAGAGGTGAGGCATCCTCCTTGACAAAGCCGTATCTTCCGCCATAGAGACCGAGGCCGTTGAGACTAACTCCCTTCTATTCTTTCTCCTCGACTGCAGGTTCACTCTCTGTTGGTATCCTTCTACGCCTGCGCGATAACCGCGATCGTCTCCATGGGTCTCTCTTTCCTTTTCGGAGGATACAGGTAAAGTTCACAGGATACGCTACGACAACAAATCGATGGTGAATTCAGGAGCGAAAAAAATATTCAAAATTCTCAACGCATTCCAGACCACCGACGGATATGCGTGATCTACTCTTTGTTGCATTGGCAGCATTTTGTATGTTGTGCCAGGCGCTACTCCCAGCGATCGCTTGCTCATTGACCCAGGCGTCCAGAGTGGCGGTAGCCATGACGTTCTCTGTCGTTTTCGCGTTCTTGTTGGAGGCGATCTTCGAAGGCGTTCAACCCTCCGTATACGCTCTTGCCGGTACGTTAGCTTATCCGAATCGCGCGAGAGTCCGGATCGGAATCTCAACCAGGACGTCCGAATAACGGGGTTCTCCTTACGAGTAGACTTTCCTTTGGGATTTGGGATTTATTGATCCGAAAAATCACCCTCGATCCGATATATCCCACGACCCTTATCTGCATTACAATCTTCACGAGATTGAGACGTCTCTGTTCCACAGGAGGAGGGCTCATAGTCTTGGCGATGGTGGTCGGGAACTCACCTTGCGGTGACGAAGACGACCAGGGATTGCTCAAGGAAGAAGACGGTCTATCGAGGAATTCACGCTACGGGAGCATGAGCGCTGCCATGGATAACGTTCGATAGCATAGCCGACTTTCGCTCGGACGTTCCGGGATTTATTCCGTCTACGCGGAAAAAAAACTTCGCGCCTGGAGCCATCGTCGCTGCGGCCGACGAAGACCTCGCTTCTGGAGAATCTGCTTTAAGTGATGAAGGAGAGGAATCTGAGGTGTCCGACGTGGTCAGACATACCGCGAACTAGACTATATTTTGGCCACACGGAACCATCTGCCTACATATATATACTTATCAGGCTGACTGAGTTTCTATTTGACCCGGGTTACTACTCTTCGACTAAATTACTGACTGCCTGGTATACAATCATATCCAATCGCGCTTCGGGCCTCCACTCAGCGAGTTGAGACAGCACCAAAGCCTGAATCCCGCGTTGGATGTCTCTCATACGAAGCGAAAATGTGATAGACAGTGTATATAGTGTATATACATGGACCTTGACTTCGAACTCGACTACCTTTGCGTCCCGCGCGCGAGAGCAAGCAGCTCCGATTTCCGATGGGAAGACGCAAATAAATGTTGAAAACTTCGTGAATCTCCTCAATGCCTAGTATGAAAATCATTCGTATCGGTATATTCCGCTGTTTAGCGGCTCCGCAAATGTTTGGAATCCCTTATATCCAATCGGAGAAGAAATCTGACGATCAATTCCAACAATGTCTCCATAATCAGGTAATGATTCAGAATTGACAGCACCGCTCCCTCGGAACCAGCGGTTTCCGGATGGGTATCTCAGGATGAGGTTTTTCCTCCAGCCGCGGAATTGCTCCCCCCTCCCCATGAAAAATCCCGGATCCCGCCGGCAACGTCAAACGTTCTCTGCAGAGCGGGGAGGGTAATTTCCCTTTCAGAAGGCGTTGGTATGGACGTTGATCGGACAGCGAGCGACTTCTCCGACCGAAGCTCCTTGTCAATGGAAATGAAATGTATCCACATCCGGGACTCGGCGATTTTCTATGAACGGGGGGAGCCCTCGCCACTAAGATGGGAAACTCGGCGGTGACTCATGCGCGGTCGCGAGAGGAGATTGGATACTGATGTTCTCAGCAAAGCCAAAGATTCTGTTCAAACGTGGGTACGGCTTTCACTCGCCTTTACCAATGACCCTCTCCTCTGCACGTGTGTTCGGCCACTAAATGAAGAACGTGTTCTACACATTCGCGCACGCTCTCGGTCCTCGGAAAGAATGAGAACGAGTTTGTCAGATCGGTCATGTTCGAAAAACACCACCGACGCTAAGGATCACGTCGCTCGAACCCGAGAGGTGGCTGAATCCAGGGAACCGCCTTCTGCATTTAGTGCTCATCCGGAAGAACTGACCCGTTGGCGCAATCACTGATTCTACTTGACAGAATTAAGTTTTTGATTCAGGGAGGGATAAGAGACTGTTCTCAACAATGAGCGTGCCCATTGGAAGGGGAATCCCCGATGAAATCATTGATATGGCGCGCCTCAGCGATTACGTGAAGTCATCCCTCGGAAACCTCGACCTTCTCCGTAGAGTCGAAAGTTTCTTCCCCAAAAGTGACAGTCTATCCGCGATCCTCGAAGACGAATTCCTGAGACTCCTCGGAGATTGTGAGAACGATGAGTACATGCGCTGGTTGTGCAAAATGATCAGAAGGCTCTCGAGGGCAGAATGGAAGACCAAACGAGATCTTGTGATCACAGCAGTTTGCGTACGTATTCTGAGAGACCAGACTGGAGACGAAGGCTCGTCCAGAGCGCTCCGATCGCAACTCGGCGACGCGGGGAATCATTTCCTACCGAGAGGCATTCTTCCAGGATCCATATTTCTCCGGAGGTCCGAGTTTGGTTGACTTGGCTCTGAGATCGAGAATTCTCAGTAGAGAAACAATCATCTACCACCTGGATCTGCTCCCCGTCAAGGTGCTCGTCCAAGTGTTGCGGGTTCTCCCGGACGAAGACTTCGTTTTGAGGGTTGCGGGACTCCTGAAGGATGAGAGTATCCTGTGAGTTTATTTGAGATCCAACAAAACCCCCGATCTCGCTGGGGTGCGTCAAACATCCGATTATCTAATAGCTCTGACCACGCCTTACCCCGTCCCTTCGTTCCACAGTGATAGTCGAATGATGATTGAATTCTCAAGCACCCGTACCTTCCAGCATCGAGTTTCTCGTCCACGCGGAGCACATTTGTCCCAGGAACGTCAAGGTCTACCTCTCGGAGCCGGAGCGCTATCGGAGACTGATGGAAGTGCTCTCGAATAACTATGACAGTTCTGACCCTACGCTTCGGAAGTTTTCTGTGACCCTACTGAAAGTCATTCTGGACCACGCCCGCGTAGAAAGCAGAGAGCTTATTCTCGAAGTGTTGGCCGTCGCCGAGCAGAAACAAGTGCATTTGATCGAGCCAGTGAGTATGCTATGTATGTATCTATCTATATTTACCCACATCTGAGCTTCGGCGAAACCTCGGAACGATTGAGCGAATATGAGGTGAAAACGCAGGAGCCGTCTGACCTTGATTCCTCCCCAGGTGTTGAACATGTTCATAGAAGCAATACAGAACGGAACGTTGACGGACGTGCCGTGGATTTTGATGGTTTTCCGACGCCTCTTCAACCACCCGACGACATGGGTCAAATTACAGAGTTTTCGTTTCTTCCTTCGGCTGACACCATTGCAAAAAAGAATTTTCGAAACGCAAAATGACGATTTCTTCTACGGACATTTCCTGGACTCCCTGAACCAATTGTCCATTTATCCCAGGTGAGGGAAATGCCCATTCAATCCCTGAGATAAAAGGGGTTGGCTCACGGCTGCGCGTCCTGTTTCATGTTGGTCGGTGTCCCCAGACTGCGGTCTGAGGCTGAAATTGAGGACAACATCTCTGCCTCACGACCTTCCATGTTGACCCCTGCCGCGGCTCCGACGAATTTCGTGGCTCATCGGCGATCGACTGCTTTGCTACGTTCGATCGGTGACACGGGGTCGGAGGAGTCGTAACCCTCCCGCTGCGGCAAAACGAATCGCCCCCAGTTCGATTTGTGCCTCGCCATCTTAGTTGACCCGAATCCCTTTCCAGGAATCCCCTGAGTCCGGTCTCGAATCCCGCCGAGCTCGGCACTCTGCTGCGCAACTGGATGAGAAATGTTCGAGATAGCATCGACGGGGAAAGCATGGACTCATTTTTCGCTCAATTCATCACAGCCGTCTGCAAGAAAGTGGATTGGAATTCGGTTGCACTGTTATACGTAACGGAATGCATCGTCGATATAGAACCGAGATCGGTCATCGAGGACCTGGGCGTGATTGTCAACGCTTTAGAATCGTGGTCGATGCCAGAACCCCTGATCAAGAGATGTTTAGTAAGATATTGGCTTCGGGTCGGTTGCGAGACCACGCAGTTGCCAACCTATGAAGGTCTCGCGGATTTCATAAACAGATACGCTGAGGAATGCGACGCCGTTGATATATTCGTCATGAAAATCAAAAGAACGGAGACAACTCCCGTCGACATTTGCTCTGCGATCTGGTCTGGATGCCACGATGCGGTAACGTTCATGGAACGCTTCGGAAACTCTTCAAAAGTTTGGCTCAGCATGTATCGGATCAAAGGCATCAGCTCGATTATGACGCATCTCGTGGGAATACTCAATAGCCGTGAATATCAAACTCACGCCATAAATATTCTCAGAGAAGACTTTCGCCAAGTGTCGGTCAGACGAGCCGTTTTCGAATTGATGTGTGAGTGCTCCTTCGATTGCCGTCTGGTGGGCGACGCGCTCACGGAGCCCCTGCCCAATTGGTTCGTTTTCTGTCTGTGGACTACGACTTGTGTGGATGCTGACCCGAAAATTGTGGCCAGACATCTCAAGTTGCTGACGTTGAGATCGCAATTGAAGATAATGCTCGCGTCGGACTTGGCTCCGAAAATTTTGGATTGCATCGCCAGCTTCTGTGAGACTCTACCAGAAGCGATCATCGATTTCGTGGAGTTAGTTTCCAACGCACTCCCCTTGGCACCCCAGAGCCTGACCCCTTCGCTTCTTAAACTTCTTCTGGCAGGCCTGAAGTTCATAGCTCTCGACGACCGCAGGATACCTAGAATGATAACCTTGGCCTGGAAGAACTGTCTTGAGGCAAGAAAGGCCACAATATTATTCGCCGACTGCGTCGATGTCTTCGTGAAAATTTACTTCCACAAAGTTTGCATTCAACACTGGTCGTCAACCCTCAAAGATGTATCTAGAGATCTAGAGGAGCACTCGGCGAGGATGGCTTGGTTCGGTCAAAAATACTATATGGCCCTCATCAATCTCCTCGCGAAGAAGCCAGAGCTCCTCGCGTCTTTCTATGGAAAGCTCGGCGAAGCCCTCTGTTACGGCCCAACTTTCCGCAAGGATCAACAAATCGTATTGGACACCGAGAATTACGAGTGGAGACTCCACACAAATGTAGACTTCACAGGACTGAGCGAATGTCGGTCAGCGTGGGAAGTTCGAGCGCACAGCCTCAGCTTCGTCAAAAAACCGCGAACCTCGACCTGGACTGACCAAGTGATCGAAGGAGTTCTGCTCCACGACACGCTTGTATCATCGACGCGAAAGAGGTATTGTAGCGGAGGGCTATCGGCGATGCAATCGATCATGATTTATGATCATTCCAGAAACTGAATTAATGGAATACGTTCAATGAAACCGTTGGCCCCTCGGTTTCCCGCAGGTACTTCAATAACTCCAATATACACCGGGTCAAAACAAGAGCGTGGCAAGTCATCCTCGTGCTTTTGGAAACGTCTACGCCTACGAAGAATCATGAAATTTTGACGAATGTTTTCAAACAACTCCTGAACGATAATCATCAGCTCACGGTACGACTCCTCATGGAATGGTGCGCGGTGAAGATTCTTTTGAAATCCAAGCAGCCAAAGTCATCGATTAGGATGATTATGTCTGCCATCGAAACGGTAAGCTCCCGAGGTCTCCCATGGGGCGAATCCGCTCTCTGAAATTCCCCGATATGGTCCCAGCGGCGTGCCCTGGAGGGGGGCAGGGGACCAAGGCCCCCTCAAGATCCCTTTCTGGCCCATAGAGTTCCAATTTGAGGCTTATCATCATCGGTAGTTAGCCCCTACCAATACAATGGCCCTGTCCCGGCCCCCAAAAACAATTCCTGGGCACGCGCCTGCCAGCGGCATATGAGGCATAAAGCATCGAATAATCAGGCGGGTACTGGAAGTGACCTATCATCATGACGCTTGCAGGCGGCGAGAGAGCGAGTCGGATGCATCTGTTCTTTTCTGAGCATCCTCATGCACTTCTGCATTGCCAGAAAGAACTGTGACATTCTATCGGACTCCCTTGAAACGGTGCTTCCGTGGACCATGTGCCAGCACTTCGCTGTGCGGCTACATGCTCAATTCGTTTTCAAACGACTGATTGGTCTCTGTCGGTGCACAATGAAGTGCCATTCGCAATACACGCCGTTTTTGAGAGCTCTGGACAGCGTGATCAACTACGGCGACGGAGCGAAAACCGTCCAGAAGCTAAGTCAGGATTTCTACATGTCGGGCTGCGTCATGACCGAATGTGAGACGTACGAAGTTATTTTCGACAGACTACCGAAAGCCTATGGGTTGACGGAGCACGACTGCATACCGCCGGGATATTTCGACTTCGATGCGAAATGGTCGGTCGAGAATGACGATCTGGATATTCACACCGATCTCCAAATCGAGGTGAGGACGTACCGATGAAATTCAAAGGGTTTCGAATTTCTAATCAGAGATCGAACCTGCAAAGAAAATCTCTCTATTCCCCTCCGAGGTCCTACGAGAAGAATGTCGCCCCGACGAGACAACAGTGATCCGCGAGAAAAACTATCAGCGGAAAATGATCCCTGTGTCCAATCTCTTCGAAGAGGATCGACAGCCTCGCAGTAGTCAATCGGGGCTCGTGGTCGTAGCATCTTTGATCGACCGGATACCGAACCTCGGTGGTATCAGCCGGACTTGCGAGGTCTTCAAGGCCTCCGAGTTGGTTATACCCAACCTCAAAATGCTCGAATCGAAAGAATTCCTGAATCTGTCGGTATCCTCCCATCACTGGCTCCCGATACGGGCCGTGAGCACCAACGGGCTCGAAGCGTACCTGATGGAAATGAAGCAGGCTGGTTACACATTGATCGGAGTGGAGCAAACGGCGAAGAGTGTCGCTTTGGGAAAGTACTGCTTCCCTTTGAAATCATTACTTCTTCTGGGGTGAGTCGAGTACCCTCCCAATGAATCTCATGACCTCCGGGAAGATCCGGAGACCTCATACGCGAAGAAGAGCTTCTGATCGGGATCGAGACGCCTAAAAAACTTTTCCTTCCAGCCACGAGAGGGGGGGCCTGCCGGCGCACCTGATAGACTTGATGGATGCTTGCGTGGAAATTCCTCAACAAGGGGTCATCAGGTCCCTGAACGTGCACGTCTCCGCTGCGATTCTTATCTGGGAGTATCGACGACAATTCTTAGAAGGGATTGTTTGATGACAAGAATGGGCGTAAGATAGACCCGAAGTTGAGAGTAAAAAATATAAGGCGATCGCCTGGGGAGGCGCTTATTTTGCCATATGGAGCCTGTTCACTTCGACTTCCATCGACGACGGGCTCATCCCGAGATGGAAATCCTGCCGAGAATATTTGCGGATCTCAGAGGAAAACCGTGCAGGGTGAGCTCAGAGGTCCTGCCCAGGCTGCATGGCGGATGGAACAATGAGCAATGTAGGTGAGATATCGATGATTATCGATTATAATTGAGGGATCTGGGATGTCGTGGATGCTGTTCCATTCAACCGGGATGAAAGGACGAGACAGCTCTCGAGCTGGGCGAAGTTACGGAGAGGACTCGTAGCAGCAAACTGTTCTGGGGTACCCACCAAGTTTTTCGCTGCAGTCGCGAGTTATTCCGCTCCTGAGAATAATGAACGTCGAATGTCCTGTCCAGTGAGATTCATAGACTCGCCTTCCGACAAAAACGGGCATTTTATTCAATTGAGCCTACACTTTGCACCCTGAGATCCGACGAATCCTACTTCAAGCATCGATCCAGTCGCGAGGCAGAGAGAGGCGACGCCGACCTGGCGGTTGGTTCGGATGCGTACCCCGGGCGTGCCGCCGCTAATCGTGATCTTCCTCGGACTGTCTCGCGAAGATCTCAGTTCCAGAGCTTCATCTTGGGAAATCATTTTTTGCACGGTGCGCGATTGGATTCCTCTTGTGTGCTCCATGCGAGTGGACTACCGATGCTGTCAATTTATTCGGGGTTCGAAGTTGGCAGGACCCCCTGGGTCAGCTATCGAACGCAGCTCGAATTTCTTGACCATTAGGCAGAGGCAAGGGCCGGTCGAGCGGAGTATCTATCGTCAGTCATGGTCGACCTTGTTCGCCCGAGGGTCTCGAGGGAAGTTTTGTACCCGTTGTCCGCGAACTGTGTACTTGACTCCGGGGGAGGTCGTTCCTACTCCGTTACTCGCTGTGGTTCCTGAATGTTGTTCCAACAACGTAGCCGATGGAGAGTATTCATCAACACCGCGAATTTATTGAGAGCTCAATCACAAAGTTTGGATTCTTCGCGAACGATTCAGGCGCCGTTGATTGATTTAGCCTAAAGCATGATGTATGCCTCATTCAGGATCCACAACAAATTAGCTCAGGTCCTTCCCTCGACGTCATACGACCTGCGTCCATTTCCGACCATCCGTGGGACTTGAATCACACAACTGAGTCCCTTTGCGTTTTCCGTGGGAACATCCGAATCTACATGGTAGATGAACAAGAACCACCGAAATGCGGTGGCGATCGAGACGTCTCGTATCCACTAGAAAATCTCCGGAAGTGAAGGCACCTCAGTATTTTGGGGCTTTTCGGGAAATATTCCCTCTAGCTCTAGACTTGCGAGAGTATGTTCGAGGGCTCTCGGAGAATCGATGACCTAAGAGTCGATCTCTTCAGGAGTTGGGTCGAGATTTCTTGGCGAGCTCCTCGTGGATTCCTGGACTTTCTTCCAGGAAAATATGAATTGGAGCAGTCACGAAGACTATTGCCGAGACCCGAAAGCCCACGAATCCGCGACAGATCGCAGTTGAAGCTGCGACAGACTCGGGAGTCACGTAGTTTCCTCTTCCACAAGGTGAATAGCGCGTCCTCATCAGATGCCTCCCGGTTTCGACAAAAACTCCATTAACATTGATCACAAGTAAAGAAAAACATACTCCGGTGAGCCGTGACAATGATGGTATTGCACTCGAGAAATCGATCCGTCAGTCGATCAAAGTCCCGCATCAACCCGATCCCACACGCAAACCCGCTATCTGATGCGGGACGCTGTTCGATGCCAACCAATTGGGATATCACGCAACAGGGGATTATATTACCCAAGCTAAGATTTAGATGTAGGTATGCAAGGCCGAACACTGGGAAGTTTCGGGAACAGGAGGATAGTCGAGTGTTCAGAGCCTCATTCCTATCAGATGAGGGGTGATTGTATTTAAGGCAATGACGTGAAACCGTCAAGAAGGTCTCCGGTTCGAAATCTTCGGCCGCGACTTCACTCGAACACCCAATGATCTCGTTCACTCACGGACAAGGGTCGAAGCAGAATCCTCAGGTCGCCGCCGACCGAATCGTTTCACGGAGTCACAGGTCTGTGTGGTATCTTACGGCGGGGTCGGAGTTCGGAGAGCCCGAAGGAAGAAGCTCCCGAAGCCGATCAACCCGGCGAAAGACTCGTAAGCACGGCAGTCGTAACATTTAAAGTAGGAAAAGTTATTTTCCATCTAGGATCTACATAATTGGGCTCCGATTCGGAATCGAGTGGCAACTCTCCAGCAAACGACCAAAATGCTTTAGGATTTGCCGCTCGGGTCTTGCCATCCTCCGAAAGTGCGCTCTATTTCCTCGGCCACTGCGAGACACAGCCGATCCTGGTTCCGGCCCGCTACGATCTGGATACCCACAGGTAGCCCCGAGCTCTCCCCGAGACGCACGTGGCACGCCGTCACTGGCACTTTGAGCACATTGAAAATTCCGGTGTACGAAAAATTGAAGCCCTTGAAAATCGGAGTTCTATGTTTCGGCGCCGGTTCCGGGTGCGTTGGACAGAGGAAGACCGCATCATGGTTGTCCAGGAGGTTGTGGAACTCTTCTTGAAGCTTGATGCCCATCTCGACGTAGCGTCGACTTGTCTGTGAAATTGAGCGTTAATCAATCGATTTCCTCGTCTGACGGCCACACTCTCCGGGCTCTAGAAAGAGTTCGGTAAGAATAATTTTCAAATCAAATAATATATGCGGCTGCGGTATAGCCCGCTTCCATACCTCCGACTCCTTCGACGGGTAGAACCTTTCACCGACGGCAAGGCAAACGGCCGGTAACGTATGCTTCGATTGTCCAGTTCCCCATTTCAGCATTTCCATAACGGGATTGCCTATCGAGGAACCGCTCTCCTTCAGGACGTCGATGAACCTCGGACAGTCACCGGACATCATGAGATTATTCCAAATTTCAAACGCGTAGGACATCGAGGCGAAGTATTTCTCTTCGGCCGGTCTTGACGAAAGCTTCGAAAGATGATCAACAACCTAGAGGTAATGATGGAGCCAGTTCATCTATCGGAGCCCACAGCCATCGGAATTCATCATTTTTTTTTGCACTAATCTCCTCACACGGGGCGAGCTCCTCGCTTCGAGCTTTGCGACTCACGTCTTGCAGGGCGCGGCGGACCTCGCTGCTCACTGGAGACATTAGAAAACTACGGTCCTTGATCTCGCGCATAAAGTACAGCTGAATTTCGCGCAGGTCGACCTTCTCTTCAAGCTTCAGAAGTTTAGAGTTTTCCTCGCCAGCGAGCGCGATCATCATCGGTCGCAGATCTTTCGCATACCGGCACATGGGTCCTGTACCGAGGAACTCGGTCTGAACGTCAACGATTTCAGGATACTGTCCGCTGTTGGAAACGATATCTGCAATATTAATTATTTCGTCATAATTATTTTATTATATTAATTAATTTATATCGGGGGCAGTGACGGCACGGCGGCGCACGTGACTTTCCGTCGTGCGAATAGCTCCTCGAGTCTGCGCATTACGTAAAGGTCGTAGTGAAGTGTAGGAGGCGGAGAAGAAAAGACCGGTGAGTGCGGGCTACGCTTTATAAATAGTCGTTGTTGCCGGTATTGTACTCGGGACAGGCTTTGGAGAAAGCCCCTGAACGGAGCTTAATAATAACCAGGGCCCGGCTAACAATGAGCGGCTGCTTCTTTGCGAGTATACAAAGCCCTGTGTCCAGCGGCCGAAATGGTTCCGCTGGGAACGAGGTTTGTAGTCCGGAAAGAAGCTCCCGCTCAAGAACAGCGTTCTCGGGCCCAGTGGCCGGTGGACTATTTTCCTCTCTCCCTCCCCCACCTCCTCCCTCTGTATGGGCCTTTCAATCCTTCCCGGTCGGAGGCGCAATCCACCGGACGCCGAGAGATATCGCACGATGAGCGGATTGCCCTAATACGAAAAGCTGCGTGTACGGAAAGACGTAGTCTCCGATCTGCTCGGGACGAGCCCCGACTGAAAGAGCTCAGACTCGTGCGAAACATCTTACTCACGTGGGGAGGGTTTATGTCCGTAAATCCCGTTGAAGAATGCCGGCATTCTTATACTGCCTCCGATGTCGGTTCCGACCCCAATGACGCTGCCCGCTGATGCTAGGAGACTTCCCTCGCCGCCGCTGCTGCCTCCAGCGTTGCGACGTAGGTCGTAGGGGTTTCTTGTGCGTCCGTGAACCTAGAGAATGCGAAGGATGAGTTTGCGAACACCTCGGAGAGGATCGGTACACTACGGAGGAAATTCATTTGACGCACGAATATATCTTCATCGCGTCCGGAAGGACTCGAACCTTATTGTTAGACTCCCACCACATGGCCATTTCGGACACATTCGTGATCGCTAAAGGTATAGCGCCAGCTTTCCGCATCATCTCGATGGCGCCCGCGTCCTTCTCAGAACGGATCCCTCGTCGACATAGGAGCCCAACGTCGATAAGCATGCCTTGAATAGAACAAATATCTGAGTGGGAAGAATCTCGCGAGTCCGGATGATTTCAGTCGTCGCCCACATGCATTATGAGGCGATGAATATTATGCGTTCCAGCCTCCCGTCGGCACAGAGAGAGAGTCGTCATATCGATTCGAAGATCCGAAGGCGTCGCTGAAGGCGAAGATTCGGAATCCGGATGACCGCCCTTCTTCCGACACGCCGTGCTCGATGGAGGTATCGAATTCGCACGTTTCTTCGCACGGGATAGAAGCGCCAGCTGGACTCCGTGGGATGCATTTGCTATTTCAACTACAGGGCAAACTAATCGTTGTACCCGCAGCTCCCGATCATAACAAAACACAAGACCGACAAAGGACGGAGTTTACACTTCCCCTCGCTTATGAATTCAGAATTCCATTAGAAAAATTGGAAATTCTCGATAAGAGCTGCTCTGTCCTGCTTGACACAGGAGGCTCCAGCGTCGCATTCGCATGCGAGACCCATGATAGCATGCACGGTATTCTGTCGGAAGTCGGAAGGTGGGTCGCATCCCTCGGCGACCTGCCAGAGAGCTCATATAATACTTCTCCGATTTCTGCATGCGAGCCGACTTCAGGAACACAGTGCTGCCCGGAGAGCCCGAGAGCGAGGGTCGGGAGCAGTTCATGCTCGCGGGGTTGCAGGAGTTCAAAAAAATGTCGCTCGTGTCGAACGCTTGTTCCGCAGAGACCCGGAGAAGACACGTCACTCATAATCCCCTCCGACTCGTGAACGTTCCGCATATTCTCCACCGTCGCTTCCTCTGATTTCAACTTCTTCTGATCCCTCGCGTACATGTATTGAGTGCTGAAATCCGATACGCAGCTGACATACCGGGCCGTCCGCACTCCCGCCGTCCTTTAAGTCTTCTATCCTATGGCCATGCGTCGCGGGGGTCTCTCCGATGAGGAACGAGGTCTTAGCTTAACAAAGAACTCGAATCTATCCAGCGCAGCAAGGGAATTGCGGTAGGGAAAGTTCCCGAGTCTCGCCAAAAATCTCCTCTACCTCGATTTCTGCCTTTTATCGGATGAATATTTCTCCTTCCAGAAAGAAAATTCCTCGAACATCATCTCTCTGGTTTCAAAATGGGGATGCTGCGACCGGTCCGGCTCGGACGAGAGTTCCTGTCCTCGCTTTTCCGAAGCTCCCGGGGGTCTCTCCAATTTCCACAAGTCTGGTCTTCGCGGCTTTGAAGACACGATAAGAGCCATTGGGATCCGCCTGCTAAGCAAAAAGGCGCGTCTGCGGCGACAATGAGGAATCAAGGCAGGGAGACTCCTGCCCGAGGCGAACCAGAGCTGCCTCTTGCCCAGCTCCACCCCATCAGAATCTCTCGCCCTCGGAGATCTCTCCAATCATTTCTGAGCTCTAAAACTCATTCGAAGCTCCTCGTACGGCTCTGGCAGGGGATCTTAGTGTACCCAGCGAACCTCGAGAAATTGCAAATATCTCTCCGCTGAACCTGGATTCTGAACAGCCATCTTCACTCCAGTATCGAGCTCATCTCATCATTCGATCGGCGCGCGGGTGTTTGAGACTCTTTGAATCGTTACTGTCCATACGGGGCGATTCTCATGTGCGCGAAAATCCCGGAACACCCGAGCGTTCTTTCGGACTGGAATCCAAGAAGGCTAAACTAACTTGAACTCGATGAACTAAAAATAGAGGTACATAATCGTAAACCCACATGTTGACTCCACTGTCAGATACACACACAAGCGATCCCTAAATACTTGAGAGAACACCGGACTGACGAGAAGAACTCCAACGATCGCTGGTCCCTGGAGCCACATATTATATTGACGTTTCCATTAAATGTTCATGAGGCCCCAAAGTCCGATTGTTCTGGTTCCTAGTTCTCGGGATGAATCTGATTGGAGGTATTCCGTGCGCTTGCGAGGGAACATTTCGCGGACATCCCCCACGGAACGACGGATATAATCTATGCCGAACCATAGTAATCCTGTTTTCCGAAACTCGAACCGCAGCCCGCGTGCCGCGAGGAATATAAGCTCTGGCTCAGTGTGGTGCGACCAATCGCCGGCGAATGATTCGGATCTCAAAAAGAATGATCGAAGCCGTATTCCGGAAGCCAAGATGCACAGAAGGAAGAGGAGGAGCTTCAGCACTCCTCCAAAGCCATTCGGTGTACTCGGCGAATGAGGAGAGCACGCCTCAGCCCTCCTGTCCAAGGTCCCGCCGCCAAATCCCGGTTGCCGATAGAAGAACCGGGCCACGCAACTGACTGGAGGTCCTCTCAGGTGCGATTGTTCGTAATGCTTCGATATAGCGACGTTCTGCCGAACACCCGAGGAGCTGTACAGAGTAGACCGATCATGACCGCCACCGTGGTCAATTGAGAACGATCATTCAGCGGAAAGAAGTCAATCATATCTGACCTAAGCGCTTACATGAGCCCGGGGGCCTGAGCGCTCGTAGAGAGAACGGAAACGGAGAAAAGTAGGTTTTGCGCTGCTTTCATCTAATCGTCCAACTCGAGTCTGGCAAAGTGCGGTTCCGATATTGACATATTCCTCCGTAGAGAGCAAAATTATCTTCTCTCGACAAGGAAGGTCGGAGAGGATCGGGCACGCGGCTTCCTCCTTGTCTGCTCTGATAGGGCCGTTCCTTTTTTCAATCTCCGATTCTGGCTGGGAAGTTCGATTTCACGACGGTATAACCATCGACCGTCATCTGCCGTTATGAAATGAAGTCGGTCGACGATGTCGGAAATATTCATCTGTTTCCCGGGGAAGAACACATTCGAAGCTCAGAACAACGAATCGGACGGTACCGGTCGCACTCCCAAGCGAATGTTCGCTGCAGGGGCTTTTTACTCAAGAATTTTCTCTTCAGGAATTCGGCCGAAGGGAGCAAAAATAAGCTTGTTTGTTAACCCGGAAGATCCGTTGTATCGCGATCGGGATCGATGAGCCGAGCTCCGACTGTTCCAAAGAGGGATTATCTGTTGCATCTGAGGAGACCCTAGCCCACCGGCTTTGCTCAATTTGCAGTGACAGAGATAGCTTCGGATTGAGAGCTCCGAGACTCGATCCCAGGACGTAATTAAATCGGTTTGATTGAATCATTAAATCCAATCTGAGGAACCAAATCTCCCAGGCGTAAAAGTCAAGAAGGAGAAGAAAAAGTATACGGAACGCTTCCCTCGGTGGAAGATGCTCGGTAAGAAGCCTGCGTCTTCAAGAAACACGAAGGTTATCGGTATCGGCAAACTGTTGAGAGACAGAGGATGATCAACTGAGACATCGTTAGGTTCAAGCAACTGAGCGAGATACGATCCAGACCCGCGAAAGTCGTTCAGACTCTCGGGAGAGGTTCTCTGGAGAAATATTCATCTGTTCCCTAACGTCAAGCGAGAGGAGGACTTCTGATATCTTCCGAGTCCCGAAAATCAAGAAGTCGATAGAATCATATCCGACAATAAGCGGTCAGTCCTAACGGGAATTTAGCTTCATCGAATACCTCGAAACAGGAGATGATTTAGGGAAGAAAACATCAAGTTAGATCAGAATCGATGGAAAAGTCTAGTGTCAGTCGGTATCGGCGCAAGTCTCGGCAAAACTGAAACTAGCGAATCTTGGATATGCGGTGGGCAGCAGCTCGGTCGTCCTTGCCGGGAGGGATCTGCCTCAAAAGAAAACGTCCCCCGCCCGAGCACAGTAGTCAGTCGGAGGAATCGGCTCGCCCACTCACACTGAGGCTGAGCACCGGCGGAGCGAGGAACCTCGACGGACTCGAGCCAGTGGAGGACTTCTGAATGAGCTGTTGTTGGGAACACAACCAGCTGGCACTATGAGACCTGCTCGAAGCAACAAGGCGCTCCGCATACTCACAGTACGTCACTGTGGTCAGGAAATTCACCTGCGTCCACTGAAGCTACTCCCATTGACGACGACCGGGCCCACAAGCGACCATCAACAGATGAAGAGGCACACGGTCGGACCCAAAGACGGACGGACTAACAGACCACTCTCGGTACGCCCATGTTAATTGCACTCGCCGCTATTTCTATTTCAAGGACGCGACACTCAAAGCCGCCGGGAGTATTCTCACGAAAAATCTCGGGCCTGATGCTCCATTCCGATCCCAGAGTTTGCTCGAGCGCTATCCCGCTGGCTGGTTGCGTCTACGACTTACGAATGTATTCATTTCTCGACATCGTAATTCCGCCCTTGCGAATTCACTGACCTGAGCCGCGAGAAAATATTGAAGATTCCTCCGCACCTCGTGTTTCGATTCGTGGAGGAAATTTCGGAAGACTCGATGGGACGGAGAGAGTTCCCCCGTCATTCGGCGCCCCCGATTCGAAACGAGAATGCGGAAGAAGATGAAAAAAAGTCCAATCAACAGCCGAAACTCGGATGAGGGTTTCGTACAAAGCTTGCGGTCTGAGTCCGGCTTTACACTGATTGCTCCATCCTGACAGTCTCGGAGTCGAAGCTCCCTTTGCTCGGCAACTAGATGGTAGCGATCAAAAGCCTGTACAACTCAAGAATAGAACACCTTTTCGTCGTCGGATTTTCCGGACGGAAAATTCTGGGGTTCTCACGGTCGCCATATTTTTCTCACGACCGACGCACAAATATGAGGGCCCGATAGATATTCTGCTTTCGTGTTCTCCATCCTGGCAATCCTCCTCAAGTCCCGGGAAAACGCATGAGATGCATGGATATTTTCGGCAACGGCCGTATTGACGGCGGAAGTATTCGACGACATCCCCTAGGAGTCCAATATTGAAGCCATAAGAAGTGTCCACTAACCTTTGACGCCAACGAGATTCTTCGTGGTGACTGGAACGCCCAGAAAAGGTTTCTTGCGAAGGATTTCGTGTCTCTGACTTTCATCGCTGCGCGCTATGAGATCGTCAACTAGTTGCGATTCTTCGAGGGCTTCCTTGAATCGTTCGTCTACGACTGCGTTGATGAGAGGGTTCACCTGGGTTATTCGTTCGATGAATGCTGATACCACGTCCACGCTCTTGATCTGTTGGAAGAACAGAATGTCCACAATTATTATTATAATAATAATGGATAATTGACTCGTCGACGCAGTTCCTTCGGTTTTCTCGCAACCATCGACTCGTCAAAAACTTCCTCCTGACAGACGATGCGTTCAGATGAAGAAGAAACCCCCGAGCCACGCGGATTGTCGGCGGCCAAACCCCGTCGCGCAATTCCTCGTCGCGAAGATTAACCTGAGGACAGGGAAACGAGTTTTCTCCCCTCCGACGGGGATCCATGATCTCCGAGTACACGCGGGTATAGGAAGAGACTTTTCCGTACGAGCTCATAGCGTTCATTCGTCTAACGTCCCGAGAGGCTGACTCATTCGCAGAATCAAGGGCAACAAGTCAGTCACCGTAGTAATTCATTCTCCTCAGTAAACAGCTCCGAGCAACTCCGCGAACTCCGGAGCACGATTTGAAACTCTTCGCAACCTCTACGATCAGTGACGTAGGTACTTGTTTTGGAAAGGCTTCTCGGAGCACAATTCAAAGCCTTATAATATGAGGAAACTCGAACGCTCGACACCATGAGACACGAAGTCGAGTTCGTTCTCCTGAAGCTCGTTCTCGAAGCTCACCACTGGGCGGCTTCGCAGTAGAAAACCAACAAAATTCATGAAATGGAAATCGGATGAAAACGCGAGTCTGACGAGGATAGGGCTTTAGCCGATCGAGATCAATCGAGTCGAGATTCGACATACATACATAGTCATGGGGAATGGTCTGGATGACTCGACTGAGATTATTATCGACGTGGACATCAGCTTCCGCCAAGGAACTAGCCCAGGGCAACTTATGCGCATAAGCCGTTATCTGAAGGACACACGCGGTCTGTATCTCGCTTGTTGCCGCCGAGAGCAAACGGTACGGAGAGAGCGGTGTCGAGTACGGAGCATACGTCGCGCTTGGCTTAGTAGGTCGAGCCTGAGGCCAGCGGAGCTCGTCCGCGGCAAATGTGCTCCGAGCTCATATCAGCTCGGAACGCTCAGGCCCCGGATTTCATTCACCCGCCCACTTCATGGGTACTCGTCTTGATCTCGATGAAGCAGAGCCGAACGTGGACTCTCGCGGAAGATTCCTCGAATACTTGGAGATGAGAGTTCCGCGGAGAACCGAGGCTGATTCAGATCTCTAGCGAGACGCGTCCACGGAGGAATATTGGCCTTGGTTCCGTGACGGATATGCCGTCCGTCATAACGAAGAAGAGGAGCGGGTCACCCTTTCGATACATAACACCTTCAGATCCCGTCCCGACTTCAATCGACGCGCTTCGGACGCATCCCCATTTTTCATGGCACGCCTGATGTGGGGAATTATACCGTCGAGCATGAACCCTCGCCGGGATCACCCCCGGAAAGGACGATCTCGACCATTCAGCTTTGGAGAGTTTCGTCCGGCTCGACCTCATTTCCCGGTGAATTCCGAACTGCGTATCCTCAAGGTATGATGGAATTAGCGTTCCAGTGGGTTGAGGTCCACCATGGCACAGGGAGCCCACCCACGTATCTGACGGAAGGGATGGGAAGGAGGAAAACCCCAAAATAAATACCGCTCTCGCTGCTTCGCTGCCAGACTCAGAGCCGCGACCTCCCGCTCGGAACCGCGTCAATTCAATCGATCCCGGTCTGTATGTGACAAGCACCGCGCTTTTACGCTCCGCCGATAGGTCGCTGCATGATTTCCCGAAATTCGGTACGGCTCGTTTTTCATGCGCCGGCGGCACTCCAGACCTGCATTGTTCTGCCTGGAGAGCATCGTTGAAATGTCCTTGACTTCCATGGTGGCGTCATGTGTTGTCCACTCTATTACGAGCATATCCATTCTGAATCGCTTCCTCAAACAAGATAATTCGTGCTCGTTCGGGGCGATTGCTCCATCGGCGGGCCTGGTCGCACATGATACTAGAATGGATGACAAGAACCGCTGGCCGCAAATCCGGTCCACATCCGCATGAAACGGAAAGTCGGAAATTCACCACAATGCGACACCGCCGACGCGAGAAGCGATTGTTGATTTCGACAGGTTGTAAGGTGCGCTCGTATCGCTGTCGGCGATCTCGGGCGATCTTGGGCGAGCGAGTACGACTGGACAGTGCGCGACTTATTCCTGGCATCGAGTCAGAACCCCTCATTGAGCCGACTCGGGAGGCGGGGCTTCGAATAAAGGAGCCCAAGGCGGATATTCCCGGAAGGATTGAGCGCGTGTTTGTCGTATTTTCCGAATTCGAGCCCTCTGTCATCAGTGGGAATCACTCGACGATAGACATCGACGCAGCTCAGGATCTCTGGTTGAAATATTCTCCCGGAAGGAAGGACCCCCGAGGAGTAGTTCGTCAGCAACCGATGCGAAACTCCCAGATAGCATTTAGTGCATCGGCCGCGGCTCATTTTGTAATGCTAATCGGGTTACGAATCGAGAGTAAATCCCCGTCCCTGAGATGGGGAAATATGACTAGCCCACCGGAAAGAATCGTATGCGGCGCCGCACTCCTGCGACAACAACTCGACAACGTTTCGGCTCTATCTGTTTTGAGCCCACCGAAAGTCGGGAGAAGTCTCTCTCCAACCACCGCTAGACGTCGATAATTTGGATTCCGTGGACTCACTGAGCAAAAGTCGCCCGAAACAATTCGGATTCCTATTCTGACAGACGTCCCGAAAAGTCAGCACGAAAATATCATACTGGGGTCCCTTCATGAAGATCCACAAACTTTACGGGAGGATGGAGAAGTAGGACGATCACTCGCACTCTTGGAAGTTTTCTAGGTTCAACTCGACGGTTTCCTAGCGTGGCCTGAAGATGTCGCTCACCAAAACATCGCTTGCCGAAGCTCCTATGCGCCATTGTGCGATAGCGGAAAAGCAACCGAACATCTGCACGCATCCGCTTCCGCGGAAAAGTTTGACAGACAGCTGATGTGGATCTGTTTTCACTTACTTCACCGTGAGCGATCCGCTTGGCAAGCTCGGTCGCAGGTTCCAAGAGCCAGGGGTTCCTTATTGGCGGTAGACGCGGGGGTGGCAGGGGTTCGGCCAACGTGAAAACTGCATTTATCGAGGAATCCAGGCACTTTCGTAAGGATCTCATCTTCAGGTTGGATGCTTTCCCGGCAACGGAGCCACGGTGCTTCGCACGAGGACATGAGAAAGAGCTCTATCGGGGGAAAGGGAACTCAGTCCGCCAAATGGCGGGTTCTGAGAGCAGCGGCGAGCAATGCACAGCGCTGCCTCAGGGCCGCGCTCGTCATCGCTAACAGATCGAGCATTGTCCATTATTCCACTGTTCCTATCTCCTGCTGTGTGACGGCGTCGCATTGATCGATACTTGAAATCTTGGAGCGCTAATAATTCTGCCGAACAAGAGAAGAGACAACGGAATCTCCCGTGATTTCTCGAGATCTTTCGCGCGCGGATCATTACCAATTCGCGAGTGGTGCTGCCTCGGTCGATAAAGTATCTGGTTCGACCCGATTCCCTTGGTTTTCAGGGTTTCCGGGAATGCCCTTCATTAACATTCATGGAATCAGCGTCGTACCGTCCGAGGATCCAGAAGAATGAAATTCTCGCTGAGGAGGAATCCGAGACCTCCTCGTCAAGCAAGACACCCCACCCTGGCTTCGCGCGGTCACTCCGCTACTCGACAAAATTTGAATCGATACGCTATACCGTCACGGAAGCAGCGGGAGTCAGGAATTTTCTTCGATGCACTGACGAGAGAAACTAGAAACAAATTACTAATGGTTCGATATCAACCCTCGTTGTCGAACCCTTTGCGATTGCGTAGGTAGCCGACAATCAGCGATAAATCGTTTAGACTAGATAGATAGCCAATTTAGGCAACGCCAGCTCGACCGGCCCTGAGTGGAGAGCCCCTCCTGCGATCACTCTTATCGGTCGGAGTTCCTAGACCCCGGAATTAGGTCTGTCTCAAGCTCCTGCGTCCGTCGTCCCTTAGAGATTCGCAGTCATTATGATTTCCGGAATCTATGCCTATCTCGCGAAAGAATATGTTCACCCCTGACCAAGCCAGTGTCAGCGGTGTCTGGAGGGCTCGTACGCGGGTCGAATGAACATTCTCGGGACCGGATTTCGAGAGAGTCGACGCGCGGCGGGCATACCGTTGGAGCTTGTGGATCCTCTGGACTCTCTCCCCATGAACACGGGCATCGAGGATTTTCCACCATGTCCACTGAGACCGGCAATGAGTGAGTCATTTTTCATTATCGCTTCCGATGTGCGGCTAAATTTTCGCTCTGATCATCCAAGGCCATGAGTGGTTTCTCGTCTGAGTCGCCCGCCAATGGAAAGAAATTGGGCTTGGATTCCAAGAAACCGAGCGACATGGGTCAACCAATTCCATTCTCGAGTCCTTCTCCCCGCTGGTCCCGTCAGGCTGCCTCGTGATGACGTTTCCGCGTGTCTCGACTCGATGCTCTTTCTCAGTCGGAGCGCTTGTCGCGACTCTTTCCCATTTTCCCTGTGCCTACCAATTCCACGACACGTAATGACTTTCTGTAGACGTCACGTGCATTGCCATGCCGTGGCCATCAGGATTTCGCATGAATGAGAACCGCTGATTTGCAGCGAGAGTTTCGCGTATTTCGTGACGAGCGCCGAACTCGGGCTCGGGACGACGGCGGCTCTGAGTTGGCCGCCAAGGCGCCGCGGAGGTATCCAAAATATTCTGACGACAAACCAGGTCAGTCGGATTGCGAGGCAAGTTCTCCATTTCCGTCGAGTTCCGCGGCCAACGTCAGCCAGTGATCCATCCGTCGAATGCGAGTACATCGTTCGAATCGGCCCGGCGGAGTCTGTAGACTTCAATCACAGCAGCGGAATCCGCGTTTGAACAACGAGCCACCAGCTGACCGCACCGTCGGCCATGAGTCTTCTGGATCTGCCCGACGAGCTGTTGACGCTCGTACTCGTGAACTGTGCCTCACGCGATGTTCTCTCCGTGGCTAACACCTGCAGGAGACTCTCGAAGGTGGCCAACGACGTGTTTTTGTGGTGAGTATTCGATCGGAGACCTGCCGGAAACTTCCGCCTCCGAGCATTCCCGATGAGCCCGAAGAGCTCTTTAGCGCGCTTTCGTGCCAGACACGAGATCAGCTGTTTCCGAATTCCGTGGCAAGCCATTCCCGACGTATTCTCAGGAATCGTCCTCCTCCTCGGCATTCCGGACTCACGGATAGACGCGAAACGATTGCGATAATCCATTTATATCTTCTCGGACGTCTTCAATCATCGGAATCGAGCTCGTGTCACTCCGACGAGTAACTCCCGCGAGAGCTTATGGCTCATGGCTAGTCAAGCTGTCGAAAGCGCTCATTTCCGGAGTCAGCCATGAACCTCAATTCAAGATATTCCAAGATTTCGGCTTTGACGTGACGCTCCATCGATTCGTATGAACGCTCACGCGCGACTCAGACATTCCGACGGAAAAAAAACTGAGGAATGCACCACACTTGATCATAGCGCGTGGCCGTTCCGAAAACTACGGGCAACCATCCCACTACGGCTGACTGAGGGAAAAATTCGTTTAGCTAGGCAAATTGAATCGAGCTGATGACAGCACATTGTTCGGCGTCGGGACATTCGTCAATCCTCCAGAGCGATAAGTCGACGTCATCAATTGTCTTATCGCTTATCGTCGCAGTGACGTCGATATGAAGCTCCTAAGGAGGAAGCTCTCGAATAATTGGTGCCAAGCTTCATTTCCCATCGCTCCTGGCTGTCGAGACTTTTTTCGCGGAGCATGTCGTCGGTGACAGATCGCGGAGTCTGGTCACAGCGTGCTATCGCACTCCTTTCAAAAATAAACTCCGGGACTTCAAAGACTTGCCGATCGCGAGCTGTCAGTCCGCAGTCCTAAAATATCCATCGACCGGCAAACCCCTGTTTGGTTTTCCTCCAAGACAAGCTCGAGGTGCGAGCCCCTCGAGTCGTCCGGCTCCCTGGGCGGAATCGGAGCCTCGAGCGCGACACGCGGACTCATTCAAGCTCTCTGATTCCGAATGTGATTTCATCTCTATCGACGAAACGTTTTCGGCTTGGATAATTAATCGCTGCCGAACGCGTTCTGATTTTGAGTTAAACCGCTACCCCCTCCTCAGGCGGAAGCTATGCGATCGAGAGCTGTCCAGCTCCGGCCTCCAATTGCCACCGTCTGCTCACCGACGCGAAGTGCAGATGGGGGTTCAAGCACTGAAGAGACGACTGCAGCGCCTACATCGGATCTTACCGAAGATCACCAAGTGCAAAACTTGCAAGCATCTCACGTGTCAGCAGGAGACTTTTTGCCACGAAGATAGAGTGAGTCCAACCACCCGTGGAGCACATCCCCTTCGATCGGGCTCCGATTTCTCGGAGATGATCCTCCCCTAGTCCGGATCCCGTCCCGCCTGAAATCAGAATGTAATCAAGGAGTGTAATTCCAGGTCGTCCTCGACGTTGGGTCGAAAACAACTTGGTGTCTGGGTCCGAATAGCATGTGGCAGAAGCATCCGTCCGTCCTCATAGGCGACCAACACGGGAATTGCCTCGCTTGTGAGCATGCAGACAAGCTCAAACCTCAGGCAATGCTCCACACGAAATTCCACGGCAACATACGGCCCCACAGCCATCATCAACCCTTGCTGCCTCCTTTTGGACCCCAAGACCTCGTGTCATCCTTCGCCAGCATGCGCATGGGTAGCAGAGGTTCGTCCAGGATCGGTATAATCTCCCGTAATCTACATGGATTCATACTTGGCTCACACAAGGCCCAGGTTCTCCGTCAAGGACTCGTACTCCGTTCTTAAACCCTCCCTCTCTTTCACAGCGAGGTTTAGCTCCGCCTCAGGAGTTTTCGACGACATGTTTAACGTAGTGAAGAGCATCAACCCCGAAAGCTATCTACGTCATCCTCTGAAATGTCTCCAAGAAGACCGTGGCGATGAAGGAGGCTGCACCGTCTTCGAGGACTTCATATCGCACGTTCTAAAAAAATTCCAAGTCACTCAGAATCTGCAACAGGCGAATTCGAGTCTCGTGTTTTGTGAACCCTACTTCATGTCGACAGCGCAACGGAAGAAATTGTGCAAGTTTTTCTTCGAGTCGACGGGCGCCGGCCGGTACGCAAGGCTTCCGATCTCTGACGGAAATACATATATATGAGCAAAATTTTGATCGAGTGGAATAAGCTCCAGCAAGCTTACTGAGGTGCTCTGGGTGTTAATCTTTGATCGCGTATTCTATTCCTTGCAGATTGTGTTTCCTAAACAAAGCCTACAGCACGGCGGCACTCACACAGATAGAAACCTGTATTGTGGTGGATTCGGGCTGTCACAGCACGGTCGTGTCCGTGATCATCAACGGCCAGGTTCAACCGGAACGAACCCAAGACTGTCCTATCGGCGGCCAAGTCCTCTCAGAAAACCTCCTCGACCGGCTTCGAATGCGGCAATGGGACTGCCCTGTTTCTTGTGAAGGGCTGGATAACCATCAAGTGAAGCTGTCCTGTTACCTCTCGGCGAACATAGGACTCGAGCACACCACCGTTTACGATGAAGTTTTCAAACAGTGTTTCGTACAGTGTCAGCGAGGAGGCCTCTTGACCCAAGAGTGGGTCGAATTCGGGTCGGAGCTGTACATAGCGCCGGAGCTGATGTACAGCGCCATGCAGCTACCGGATATGATCCTGAAGGCCGTTCGGGGTCTGCCGAGATTCCAAATTCAACAGCTGGTGACTCATATACTCCTCACCGGAGCAAACACCGAATTGACGGGCTTCAGGAGGAGACTGGTTTCGGACTTGAGGAGGAAGATGCCAGATTTCGCTCATCTCAACATGCACACGTACAGTGGCTCCCGAAGCTGGGAGTGCTGTATGGGTGGAACTTGTCTGCTCTTGGCAAATACCAGTGATCCAATGACGCTGTTCCCAGTCGACTCCTATGTCTGCAACACGTATCAATGGATCACTCGAGAAGATTATATCCTTCACGGTGAATCCGCTGTACGGAATGAATAGAAAGCAACATGTGATAGCGTAGCCTGGACTCTGTTGGCAAGCTCGACCATCGTCTCGGTAACCTTAAATACATTAACTCTGAGCCCGAGTAGCCGACCATTAGGAGCTTGCGGTAGCTCCAGCCAGTTGGCTCGAGCCGGCATCCGATGATCTTCTGCGAGGGGGAAAGTAGCGAGAGTTCAGTTGGAGTTTGTGATCAGTATTTGGACGTCATATTAATTGAGACACGGTTGCGCGACGTTGCAGCTAATCAGCATCGACAAAGTATCCGTCGATCCCTGCCAAGCCGTCGAATAAACGAAGCAGCGTTAAACGACATAAATTGCCTTCTTGTTCACGTCCTCATTCTAGGGAACGATTTCCAAACTCCATCCTTCCCGCGGTCTTGCTCGGCTTCGGCAGACGAGGGCATCGAAGAAGACGTTGTCGAGCGAGCGAGCACCGATAACTCACGAGGAGTCTTCCAGCCTCGTCAATTCAGAATCGATGGTTCTCCGAGGTACCTCCGTCGAAAAACGCTCAGTGCGAATACATGGCACCTCTGTTGCCCTTGGAAAACAACGATTCGACCTCCTACTGCACTGCTGTGACCGACGAGGACATCAGTTGAAAATAATGCGCCCCTGATTTCCAAATTGCATGCGCCTCTGAAGTGACCGTATTAACCGCCGCGCGGGCAATTTTCGAGCATCACGGTTTTCACCTCATTTTTGAATTTGAAATTCGAGCTGACGCCAACCGCTCCCTAGACAGCAGTTTGAGGATCGTTACAGAGCCTTTCCGATCCGGAGTCCAACGGAGGAAGACGTAAGTGACCGAGTATCCCGAATTGTTGACCCGTTGATTGATGTAATTACTATCGAGTTCCTGGCATTGATTCCTTCCATAGACAGCGGACATTGTCCCCTGAAAATTATGTGGTTTGGTGCTGTAGGGATTCGCTATTAGCTACACCATACTCGTTTCCGTTCGTTCACATTCCCTACGAAGAAGTGGAAACACCAACCAGTGAGATCAATTTCAAGAAGTCGCTGATGTCATGTATATTCAGCTTTCTCGGCTGCGAATTAGGCGGAAATCAGCCACGGAGATTCATGAACGATAGACTCCGCGAATCGGCTCGGTCGCCGCATATCTTCAGCGTAGAAAGATGATGAGGTCCGCCTAAGACCGCTCGATGTCTCGTATCAGTCGGCGAATATTCTGTTTCGCTATAGCGTTTCTATTTCCTCGCGGAACGAGGAATTTAATCCCGTATTCGGCACATTTCGATTCCGCTTTGGGCAAATAGAGGAAGGCGAACCCGTGGTGCGCATCCGCTCGTTCCCTATCGGGTGACGGCTTCTTAGGCTCATATCAAGTCTATCAGATTCGTCACCGAGGCGAGTGCGCCGGCGCCCCGGCTGGGGAGAGATCAAATGAAAACTCGTGATTTTCGCTGATCAATGAATACGCTCACGAACTCTTCGCTAAACCCACTACGTGAGCCTTCAAGTGACTTCAGCAAAACCGATGGCGAGAATCTACCACGTAGCTTGAGACCTGGCCCAGATGATATATTCGACTGAGGGAAATCATGACCGATGCGGGGCAATCCTATTGTATGCGTCGTGTGCACTTCACACGACTACGTTTGACGAATATTTCTTTGGCCGCTCCATCGTCTGCTGATTGCGAAGCCCCTTTAATTTACGGCGGCCATTGTGCTCGAGCAATCTTGAATTTTGACTCGGGGTCGCTGGCCTTTTCAGCTGCCAAGGGAGATCATAGAGTCCTTGATTTCCCCTCCGATTACATTAGGTTTCAATCTGTTCCTGGAGAGCCATTCTCTGAAAATACCGCGCCTCAGACGGTGAGTGATGACGTCCTTCAGCTGAGTACTGCGCGGACGCGACCTGCATAGCTGTCAAACCAAGAAGTCTCGATCATCTTTCCATCGATTGGCTTGACGAGACCAAATCGTTTCCCCCTTATCGACGCGTTTTTGAGATAATCGTATGGACTGCGATTCCATGCGAGGTCTCGGCATCTGAGTACTTCAGGGCTTGAACGCCCTCGTCCCCTCTGTTGTCTTTTGTCTTCTGGACCAACAACTGGTTTTCGGAGGTTTCCATAAGTCATTGGTCCATCATAATCTGGTGGAATTAGTTGATAGCTCCGGATGGCAGGCGATACGATTCGACTAAGATTCAAATTCTTGATCGCCCGGCCGTTGATAGAATCATCCCCCACGTGGTCGAGCGCGAATTCATTTGCATATCATGGATTCGCCATGTCCGTGGCTGTATGCGCATGGATCAAGAAAATCGACAACGATAAGCGATAAGAACGCTCAGTGAACGACGCATTTGACGTCAGCTTTGACGCTCTGTCGGAAGACTTGGCTAAGGCGCAGGCGATTTTCAGCGGAGTCGGCGGTGACTCAGGGATATCATTTTCCTTTTTGTTGTCAGATATTCCTATCATCAAAAGCTCCTTTATGATCGTCATATCCCGATCCCTGCTCAGACTTCGCTGGGCGGTGGGTTCTGCGAGTTCTGCTGTTTTCATTCCCAGCAGCTTCGTCTTCTTCTCATTGAAAAAAAAATGGAGAAGGCTCCTCCAGAGGCGTCGTCGAATTAATTTATGTGTAGAGCAACTCGAACCTTTCGGCGACAATTATAATTGAAAGAAATCTCGTTCCCTACACTTCCCGTGAATGTCCGTCGCTTGTGGTTCGTGAGGTCTCGGTGATTGAATATTCGATCGAAATCGGCCACGATACATTGGTTTCTGACCCTACATCTCGGGGTCATGTTTAACATGAAGCATTTCCGCTCGACCACGTGGAAGAAATTCTACATTCGGAACACGTCTCAAAGTTTCGGCACAATGAGAATGTGCCAGGGAACTCTTTCCCTCTAGAGGAAATCTCGAGACAGTTCACAAGCGTGAACACGTTGACCGGTCATTATTTCTCGAGTCTTCACGAGGAGCGGTTGGACCAGATCTCGAGACCATAATACTTTCCAGTTGTGCTAGAAGATGAGTGCAGGACAACCCCCCCGAGCTGGTGTTCCTGGTGCTTTGCCTGTCCGAGGTACGGAATTTTCACTTATTTTCGTCGTCGTCCTACTCAGTACCTATAACTCATTAATGATCAAATATGTTGGCCGGCCACGAGCACGTTCTCCGCCCTGGAAGCGTCGCTCCGTACGGGAGTCATCGGAAACCTGCTCAGAGATCTCCATCGATAGAGGAGAGAAATCAATAAGGATATTCCCGTCGCTCGAGGAAATGATCGAGACGAGCCTCGAAACACGAGGCGAAATGTCGCACGGCGAGATTTTGTTTTCTTTTCAACAATTGTCGCCGTTGTGTGCGTTCTTAAGGAAGTCATGCTTGGAAAAACAACTGTTGATCGAATCCGAAACGTATCAGCCTCGAAATCCGATGCGACTCGGACATGAATCCGTTGGGGTATCTCAAAACTCACGCTTGAGCTTGCTGCGCCGATCGCTACGCATCCGCGTTCAGAGCTCATTTCGATCTTAAGACGCTCGTGTGCGCTTCGTGCTAGCTCTTCGATTGATTCTAAGGACGCATCAGGCTATCGTAATGCTTTTCTGCGATTTTTCACCACCGCTTCTGTTCTTCACCATCTGTGCAAATATTTCTCGGTGAAGCTTTCGACCGGAATCCTGGCTCGGTAAGCAACCTCCTCTAATCTGATTTTTGATGAGATACTATTTTCCATCTTGCAGTGCCCATGAGGCCAGGAGCGCCACCCCAACAACCCGGTGAGTGAATTACCGCATAGCGAAACCCTAGATTCTGGACCGTGTTGTTCGATCGAATAGAATCCCGATTGTACTCTGAGGAACTATTCCTTTACCAGGTGCTCGACCAATGCAACCCGCCGGTCAAGCCCGACCATTGGTGCCAGGAGCGAGACCTGGAATGATGCCTCAAGGAGCTCAACCAGGAGTGAGACCTATGCAGCCCCGCCCTGTGATGACGGCAGCCGGAGGTAAGCGAATATCATGAGTTGGTCAATTTCCTGGACATGGAGGTGATCCTGATCGTGATTCGACGAGAGCAAGCACGACCTTTCTCTCGAACGGTCGGAATTATTTCTCTTGCAGTTAGACCTCCGATGCCGGTAGCTGGAATGAGACCCGCGGCAGCAGGTGTGCCACCGCAAGGAATGCGAACCGCCCAACCCATGGCAGCCCCCGGACAGGCTGCGGGCCCTGCGCAAGTACGTCCGGGCTTCGTCGGTGCCCCCATGGCCCGAGCTCCGTCTCCGGTGAGACTGCCGACAGCTGGACCTCATCAGGCGATCCCTGGAGCCAGAAGCCTCTCCCCCGCCGGAGTTCGTCCCGCGGGAGCCCCGGGCTCGCCGATGCTAGCGAGACCTGCCGTTCCGGGTCAAGTTCTTCCACAGAGACCGGTCCCAGGTGCCGTGCCGCTCCAGCGAGTGCCCATTGGAACACAACCCGGCGCACCCATGGCCCGACCGGCTGCAGCTCCCCTTGTTCGCCAACCGGCTGGCGTCGCAGCTCCAGCGATGAGACCAGCCGCTGGTATGCCGACGTCTACGGTCCCGAGACCCGCTGCTGCTCCCATGATGATGAGACCAGCTGCAGGAGCACCCGCTTTCAGACCAGCCGCATCTCCAGGCGCGCCGCCCACAGCTGCGGGTCCTGGCATGAGACCCGCAGCCGCCGCTCCAGCTGCAAGACCCGCCGCTCCAGTCACCCGACCCGCTGTGGCGTCTCCAGTCACCCGACCCGCTGTGGCGTCTCCAGTCACCCGACCCGCTGTTGCGTCTCCAGTCGTCAGACCCGCAGCCGCCTCTCCAATGGTCAGACCCGCGGCCGCCTCTCCGATGGTCAGGCCCGCGGCCGCTGCTCCAGTCGTCAGACCCGCGGCCGCCGCAGCTCCAGTTGTCAGACCTGCGGCCGCTGCTGCTCCCCGTCCCGCTGGAGTCCCGCCGCCGGCTTCCGCGCCCGGAAGAGGATTTCCTGTTGCGTCAGCGCCCACACCGGCACCTCCGGCCCCAGCGCCCGTTCCCGCAGGTACGATCAACTTTTGGTTCCGCTGTTCATTTTTAGAGTATTCGCGTAATTATTACGATATTATATATGTGCGTCAGCGATCTTGAGGCATATGCCATATGATATATGACGGTTGGAGATCGATTGAACCGAAATTTATCATCCGCCGACTTCCATCCAGCTCCCGCGGCTCAGCCTCCTGCCGGACCTGGTGGTGACGCTCGGCCAGTGTCCACCGGTGAATTGAACATGGACGACATCACCGAGACGTTCCGTCAAGTTTTCAACGGTCAGCCTCCAGAAACCAGCAAACGAGCCGATCCCGGAACCGACGGGAGGCCGTGCAAAGTTCTCGTCAACATGTATCCGGTCACCTTGCCGCGTGGCAATGTGTTCCACTACGATGTCGAAATCTTCTCCGCGGCAAGGAAAGGTGCCGAAGGTGCGACGCCCGTGCCCACCCAGAAAAGGGCGCGTTGTGCTTCAACACTGGTCAACCGCAAGGTCATCGATGCGTTCTCTAAATGCTACCAGAGCGAGCTGGGGAACTGCATTCTGGCGTTCGACGGTCGGAAGAATATCTACACTCGACGCCTCCTACCCAACGCGGTACGTTACGAAGGACGAACTCCCACGCGTCTGTTCATTCGTTTTCGTCTGTCCCGCGGGCCGCTTTGCAATATTTCCGGTATGGTTCGCGTGGAGCTTCATCGATCTCGACTAAGCTGTTCCCTATCCGATTGCTAGGAGCACATTTTCAACAACGTCGAAGCAGAGGTCAACGGAGAGAAGAGCAGCTTTGTTGTGTGCATCACTTACGTGGCCACGGTATCCTTCGATGCGCTGCACGATATGTACGACCGCGGCCTCAAAGGAAGCAGTCAATTCCAAGACGCCATCCAAGTTGCTGATGTCATTTTGAGGACCGGGCCCACCTTGGCGTTCGTGCCCGTCGGACGATCCTTCTTCATCGATGTTGGCAAACCAGTGAGTTGGAAAAGCGCGGGATATTTCGCTTATCCTCATTCGGTCCTGGAGCATCACATGTTGCAGCCGAATCCGCGGGAATCCGCTCTCTTCATCGTGTCAATAATTGCCCCCGCAGATCAATCTGAATGGAAATCGCGAAGCTTGGTTCGGATTCTATTCGTCGATCCGTCTCGGGTCTTGGAAGCCCCTGGTCAACATCGACATGTCGGCGACAACGTTTTACGTGGCTGCTCCTCTGATCGATTACGCCGTGAAAACTTTGAAGAAAACCAATAAAACCGAGTTGAGGTCCGGTCTGAACGACCGTGAAAGAGCGTTGTTGACCCGTGAGATAAGAACTCTGCGAGTCACCGTGAGTAGCGGCCGCCTCCCAAACTCTCGCCTTCACGGTGAATGGGTATCGAGGAGCAGAATACACATCAATGACCCGTCCCGGGATGTATACCGAATAATTTTTCCCCGTCCTCCATCTAGGTCTCCCATCTGGACTCGAAGCGCCAGTACCGCATCGAGGGCTTGAGACAGATCCCGGCGAGCCAGGAGACGTTCGAGTGGGACGGAACTACTATTTCGATTGTGGATTACTTCGCACAGAAGTAGGTTTTCGGCAGAGGATCTACGTTATAGGCGGAATGTGGAAAACTCCTCTCCCCTGGATGAGAAGGAAGGCAGACGCGATCCCCCCTCCGATTCGGAGTCCTCCCTCGATCGAAGTAAATCCACGGATAGCTAACTCGTGGTCGATGATTTCCGCAGGTACAATTACACCCTGCAATTCCCGAATCTCCCGTGCATCTTCACCGGGAGAGGAGGCATCTCTTTCCCGATTGAACTCTGCAACGTGGTCAAAGGTCAACACTGTCGCAAGAAGTTGAACGAAACTCAAACCACCATGATGATCAGGCAAACGGCATTGGCGCCGAAGGATCGCTTCGAGAGAATCCAGAATTGGACCCAGCAGCTGAAGTCAAGCTCTACGCAAATCTGTCAGGAATTCGAAATGTCGTTTGAAACCAAGCCGCTCGAAGTCGAAGCTAGAATACTCCAAGCTCCGGCGATCACTTGCGGTGAAAAGAAGAAACAGCTCCCAAAAGACGGAGTGTGGCCATGTAGCACTTTCCTCAAGCCCGCCAACATCGAAAAATGGGTGTTGGCTGTGCTCGGCCGAGTCGCTAAAGAAAAGCTGAAGCTAGTCGTCGATCTATTCCAGAGCGAAGGCGGAAAGCTGGGCATGAAGATCGCCCCGCCACAGCTCATTCATAATTACGGCTTCCAGCCTGGTGCGCGTCAGGTCCTCGAGGATGTGAAAAATAAGCACCCGGACGTCGAGATGACGGTTATCGTCTTGGACCCGCGCAGTGACTACGGGGCTCTCAAAGCCGAGGCTGAGACCACAGACCTGTGTCTGCGCACACAGTGCGTCAAGGACAGGAACGTCGAAACGAAATTCAATGGGATGTTCGCAACGAATCTCTTGCAGAAGATCAACACCAAGATGGGCGGCCGAAACAACGGCGTCCTTTGTCCGAACACTCCCGATACTTTAAAGAAACCGTACATGGCCATCGGCGTCGACGTGAACCATCCGGGACCAGGTCTGTTTCGTTAGATATGCTCCCGTGAGGGAAAAATCGATGATTCGAACGATCGAGTTAGATGTATCCATCCTTTCCTCGAAAATTCCACTCAGTGGTGAACATTTTTCATTGCTCCAATCGTTTCAGGTGAATCGACGCCTTCGATCGCCGCCTTCGTCGCATCGATGGATTCGGTGCCCTCGCAATACTACGCCTGCACGTCGGTTCAGCTCAACCGAAAAGGAAGCCGATCGGAGTACGTCGTCGAGACGAAATCGATGTTCCTCGAGTGTCTCACAGAATTCGAAAGGCGGAACAAGAATCTTCCGGCTCATATTTTCATTTTCCGTGACGGTGTTGCGGACGCCCAATTCGACGCGGTTCGCGTTTATGAACTCGGAGCAATTCGTCAAGCTTGCCTCGAAAGGAGGCCCGACTACACGCCCGGGATGACTTTCATCGTTGTGCAGAAACGTCATCACGTGCGCTTCATGCCGGCTCCCGGCTACACGGGCAGCGGAAAAGCCGGCAACATCCATCCAGGAACCATAGTCGACTCCAAAATCATCAATCCTGCGATTTTCGATTTCTATTTGTGCTCTCATCATGGGCTCCAGGGTACTTCTCGGGCCGCTCATTATCACGTTGTTCATGATGATGTTCATCATTCCCAGAACGATATTTACAAGATCTGTTACAACCTCTGCCATACATACTCGAGATGCACTCGCGCAGTTTCGATTCCGGCGCCCGCCTACTACGCCCATCTGGCCGCTTTCCGCGCCAAGGAGCACATCAAGGGGCGCGCCCCCCACAATGCGGCTTACGCCGAATCTAATGCGGAGTCTGTTCGGTCCTCTTCGTCTTCGGAGCCGGATCTGGACAAGTTCCAGGCGGCGCAAAAGGTTTGCAACCAGATGAGAGGCTCCATGTACTTTGTTTAAACGTGGAAGCCTAAACTCACTCTTCCAACACGGGACAAGTGTTGGAGTCTTTCTTAACCCGAATAAATGATTTTCGTTTTCTTTATTGACGACCATTCTTCCGGGGTAGTGTCCTCTGGGCCGGATCGGGTTAGGGAACGAAATTTCACCCGAAAAATTCTAGCTTGGAACCTATGACTCGTGCGAGCTTCGAATCAGAAATCGGAACGGCGCGGCCTCATCGGACGAATGAGGCTCGCGCTTCGGCCCCCAACGAGTTCGTAGGGGGAATCGCTCGTGGCGCTACTCACTCAAGAAGCGACTGAACATACGGGTGACGCTCGCATAAATTATTCTCGTCCGCGGTAGTGCTCAACTACTATTCAAGCTCGAGGTGCGATTAGTCAGGGGAAACTTAGCAGTTCCGGCAGAAACAGCGGGCGGAGAATCATTCTCCGCTCTCGACACGTGATTATTTCTGCCGAACGCATTTTATTCGACTCATCGATCAAATCTTATTTGGCAGGCGAAAATACGCCACTGGGACTATTTTCCTCCACGTCGCACTGGGATCCCCTTTTCCATTTGCTTCCCCAAGGATTGTACAGCGTCGATCACCCATCACCCCCAGCGAACGCTTCTGGTCCGACGAAACCCGAGAAATCTGTCTCTCCCATATCGGCATTTCCGAAGATTCTTCCACACTGAAAGAAACTCCGTCGGAGAAATCTGGGACTACCACTCCCTGCCTGTACTTCCCCAGGGCCCCGGACTTCCAGTGCATGAGCTCGATACCGAGGGTTTGGATCGTGATTCTTCCGTCGGAGCACCTGCTGGCGATAGTTGCATGCGGGGGAGCCGGAGCCGGGTCCTTCCATGGAAAGCTCCATGGATATCTCCAACGACCTGCTCTCGGAGCGAAGGGAACTTCACGTAACTCCGATCCGACTCGGCAGGCGTATTGACGGAGTGGAGCTATTAATCGAGCTCCCGGCCAAAGGCCAATGCTCGTTCGCCTCCGTTTCGAGCGGTTCCTAGCTCATGCGGTGCTGCGAACGGGCTTTTGATCAAGATCGAGTAATGAAAACTCCAGGCGGGGTTCCGCGCGCCAGATTTCATCTGGCGGCGGCTTTTGCAACGATTCTGACGTATAGGCTCTCGCATCGAAGTCACTCGTATTCGAGCGATTGGACGACTCCCCCGAAACGATGCGAATTCGAAGCCGAATACTAAGCTTCGACAGGATACGGTAATTTCTCAGTGATTCCCCTGGAGGTTCCGAGATCACCCCGGAAACGACAATACGATTAATGGACGGACTTGCTCGATGCACGAATCGAACGCTCTCGTCCAAGCAAAACGTGTCGAATCTATCGTGAAGAATGATGACTTTCTCCGTCGTTTCCAGATGGAAGAGACGAGCACCCTGTTCGAAGCAAAGGCCGATCGGAGGGACGGCAGCTCGGACCTTCAGCACGCAGCTAGTCATCCGTTCGTTCGGTCGGTCAGGCGGACAGACAGACGCTGAGTGTAAACTCAGGATGAGAAGTCGAGGGAAAGGTTACAACACGACAGAGGCCGGTGCTGAAAGCCTGTTTACGTTTTGCGCGATCATCGCCCGCCGATGGGGAGAAAGAGGAACTCATGCTCGTTGGTGGGTTGGCTCGGGCCTCCGCGAACCTGGGTCTCCCTCCGCCGTGCGGGCCAGGCGCACTCGTTCGCTCGCTTGCTAACGCTTTCACTGACTGACTGGACCGCAGAGGCAAAGGAACATCCATAGGGAGAAGCGACTGAGCAATCTATAGACAAACAGTAAAAATGTGTATACATTACAGCGGCCGGGCAAGGTGCGCTGCTATTTCGTAGCATGAGCGCGGCGCACTGCGATATAGTCGGCTGGTATTCCGCTCGCTGTGACTGCCTCCGATAGAATCAGAGCTTCCCGCCAGACTTGAGCCGCTCTTCCCCGGAACGAGGACCGAAAGCAGCTCACAGCGTCCGAGGCTCCAAGCTCCGCTCCTGGAGGAATTCCGCCCCGTGGTGATCCCGAAGGTTCCGTGGGCCGGAAGAGAATTCGAAGATTTCACCCATCGCCTCTAGATACACGAAGCAGCCACTTATCGAGGCTCGGTAGACCGATGCCCAATAGGTCAGAGCCTTGACACCTTTCCGGTTTCAACACCGCTCTCGACAGCTTCTGGAGGCTCCGGCTAGCTGGTAGACGAGATCGTACTTAATTTGAGTTTCGAAATCTGACGGACCGCGATACACCGGCTCTCCATGCAGAATGATCGTCCGTGTTTTTTGTCTTGTTCTATGGGAAGGCAATTTTTTGTAGTCAATGGAGCGGTATCGATGAGGCCAGTGCGCTCGTCGATGCGATGTGCTCTCAGGCCGACATGGGAGACATAGAGGATTCCTGTCAACGCTTCTCGTCTCCACATTCCCAGGACATTGGAATCTATCGCGAAGCTTCCGAACCCCGCTCGATCGGAGGGGAGATCTTGATTCCCGAGGCGCCCGATCTCATCGGGTCAAGCACATAACTCGCTTTTCCCATGTCTGTCGGCTCACGAAAAACGTCGTCCACCGATTTAATCTGATTTGGGGCATTAATCGATGGAGTCGATTAGCTGACACCGAGAAGACGAATTAGTCCGAGGAAAAATAATTCCTGCCCTTAGCGCTTCCTCAATGCCCTCAATGGAAGTAGGTCACGAGCTGTCCCAATTCGACTCCACGGAAAAAATCGTGGACTCCGATAATGAGAGACTATCTGTGGGGGGGACATCCGCTCCAGCTCGGTCAAAAGACCACCGTGTTGATCTCTTACTCGTAAATCGACGACAAACAAGGATCTCTAAGCAGCATCGGTGTTGAATCCCGGCTGTCAATCGGCGACCAATTAATATTGAACCCGGGTCCAGACGACTGAGCCCGCTGAAATCCAGCACTTGGAGAGACGGAGTTTTCGGTTTGTTCCGGTGACCCTCTTGCGGCCGTTTCCGGCGGAAACGCCTAAGACCAAAGTGTCGCGTGGATTTTAGAATCCTGTGGTTCGGCCACTTTCAAGGGAGACGGCGACGACGTCTGCGGTTTCTTTCGCGACCCGAAACTCGATGTTGTTATTCAATGGTGACGTCATCGACAAGCTCATCTCCATGGTTCACGAATAATCCTTGCTCGCGTAGACGCTTAACGATAGGCTTTCCGTCGCGTAGGCTTTCAGGGACAACGAAAGGGGATGTCAGACCTTGGATTCTCGGACTTTCGTCGAGGTTCGGCCGTCGCACATCGACGTTCCCACGCATTTCGCTACCCCCGCTCTTGGCAATGTACGGTTGGCCATGAGCAGACACTCAGTCGGTCAGACAGTACGGCCTATCGGACCATTCGCGCTTCCCACAGCTGAGTATGGGAGTTCTGCAAAGTACCGAAATCTTTTGGGGTCTGGCTCTCGTCTTGGGCGACACCCACAACTGCTCGCTGCTACCAGTTAGCCATCAATTGATCCATTGTCGGGAGGAACTTCTCTCGGGTCTCTCCGGAAGGAGACCGCGACACCAATATCATCACAGGGGACGATGAAACGAGCCGCCACTCGGATCCTTCCGAAGCAAAAGGGTGCTGTCTCGGGATCGCTCTCGGAGTGTGGGATGTATCGGTGACCACCAGGAAACAGAGCCGCGATCGGGAAGAACCGAACGGAATGAATCACAGACTTCCCGGGTACCTTCTCGATGAGGCGAATTACCATTATCGAGCGCGTACAGCCCGGCATCCGATTCGGTTTGTTTGGAAGCGATTCTCTCCGAATCGTGACCATTGATTGAGCAGTAAAATCAGTGTTTCCAGCTGCTGTACTTCTCGGATCCGGCGCTGATGTCGTCGTGTCGCGGAGCCTCATTAGAATTAGAGTTTCGAGTTTATTAGGACGAATTGAGGAAGAGGAATATCCGTGTGCGTAAATGTGTGTTTGTGTCGTACCCGATTCCAAACAAGCGAATCAAGCTCGGAACAAGTTCCGGGCAGCTTGATCAGGCTTTCGCCCCCGATCGTGGAAACGACGTTTTCGAGTGTCAACGCGCGCATGTCTGTTCGAGGCGCTTTTTTTGTGTACATTTGTTATTGTGAGAGTGCAGATCTCGAGTAGTATCCACTGTCGTCATCGGGTCGGGCAGATCCCTGAAAACTAAACACAGAGAGTTCTTGACTAGCAATTAGGACGAGTCTTTAGGAGACGAGTAACCGCGAGTAGATGGAGTGCATACAGAGGACGGACGTACCGGTCGGACCTTAGGCAGACAGACGGACAAATGGATGGAAGCAGAGATGGACGCTCGGACTGACTGATGGACCACCGCTGAAGAAACTCCGAGTTTACAGCTTGCCGATGATGACGCTTAGATGAAAAAACCTAAAGACGGGACGGCGCCAGCGCGCCAGAGTCTCCTACAAACAAATCTAAATGCAACTCGTAAAGAAGAGCGAGAAAAAATAAAAACTGTTTCACAGCGTCCACATGCGGAGTCGAACATAGATGTGCTCTCACCGGAGCTTCAACATGGTCGTCAAGGGCGGAGAACAAGTCTGCCAAGCTTATTGCTCCCGCCCGCCTACGCCGTGAGACTCATCATCATCGAGGCATAGCGACCGCGGGAAACCGAATCGAGTCAACGACTCGGTCAGCTCCCGCTCGAAGAGTCTCCTCCCTTTCCTTCGATAATGACTTCGATACCGAAGCCCCGAGACTCGTTTCTCTGGAATTCTGAGAAACGCACGTAATCGATTTCCGGAGAAAATGTCTGCGTCAGACGTTCTGAGGAGGAAGGAGGTTGGGGCAGAGGTTCTAGAGTCTCGAGCCTGTGGAACTTTTCGAATTTCGAATCTCGACGGGTAAAGCGATAAACGAGTGCGAGATCGCCGAACAGCTCTACCCGGATGGGATTGAGCTTCACTTCTGCCGTCATGGGTGGTTCTCTCGGGGCGTAAAAACGTCAGACTATCATAAACAATTCCTATCGGAGTTTCAGCAACATGTGCATGGTTAGCTGTGTTGCTGACTGGATCAAATACAGAGTGTCAGCGAGGTAGAGGATCCTGTTTCGTAGGTTAGCACTTTCCGGCGTCGCGGGTGGATCGGCTTGGATAAACAGTGCGATGGATCAGGTGAACCTCGAGGGGAATTTTTTCTGCGATTTCAGTAGACCGACGTGTTTTACAGATCATCGTTCTTTGACGGGTCCGATCCTTGAGTGAGCAGCGTGAATCGTCCCTCCGATTCTACAGATCCAGGAAGCTCTTTTCAGCAGTTCGGAGCCATTATGATTCCTGCGATGAGCTCACTTCGCATGGTGACGACAAAGGAGGCGGCCGCAGACTGGATGGCCCTACGGGCAGGTAAATTGTCAGCCTCGGACGATGATTGCGACGGCAATCGTGGGCGACATTCCGCAACGTATCCGCTGAAATTCGAGCAATGAAACTTGCGGTGGGGAAGACGGCGTATTATAGAGCAGCGAGTCGCGGGAGCCCCTTAGAAGGATTTTATCTTCAGAGATGGAATTGATGTTCAATTTTTCGAAGACTTCGTGAGCACAGCCTTCCAGCCTGCGAAATGCCGCGAAGACGTTGCTCAAACGAAAGGCAGCGCATCCGGCGAAGTTAGCCGTCGTTATTCCCGTCCGAATGGGGGCGCGATGTCCGCTTGGGTTTCCCTAATGTGATGGAAAAAAATCTCCTCCCGATTTCCGCTCGAAACGGGTTCCCGGCGCCCAAGAGGAGCTCTCGCATGAGAAATCGACCTCGGCTGACAGCGGAACACATATTCAGTCCCCAGCCCCCACCTCGTATCCCCGGATACAGATTTCCCGAGGGATCATCTGATGGCTATGCTCTCCCAGTACAGTCCTAGGCGTATACGCGAACTTCCCGGCGAAGGAGAATAACTACAGAAGAATGAGGCTGAGTCAGAGACATGTAAACAGAGGGGGACTCTCAGCGTTTTACTTCATCCAGATTCGGGAACGGCCTCACCGAGAATCTCCCGGAGGTGCGTTGGATGGACTGCTGATCAATACGATCCGCTCGGCTTCAGCTGTACTGAAACGTTGCCGCGAAACGAAATTCTTCTCGAGCCGATTGTGGGGTCGTGTTCACAACGGGGGTCGAGCGTGGCCACGAGACGGAGCATGGCTATCCATGGAACGAGTCGATGATTCCTTCAGATATTGCGTCTTCTCGTCTCCTACGGAAGGCTCGAGATCTTCCTGGCATCCGTGATAGCTCGAACTCGCTTTCTGCGCCGGCATGTCGACGAAGACATATCCTGAAGTTCCGCGAGATTCCTTCGCTGACACTCCGGAGCCGGAATAAACGATGAAAGTGCGTTTCTCTTGTGGAAAAAGGGGGGGTGAGATCTTCACCGCAAGGGAAGGAGTCCTGAGAAAGCTCTCCTTTCTTACAGACATTGGAGGGGCCATGCCTGCAGGGGTATGGGGCTCAGATTTCCGATCGATGATTTCAGCCTAATCAAGCGCTCACGTTCGGAGCGTGATCAGGAGAACCCACCCTGACGCTTGAACGCGCCGATATCAATTTCCGCACTCATATCGTGCACAGGGAGGGGCGCGTCTCTTGATTCCTGAGGCCTCAGGCATAACCGATTTCTGGATTTCCACTTCCGATCATTTCGTAAGCCTAATCGTCCTGATCAGTCATTATGAACGCACCAGGCCAGGACTCAAAAGGGAACGATGACGGAATGTGACGAAGGGATTTTCCCACACCGAAGCGATCGTGAACGCGAATGGAAGAAATAGCGTAGTGTAGGTCTCTGTGGAAAATAGGATGATAGAGTGCAGGTAGAAGAGTCTCAAAAGTCCACCGGGACCTGACGCTGTGCGTTATGACGCGACCGTTTCACTAAAGCAGGGTCACCTTCATAGGCTTATCCTTGAAAGCACAGGAGAACCATCGAAAAGCGGACACGCCTCCTAGGGTTCTTGAATGCAGACAATGTAGTCGCCTAAATTCGGAACGATTCGTGAGATATTTGAGGCTTCATTCTATCATTTTGACGCTTTATAGAGTGAGGGGACGCCCTCGCGCCCGGTCGAGCTCTCCGGTCTCTGAGGTCATCTCCGGCAGTCAAATCCCTCAGGTAATTCTGTGCTGCAGAGGGCTCAACGGGCATAGATTATTATCGGCTAGATAATCCGCTCAATATACTCAGAGCATCGATGTGCCTTGGAGACGATGGTCTTCGGAGGCGAGGTGAGCGAGTCTCGAGCGATACCGCCAGAACCCGTACCGGAGTACAGAATTCGTTCTGGAACAGAGGATGAAGAACACACACAGATTTTCTTCTCCCCTTCAACTCTGATCAGGGTCCGCTACTCGGTGTAGCCTACACCACGACACCAGGGCCGGCTCCAAGGACTATCCGAGGACCAAGTATTATCCATTCCTATGCGAAAAGTTCCGCAGCGCGTCAGAGCTGATTCCCTCACCTGGAGCCCGCCAAATCAGAGCTCCCCAGAAGGAAACGCCTTAGCTCGAATTCGACCGAGGAGGCAAGCATTGGCGATTCGTGATCTGGAACATTTACGGAGCCTAATCTCTTGACACGAATTATATTGTAGAACTTGGTTTTTGTGGACGAAACACGGACGCTTAACTCTCCGCGTTCATTTGCAGTACTGGTAGGTAATTCTCAGAGATTCCTTCGACGATTTTTTTGAATTGACATCCGGAGAGGGCATCGCTTGCTCTTCGATACAAACGTGCCACTCGGAACATTCACTGGATTCCTTAACGCAGCCGGTCAGTCGCATAGAGTTCCTCCGAAGATTCCCTTTCCAGACAAGAATTTATTCTCTCGACAGCAAATATCGTCAGGTCCTGATACAACCCTCTCCTCAATAATTGTCGAATCTCACGCGGAGAAGTCGTACGACTGATGCGCCGTGAACCCTTCCAATAGGTCCTGCGTGAGCGCTACTCATGTTTTGCGACCCATAATAAGCGTTCCACGCCCTACCGTCTGGATGGCTGAGCCTATGTGTGAGAGCTTCGTCTATTCTCTTCGAAAGCCTATCGACAGGCGGCCTAGCGCGAAGAGCCGAGGGACCGCCTCCGACGGAAAGCCCGCCTCCTCGCTTCGCATCGATCCTCCAACTACACGGTCCAAGTGAGTGGCCTTCTACCAGCGGCTGCTGACGCGAGAACGACAGCGGCCGGGAAAACGAATCTCCGCTGTGAGAAGGCTGGCTCTCTTGCTTCCACTCTCCGAAATCCGCCTGCCGACACCGGCGGTGATGGTAGTGGTGTCGTCGTCGAGCAGATTCAAATATTTACCATTCAGCAGAGCGAGCACGGCAGCCAGTTAGCCAGTCGGTCTGATAGTGAGCAGCAGCTGTAGCGCACGAGTCGACGCGTCGTGCAACGTTTTGACGTTTTCACCGACGACGGCTGTTTACCGCCAGCGTAAACAGCAGGGTTCAGTCCGGACAAACCCAAACCTCAGTTCACATACATACAAACATACTTACACTTTCACTCTTATACAAACACTTACGGACAAACATACACACGCACACTTACTGGCGCACAAGGCCGAACGATTAACAACAATAAGCGTAGCGGCGGCAAGCGTGAACGTAAACGTTCTTCAATCATCGTTGTTGCTGTTCTTGACATCACAGTTCCCCTCATCGAGAACGTCTTCAGCGAAAAATCCAACTTTGTGTGTACCTCCAATTTCGGGTGTGCAAGATTCTGTGCGTCGAAGTTCTTCCCTTCAAGTTCCCTTCGAGAACCTTCGCCGCTCCAGGAAGTGCCGGAAGAGACTGCTTCGCGTGAAATCAGTGAAGAAGCCGCGAAGACACTCCGTGACCTCGAGACCATGTTGGTCAAATTGGAAAGCTCAGAAAGTCCTCAGAGAGAACACATACCCACCGTTTCGGCCGCTGCGACCAGTCCGTGCTTCCCGTCCCTTTCGTTGATGGTCGAGAATTATCTCCCTCAGAACAACCTGCACAACAACTACTACAATGGTCAAGCCCCTGCTTCCGTCCGCACGACGCTCCGCCAAGACTTCATCCAACCTCAGGTGAGTCGCGCGACTTTGCGACATATCTCCAGAGTTTTTGGTCGATTCCGCCCGGTACCCTCAGACAGAAGAGGAAAAAACTCCCGGAGCTACCGTGCCCGGAGCGTATGGGAATTATCGTCCTTTTATGGGCCGGTCGATGAATTGGAACTCCTGGCTTCTGCACTTCTGCCTCCTCACGAGTGAGCGCGGATTAAGGATTTTTCGTCTGTTGCGTGAGCTTCCGCTCTTAGGCAGAAGTTCGGCGAAATCGAGCGTCTTGGGGAACTCTTCACTGATTTGGGCTCGGAGTCCCGGCGGAACTCGAGAACAGGCAAATCTAACGTGATAAGAGAGCGTGTTCCCGCGAGACGATTTAGTGTCTGATCGACAGTAGTTGTTTTTCTCGAGCCTATGTGGTGTTGGCTACGCTATTACTTCTTTGCTACGCCATTCTTCTCCACGCTGGTCCGGCATGAATGTTCGCAGATCATCTCAACTAGAGTTAGTTAGAGCGTTCTGCCGAGCTCATCACTTCGAATCTGTGGCCGGCGTCCGTTACCAACCGCAGCAACACCACGGCCGGACCGCGATGACCATATGACTGTCTGACTGACTGACGGACCGACGCATTGTGTGACTAACGAGTTCTCGCTTGTACGGTCAGAGGGATCAAAAACCGCATGATTCATCCAACGAGCTCGAGCAGGGGCGCGAACTTTCATGATTGAGCACACGCCTCCAATTCAGATTACCTACCGGCGCGCAAGATTTGGGCTCGTGCTGATAACGCCTTGCTGAGAATTTCCGATGCAGAAGGCTCCGAATTCACCCGAGTTGCCCTTCCACAGGTGAATTGTGAGCAGAGTCCGGATCCCGGGAGCCCGCCCGCTGCCGAAGTCCCCGCTGAGAAGCCGGGGAGCAAGACGAAAAAACAAAGGCGACCACAGAACGTAGACTCGAAAAGCCTCCGTTCTCCTATATAGCCCTGATCGTCATGGCCATTCAGAGCTCGCCATCTAAACGACTGACTCTTAATGAAATCTACAAGTTCCTGCAAACACGCTTCAGTTTCTTCCGAGGATCCTATCAAGGATGGAAGAACAGCGTTCGCCACAACCTGTCGCTGAACGACTGCTTCAACAAACTTCCGAAAGGTCTCGGTAAGACCGGGAAGGGTCATTACTGGACCATCGATCCCAGCTCGGAGTACATGTTCCAACAGGGCTCCTACAGAAGGAGACCGCGAGGCTTCCGTCAGAAGTGCCAACAGAAATCGAACTACACCCCCACGGCAATGACAACGCCACCACCCATTTCCACGGCACCGCCGGCGCCATCGTACGCTCCGAGCTACTACAGCCCAGTTCAGACGACTCAAGGCTACAGTCCCGCCGACATGGTGCCGGGCAACTACACGGCAGCCGACTGCAGTAACTACCAGGGCTACGCCTATCTGAGTTCCGAATACTACGTGAACTCTGCCGTTCCCACCATGAGCTACGACTACATGAAGCCGCTCCCCTCTCTGAGTGGATTCGATGTAAATACCGCAGTGCCCCAAGCCGGTTATCAGGAGGTACCCCAAGATTACCCGAAGATGATCAACCCCATCCTAGATCACTCTTCTTCAGATGGTACGTTGTTTTGCGGAAACGCAGAACTCCTCCCTTCCTATCTGCAGATAAATTAATTGAGCGTGCAACATAAACTTGTAAATACTCTTCGCTTCCGAGAACGCAGGAAGTAGCTGCATCGATGTCGGTGGTCCTTAGGTATTCGAGCTGACGTGTAGACGCTTTATATGTCTTGATTTCTACCATAAAATCCTTTTTATAAAACTCACACCCGCTTCCTCGCTCCTATCCCCGTCACCTCCCACCTGCTCCTGCTCTTAAGAGAGCATCGCAATCTCATCGCTCGTCAAAGTGAATGTTCTGTTTTGTCCATTCCTCCTTGGAGCATGCTTTCATCCTTCTAGTTATTTGATCCCGTGTATAGCTCTCCAATACGGATGTCCATATTCGCGGACCATGTATCGAACCTGGGAGCGGATCGGATTGGATCTCTGACCGGAGATTATCTGTCCGTGGATCTCCCGCTCTGTTGAACGGATGAATTTGTTTTCGGACTCGCGAAAGCGCATCATCAATTTAGAGCCGTCATCAGCTGATCACGCCGACGATCGATCCCCACTCCTTGTTCTCATGGGTCGATGGTGTGAATGGTCGATTTCGTCGCCGTTTTCCAAATCGTAGTATTATTCCGGAAACGGGGAAGTACTTGTCGCGGTGTCTGCTCGACGATCTATCCGTCTCTGGTTCGTCGGCTCATTCGTCAACGCGTTCGTCTGGCCATCTAGATGTCTCAATATATTTGTCTTCGAATGTAAGAGCTTTCAAGCGATCCTTACCGACCGACCGACCAAGCGACTGGCTGGCTGACTGACTGACGGACGGACCAACAAACCAACTAGCCAACCAAGAAAGCAACCACAGTCCTGTTCGGCAGTTCGAACTCATGTTCAAAAACAACACCAACTGCCATTCCGCTCCCTGAATGCTTTCGTTTCATTTCTCTTCGACGCTCCTCCGATGTCTCGTGAGATCAAAAGGCTATTTATTTTGTGAGCGCTTCTCACCCCTCCCCGATGCTGGCCAATTCCCCCGTTTCCAGCGCCTCCCTCGAGCCGGAATCTGAGTCGTACTCGAGTCGACATCTTGACCTTTGACACTTTCGACCAGATCGATCTGATGAGGTCGAGCTCTGAAGAGGAAGAAGAGCGATATCGGACAAAAATGAATAATTCACTCTCGAAGAGGACTCTCAGGAGTGACGCTATGCCACTGCGCGAGACCTTTGAACGCGGGATGGGGACTTCTTCTGCCCCGTCGGACGACATGCCAAGTTTTGCACCGTCATCTGCGGTGGGAATGCTCCCTCTGCCGATTGCTTGGCAATGTGTTCCCGGTCCCGCCCGTGTAATCAGATATCGCTCTCCCCTTACACGACTCGATTTCACGGCTGTGAAATGATCTCGGAAATTTCGGTGAAAAAATTGTAGAAGAGAGCCTTCCCACGTCATCTTTTTCCTTTCTTCGGGGTGAACAGCAGAAACTGGATAGAGGTTGTAAAGAGTACGCTTTATGACCGTTCCCTTCTAGCGAGCGATCGACCGGCTAGCCAGGCCGCCAGTCAGTCAGCCGACCGACCGACGGACCAGGAAAGAAAGCAAGTGAGCGAGCAGCACCCAACAAGCGAACAGCTATTCTTCCCATGAAAAACCATCCGAAGTGGCGAGACTGAATCTCGGGGCAATCACCCTGGAGTGACCCGAGCCCACTCGTGGGGCGGATGGGAACTCTGAGGATCCGGATTTCATTGTCCGCCTTCATGAGACTCCTCATCTCTAATATTGATATAAGAGGGATCGAATGTTAGACCTATTGGATTGGGACCTCCCGGCGTCTTGCGAGGCTCGGACTCAATAATTGTTGGTCAGGGCGGAGGAGTTGCCGAAGAAGTCGGCCTTTCGGTCTGGCACGATGGCACTCGGTGGCGAAGAATCATAAGGGAGGAAGAGACTGGTTCCGTGAAAATTGCTCCCACATGATGTTCTCACAGTGACAACGTTTTACGAGCGGAAGAAATCGTCCTGTCCGGAGATTCTCCCTTTGGTTTCTCATAGCGAACGTATGATACTATCATTTGGCTCGAATGCAGTCAATGATTTTTTTACGAGTTCTCCGCGCGAAAAACTTTCGGTCCATGAAGAAAGTGTTGAGCATGTGCTGCAAATGCCATCCGTCGCTGCCGCAAATTCTCTCGATGCAAGAATGTGGGACGTGAGAGCATCCATTAGCGTCCGGTCCGTTGAAAGTCTCGAAAAGGCATTTCCCATTATTCGTAATCTGCGCACTGACGGATCCACCGAACCGATATTCCAGTCGAAGGCTTGTCGACGCGTTCGATCGATGCCGATGCGAGCATTCTCGGAGAACATCGGAAAAAGCGGACTCTGGAATGGCTGCAGGTGTCGCCGATTGACATGAGAGGATTGGGTTCAATGGTTCGCTCCGAACCGAGAAAGAGGAGACATGGTATAGGGGAGGTTCACTTGCTTCCTCGTCTGCCTGCCGTCCATTCGTTTGGCTGCCGACAAGTCTAACGACGTTGTCTACCCATTGCTGCATCTCTCGACGCAGTGAATCATCCCACTTCTCTCTTCGTCTTGTTGTTGTTCTTCTTGTGCCACCGTACTTTTTCCTCGGTGGGGAGAATCCGAGGGGCACATCGTATTCGTTTCGTAACAAGGTAAAAAGCGAATCTGCCAACGAACTCTAGAAACAACAGTGACGGCGAGCCTAATTGCTCCTGTGTTGACACAGACTAGGCATTAATCGACGGAGCGAATACTCACGATGAGATAATTATCCTCCAAGGGGAAGAATCTTGTCGATCGCCGCTATTGGCCGAATCTTCGAGTCGGGGAGCCTGGACGAGGTCGGAAGGGTTTAGCCCGGAGCTGGAGTCCTCCAAGAGCTCTCTTTTCCGGAAGAGCTCGAGGATCAGCTGTCGAGTGATGGCGAAAGAGTTACAAGCCGCTGCTACCCCATTGTGAAATTCACAGCGATCTCTTCTCCTCTTGCTGAAAGAACCCCGTTCAGACGTGTGCGTGCGTGTGTGTGCTTCCTTGATTTGTGCGCATTCTGTGTATGTCAGATCTGCTTGTAGTAAAGCTTTCAAGACCCCAGGTGGTACGGTCGATCAGCGGTCTTGAGGGAAAACCGAGCGAACTTGCGTAAGATGCGACTCGAGCCGAACGGGACAGGGACGGGAGCGGGACGGTGATACATGAATACATTCTACATCGGCCTAGAGGCCGAGTATTCGCGCGTCACGCCGACGAGGGCTCCTCCATTCGCTCAGCGAGGGCCCGGGAGGGTCCGGGAAAGGTCCGACCGGGTCCTGCCGGCTTCGTGCCGCAAAAGCTGCCGTGCAAGCTCGAGAGCCATTAGTGTCATGGCGGTGGTCAGCGATGTCTGAATGTTAGTGTAAAATGAATGTGTATGTATATTCGAGATGTAAACGTTCTCTCTTTCCTCTGGTATTATTTATAAACTCGACGCTTCGTAGGTTGCCTGTAGTTTACGCCGAAGCTGTTGTCTGTGATGATCAGTCGCCGAGCAGCGGGATCGGCCATCGTTCGGGAGCGTCTCCCAGGAGAATTCCCTTCGAAGTGACATGGATCTCCTGCGCGGCTCCCCAGCCGAGCACGGTGGCCGAAAGCGACCGCGGCGTTTGGACCGCGGTCTCTTGACGTGAACGATGCTCAGCCCGGACTAGAGTGAATCTTCCGGACTTCATGTCCCGTTCCGGTAGTGAAAGGTGCGCACAGTCATCCAAAGGAAGCGACGAGCTCGGATCAAAGTCATTTTTCAATCCGATGTTGAACTATCGGCCGGTGGAAGATATCGTCGCTCGGCGAAAGAAAACGTCAAGGAAAGCGGACCGGCTGACCCGGGTTGACAGAGAAGCTGACAGTGGAACTGTTTATGTGCTCTAGGTGGTACCGTCGACGATCGCCTGCAGCGACTCTAAGGGATTGCTCGCTTTGCTGGGCCCTCAGCTGAACATGTTCTCCCACTGGCTGTCTGCGTGTATGTCTAGCTAGCCGATCTCGCTTTCTAGATGCCAGTCAACTGGGTCGGTCCGCCTCTCGTCGACGATCATGACGACGACAGCGAATGTGTTGATCCAATCATTTCTCGCCGTCTTGACGCTTAGCATTCTAAGCTGTGCTGTTCGGTGTGGGTGGTCTATGCGAGGAATGCAATGGTGTCGGTCAGAGTCTCGGAGGGCGCGATTGGTCGGCTCGGCTCTGACTTCTTAAATGTAGCTCTACGCACAGTCTGGCATTCGTTCATGAACTGGTGATTAGGAATATCTCCCGACTGCTGCGAAAGATCGCTTGCGAGTCCCGAACTTGGGCGAGGTTTTGCGTTTCGCGAACGAAGCGTCCACCAACGGAAGAAGATAATATCGTGTCTTGGAATAGGACACGACGAAGAACATTACGTTGAGGAAGGAAACATTCGAAATGGTTTCGGGACTGCCGACTCCCCGGAGAAAATCGATGAGTGCTCCCCGAGCCGGGCCAGAGATCGGATGCTGCCAAAACGGGCAATCTCCCCTTTTCCGAATGCGCCGACGAGCTCCGGGATAGAGATGGATGTCTGAACGGACGGAGCAGCCGATGGACGAGTGCATGAACAAACGGACGAACGAAAGAACGAACGAATGCTTGGACGGACGGATGGCTGACTGGCTCTGATCCGGACTGGCATCTTACAGACCAGATAGACAGCGAGTAGAGAACGTTGAGCACGCATAGAAGACGTGCTATTTTGCTTTTGACGGCCACTTAAGATCCGTGGGCCCTACGGGCTGGCTCCTCTTAGAGAGGAGTCCTTTCGGCTGTATTCGTCTGTGTGAGAGCGGACTGTCTGTCTCTCAGTTTCATTCCTCCATTCGAAATGGAATGGAGGGCTTGGGAACGACATCGGCTTCCGTGCTCGACGCCGAACGGCCAGCGAAAACTACCGCCGAGCTTGAGCGAAAGTTTCAAAGCTCTGGCAATCCCCAACGTACATTCTGCCTGGAGTTCGCATTTCACCGCGCGGTGTCGCTTCTTTGATTCGGAATCGCGTCACTGTCCGGTCGGGGAAGCGCCCCGACAGCCGCTGCTCCGGGATCAATGCGAACCCGAGCCCGTAATGAAACGGTCGGAGCGTGGTTCCTGATGTGGCTGTGGGTGGACGAGGTGAGAATTGTTGTAGCTAAGGAAAGCCATTGCATGGCCCATGTCTTCGATGCGAAACCGCGACGGAGTTTCGAAGTTCCGGAGCAGTGGGAGCGATTGTCCGCTTGTTTCAAAGCCGCTCAGCCGCTGTACCGGACCGGCATGCGTTCTTGATTAGGAAGCCAGCGTTCATTTAAAGTTTGTCTTACTCAGTTTCCCTCCGACAACGCCCGAAGCACCACTTCTGCCAGCCACCACGGGGAAGATCCTAAAAGCTTCCGTGTTTGCTGAACAAATAGTTGCCGACTTTGCTACATCTCTCGAGTTGTTTATGTGAAACTCTGGAAAAGCCTCGAACCTCGACTGGAAGTCTCCTAATGAGACGTCGTTTATTCGCCGATGATCTAACTCCAGCCACGGACCGATGTTGTCCCAGCGGATCCCCCGTTGTCTTCACTTTCAACTCGGTTACATCATTTCTCAAATTTAATGAGCAGGCCGCCTGCCGCTCTCTGCTCTCATCTGCGATCGGTTAGACGAGCGAGTGAAACCAGAGATTCATGTCCTCTCAGTCTGTCGGTGGATCCATCGATCGCTTGTAATGTTTTGTTAGCGTTGATATCGCTACAGCGGCATTTTGCGGATGTCTCTTTCTGAAACATTGCCGCGGCGCTCCGTTCGGCCACGAGTGAAGACAGAGATCGTTCGAAACCCAATAGCGTCCACAGAATTGCGCGTCGGACTTTTCGAGCGGTCTTTCCATTGATCTCGACCGAGCTTCCGAATCGGATCGTCCACCTGGAATGTCTCACCTTCCTACACGGACACCGAGTCCAGAGCCCGAGCGTCTCTCGGTCGAGAATCCCAGCGATCCTACCGGATGATTGACGTCTACTCAGTCAGACACGAACCCGTCGAGTTAGTCCTCTGTAAGCCGTACGGTAGCGAGATGATCAGGATAGTTTTCAATCATGGTGCATGCTCTCGATCGAATGAGCTTTTTTATCACCTCCGTATGCTTCCCGATCCGGAATGCCTGAACGACAGATTGGGGAACGGTCCGATCGGACTCCTCTGTATAAGGGCTAATAGGCAGGCGCGAAACCGCGCGAGCTAACACTGAGGAAGCTATTGTTTATCGCGGAGAAGCGCTGATTGATGTCAGGCTGGCGCGCGACCACCCCCCAATGATGTTTACGGTGGGCCATTGTTGGTTTACATGAGTTTACATTAGCATCAATCCTCTCCAGACCCAGAACAGCAGCAGGCGAGAGGAGCAATCCATGGAAAGAAGGCCGAGGGGGTTTTCCAGACCCTAATCCGAGAGTCGTGCTCACTTTCCCTCTGACCACATGCTCCACGTCTGACAGATCTACGATAGCTCAGCTACCTACGGCATGTGGGTCACTTCGGTGCTATCAGGATGCTGCGGTTTCATGTGGAAGAGTCCACGAGAAATCATCTATTGCTCATTCATCCTATCGATTCGCCTAAATCGTGCTTCCCCCGACCGACGGGCTCCGGAACGTGGCTATGTCCTATCCATTCCACAAGTGGTCTCCAATTAGTGAGGGGAAGGGACTCTCTTCCGGGGAACTTTAACTTCATTAACGTCGTGGAAATCATTTGGTGGTCGGAAGAGGTTGCCTCGATCGTCCCGGCCGAATGGCACACCGCCAATGACTTTCCGAATAAACTTCGTATTTCTCGCGGAACACATTCGCGGAAGCCACAATTTTCCGCTCCTCCATGATCCCTGATTGAGTCTGATTCCTAGATCTCGGGCCCGCTCGGAATATCAAGCCGAATTCGGGGACGATCACTTATAGAATTAAGCTCCAAAGCGTGTCGATGGGAACTGCGAGATGCGTCCATGGGGACGCTCGCGCCCGTCCCCGCGAATCCAATTACTGAATTTTCCGCTTCTGCCCCATCGGAGGCGGAGGAAGGAACCACCGTGGTCGCGATCGCATCCTCTGGGATTCCGCCTCATACCTATAACTTCGTCTCCGCGGATCTGTCATATAACAAGGCTCGTAAAGCAAGAGCGGATGAGCAGAGCGCGCTGTTGATTTTCCGGCGTACTTGATAAGCAAACATGAACTCGCTGTTCCTGGACATTGGCTCATGCCATGCTCATGTCGGCTGATTCCGGAGAGCAGATGAGCCGCTACAAGGGGAGAGACGGGACATAGCTGATGGCGTTGTCGAGCGGTCGCAAGCACTGCAGCCGTCAGCAGCATGATTATTGTGAAGTTGCTTTGTCTCCGACGGCTCGATAAGTGGCTCTCGGTCCGTCGGCCGGACGGTCAGCCGGTGTTTTTGAAAAGAAATTTGAGACTTTTACGACGCTGCATCGGTCGGCGAGAAATGTGTTGTCGCTCTCTCCGTGCTTGTCGTTGTGGCATTCTCGGAAGATGCTGAACAATAATTTAGTCTCAATCCATTTGATGGCTACAGAGGTCGATCGAGAAAGAAGGCCAGCAAGCGAAGAAACGGTCGCTTAGTTGGTCGCTTAGTTGGTCCGTCGGTCGAACAAACCAACCGACCGACCGACCAACCTACAGGCGTCCATCCATCGGTCGCTCGAGCAGGCGGTAGAAAATCTACCAAGCTGGCTGGAAACCCAGCGACTTAGCCTCCGCAGCGTCTGACAGCTAGATCGCTTAGAAGAACGCAGAAAGGTCACGCGTAGACGCTAAACTGCGACGACGCACGTATCATGATTGAAATGCGACACGTCCATCAGCAGTTCTCGCAGAGGAAAAAAGCGGGGATCGTTGTCCGGGATATGACTCTTCCCCGACATGAACAATAATGAGAGCGAGCACAGCGGATCCGGAAGCTCGGAAACTCGACATAAGGCTGTTGAGCAGCGCTCCCGTCAAGCGTTGCTCTGGGGGCCCTCCGTCAGCTCAGGAAATTATTCTGCATATATCCTAATTGGAATGCTCTGATTACAGGCAAAATCCTCGAGGAAGTTCCCCGATTTTCGGTGCCGTCTTCTCCTCTAGAATCTACCGGAATCCCGCCTCACGACCTCTCATCGTCCGTAGAGCATCATCAGGTCCACACAGCGCACTTCTACGACTGCAGCTCGTACTGAGGAGAATTGAGATAGCATAGGTGTGGGAAAATAAATCTTGCAGACCGCGGCTCTTGCTCCTTACCAGATCTCTAGGTATTCAAGGTTCTCTTGCCGGTATCAATTTCTCATATAATGATGGCCGCGAGAGCAGCCAATGAACGTTGCCCACCTTTCATGCGTTAGCTGTGAATTCTGAAGAAGTCCCCGTCCGCTCCAGACTCTCCTCCGAATTTCACGAAGGAAGAAGCATTGTACATGTAGACTTTCTACGATAATTCTGCCATTGATACGGATCCAGAACTCGAAGGAGAGCGGAGCCTATCTAATTCGCCCCTTGCGAAAGGCGAGTTTTCAGTTATGTGCTAGAGATCGAGCTTATAAGTACATGTACATGAGTAATTAAATAGGCACGCGTTCGTCTCATGAGTCGCGGTCAGACCGCATCGAGCGCTCGACAGAGAAGGCGCGTCTCGACCACGGAATGGATCCTTAACGACAATCAATTTCTGACCACATATCTTTACGTGAGCTGCAAGTATCTGCGCAAAGAATTCCGTCGAATGCTGGAGGTTCCGGAGAAATGGATCCAACGGAGGCCTTATCGAGTCGCTCACTATTGACGGATAGCTTACGATTTTGAGGGGAGCGCATGAAACGATACTTGAATAAAAATCGAGCCTGAAACTGTCTAGTCTATGTATCCGTATGTTTTCATTCGGAGCGGAGATCGTGATTCATTGCACTTGTCTGGTGATGTGGCCGCTTGCGCGTTGCGGTTCCTAAAAGTCAAGAAGATTCTGTTTCAAGGAGCGGGAGCGGGCGACGGATGGTCGAGTGGTTAGAGCGTACTGTTAGTCCAAGTGCAAACGTGCATTATCGAAACTAAGTTCTTTCGCACGTGGACGTGCATCGAGCCGGGATCGCGGCCGATTTTCGGGCTGCCTATGTCGAGCCTGGCATTCCCGAACGGGAGGGGTTTGATACCCCCTGTCGGGGAAAGTCGCAGGTAGTCCCCAGGAAGCCGGTGCATTCCTTCTCGAAATATGTTCTCCTCTGAAGCAATAGATAGTTTCATTGATAACTAGCGCGACCCGCGCGCTGTGCCGCGCCCCTGTTCACCACTTGATAAAAATTCACCAAGAAAGAACAATTTATAAGAACAGACTACATAAGTCAAAGAATCCCTCACAAATGACAACGATCAAAAAAAGCGACGGAACAGGGACCTAGTCTTCATATGACCTATTCTAAACGATTAAATACGTAGAGCTTTTTTACGTATGACTACAGCGCTCAAACGTTGTTTCACTTCTCTGACTGAGACGGTATATTTTAGGTGGGTATATCGAGCTCTTCGAATATCACATTTCCCTTGCTGCTTCTCCACCAATCTTCGAGCTCTCGTGTTCTCGAATTGGATCGTATTGGGAACTGGATGCTTGTATTCCCAGTCGAGGAGATATTCTTCCTAGCTTTGAACTCCTTCACAGAGAGTTTTTGGAAATCCACGACTTGACCCTCACGATCATCAACTTTGTGTATCAGTGAGCCCCATAAGGTCAACGACACGATCTTCCTTGAATCCCATCAGAGGCAATCGCCATCAGAGAGAGATTGCCATCAGAGGCAATCGCATCTCGTAAATGAACATATTCCTCTGACCGTAACTTGGTTTGATTCAATCGAATGAACAGGAGTCTTTCGGTTTCGATTTTCGCATACATATCAACAATATACTGATGAAATAATTGTCGGCAAAGCAGAATATGATTCTCTGCGTTATCGCGTATCATTATCCGGTATGAGTAGTAATTCATGGCACTGACCTTCTTACTGGTCTCTTCATCCGTTCCTGGATTTCTCATTCTCAGATTGAAATGATAACCATCTTCGCCTTGCCAGAATAAAAGCGGATACTGCAAAGCATCATAGGAGCGATGGGTTTCCGAAACTCTCTTAAGACAGCCGTCTCTGCGACGAAGGACTATGTCTCGTGAGTTGAATTCTTCACCAACAATGACGATAGCCACTTCATCCGATGTTGGCGCATTGAATCGCCCTGCGTGTTCTCCTGGCGTCTTATCAGCTTTGATAACAACCACATAGTCATCTGTCGGCATGAGCTCAAGAGAAGATCTGAACACTCGTACTAATTCGTTGTGCCGATGCAGCATGTCCTGTAAATCTGCAACAATCTCACGGATTGTTCCACTGTTGAAACGACGCCTCTGATCGATTTGCTCGTTTGTGTCGCCCATGAAATAAATCTGAAGGAATTGGTGATCAGCCCCCGGTAGCGGCAAAAGAGACCCAGCGCGATGATATACCTGACCTTGTACTTTGAAGGTGGGCATATAATTGTCTCGGATGATTTCCGTCGCTCCGAATGATGTCATTTGGAAACATGAGTTATACTTTCGAATGTTTTTCAAAAAATGTCTTGACTGATTCGTGCTCCCAGATATTAATGTCGCTAAGGGCTCAGGCGGTGGACACAATTCAGACAACTTGACTTTTCCTCCCGCACAGCACATGCCTGGGGTCTCTTTAGCAAATTTGAGTGCTCGGCAGAAATTACATACTTGATCCATTCTTCCTATATTCACACCACGGTGCTTGCTGTAATCTATACCAGGGTCATACTCAAAAGCCGCAAGGTTCAAATCATTATGTATCATTATCTCAGCTGAAATAACTTGATCAATTTTATCAGGTGTTATTTTGCTGATCAACCATATCAATATATGCGCGTGTGGCAATCCTCTTTCCTGCCATTCGATTGAATACATCCAACAGCGAGTTTCCCCGAAAACCCGCATCTTTACAATCGAATCCATGAAAGCTCTCAGTTTTTGTTTGAAGACTCGCGCGATCAAATCGTGCCGATCTGAGGCTGATTGCCCAGATGAGAGATGAACTTTGATTTCCTCCCAAGCTGGATTGCATGTAATCGTGATGAATAAATCGGGGCGTACCGTAATTGCGAACATACGTCATTGCGTCCT